CCTGGCCACAGCAACTAAATCATTCCCTCGACCGCCACTTAAAGCCACGCTTTCATCCACGTGCGGCCAGCGCCTTGGGATTTAATTTTGCGGCGAGTAGCGCCAAGCTCTGTGATCTGCATCCCTGAGCTCACCGCTTCAAATTCCCACGGGAGAAATGGCAGGACGGTATGTGCTTATGAAAGTGCAAGAATTTTAGTACGCTGTGAAGGCGGGATGTTCTCGTCTGCGCTGTTCGTGCACCACAGCGGTCTGGCTCTCTCTCTTTCTTCACTCCCAACGTTGGCAGCGCAGCGGTCGTGTGGGTCAGGGCACGCTGCACCCTTGGGATGAGGCTCGTGTGACGGTCACAAGGGCACTGCAATTGGAGGGCCCCAGGTGGTTTTGGGTGTCTGGTTGGCTAGGTCCCGGGCTTCAACCGATCACTTCCCTCCTCAACCCAAACGCTCCTCCACCCAACCAACAAACACACGGCCCATGTGGTTGGATCTTTCTCATTTGCGGCACCATCATCGCTTCATTCACGTCAACTCAAAACACATCGCTTTGCACGAGCGTACAACAACTCACAGCCAAGACATACCTTCATTTTATAAATAAAACTGAAGATATTATGTGAATATTTTTAAATGTTGAGTTTGCGTATCAAAGTGATGACGCTTCGAGTGACAAGAGTTTGTGCCATCCGTGTGCGTATGTGAACAACAATAACCCTGACTCGACTCGAAACAAATCCACCCGATGGAGACCCACAGCTTGGAAGCAGCCGTCCTAACGAAAGGTGCCATCCATTTAGTCCGTACGCATGGAGGGGGTAACCCAAATGCGTACGCGTGCCTATGGGGGGTCTACTGACAATGTCCGTACGCATAGGAAACGGGGGGGGGGGGTGAAGCCTCGATTATAATTTGTCTACATTGGCCTTCAAATTAGTTAGATAATGCGGCGGTGGACTGTTTGCTTAAACACGTTAATAATATTGTTAACTCACCTTTAACCCCGTCCAAGGACGGGTGTATTGCAGTAAATCTGAAACTTGCAAGCGAAAATCAGACCGCAACGTGATAAGACATTGCATCAACGCGTGTGCAATTTGTAAGGGTGCGGTGACACAGACCTATTTCATTTTAAGGTTATAATCCCTTGTTCATCATGACGTCCTTTTTACTTTGATGTCTCAACAGCGTTACGGAGATCGCGTGACGTGAGGGTTCTGCCTTTGTAGTGAGGGTTGTGCGTTAACGCCGAGGAGAGGGGAGGAGGCGCCCCCCCCCCACATGTGGATTGACGTCACATGCTCATGATTATAAATGAGGGGGGGGGGGTGCTCTATGAAGTGACGTCACCCGCTCATGATTATTAATGGAGGGGAGGTCCCATGTGGAGGACGTCACCCGATCATGATTATTAATGGGGGGGGTCCATGTGGAGGACGTCACCTGTTCATGATTATTAATGAGGGGGGCTGGCCGCCGTGGAGTGACGTCACACGCAGGACACAGACATTTCTGGCTCATTATAGTAGTACAGTGAGGGAAAAAAGTATTTGATCCCCTGCTGATTTTGTACGTTTGCCCACTGACAAAGAAATGATCAGTCTATAATTTTAATGGTAGGTTTTTTGGACAGTGAGAGACAGAATAACAACAACAAAAATCCAGAAAAACGCATGTCAAAAATGTTATAAATAGATTTGCATTTTAATGAGGGAAATAAGTATTTGGCCCCCTCTCAATCAGAAAGATTTCTGGCTCCCAGGTGTCTTTTACAGGTAACGAGCTGAGATTAGGAGCACACTCTTAAAGGGAGTGCTCCTAATCTCAGCTTGTTACCTGTATAAAAGACACCTGTCCACAGAAGCAATCAATCAATCAGATTCCCAACTCTCCACCATGGCCAAGACCAACGAGCTCTCCAAGGATGTCAGGGACAAGATTGTAGACCGACACAAGGCTGGAATGGGCTACAAGACCATTGCCAAGCAGCTTGGTGAGAAGGTGACAACAGTTGGTGCGATTATTCGCAAATGGAAGAAACACAAAAGAACTGTCAATCTCCCTCGGCCTGGGGCTCCATGCAAGATCTCACCTCGTGGAGTTGCAATGATCATGAGAACGGTGAGGAATTAGCCCAGAACTACACGGGAGGATCTTGTCAATGATCTCAAGGCGGCTGGGACCATAGTCACCAAGAAAACAATTGGTAACACACTACGCCGTGAAGGACTGAAATCCTGCAGCGCCCGCAAGGTCCCCCTGCTCAAGAAAGCACATATACATGCCCGTCTGAAGTTTGCCAATGAACATCTGAATGATTCAGGGGACAACTGGGTGAAAGTGTTGTGGTCAGATGAGACCAAAATGGAGCTCTTTGGCATCAACTCAACTCGCCGTGTTTGGAGGAGGAGGAATGCTGCCTATGACCCCAAGAACACCATCCTCACAGTCAAACATGGAGGTGGAAACATTATGCTTTGGGGGTGTTTTTCTGCTAAGGGGACAGAACAACTTCACCGCATCAAAGGGACGATGGACGGAGCCATGTGCCGTCAAATCTTGGGTGAGAACCTCCTTCCCTCAGCCAGGGCATTGAAAATGGGTCGTGGATGGGTATTCCAGCATGACAATGACCCAAAACACACGGCCAAGGCAACTAAGGAGTGGCTCAAGAAGAAGCACATTAAGGTCCTGGTGTGGCCTAGCCAGTCTCCAGAGCTTAATCCCATAGAAAATCTGTGGAAGGAGCTGAAGGTTCGAGTTGCCAAACGTCAGCCTCGAAACTTGGAGAATCTGCAAAGAGGAGTGAGACAAAATCCCTCCTGAGATGTGTGCAAACCTGGTGGCCAACTACGAGAAACGTCTGACCTCTGTGATTGCCAACAAGGGTTTTGCCACCAAGTACTAAGTCATGTTTTGCAGAGGGGTCAAATACTTATTTCCCTCATTAAAATGCAAATCAATTCATAACATTTTTGACATGCGTTTTTCTGGATTTTCTTGTTGTTATTCTGTCTCTCACTGTTCAAATAAACCTACCATTAAAATTATAGACTGATTATTTCTTTGTCAGTGGGCAAACGTACAAAATCAGCAGGGGATCAAATACTTTTCTCCCTCACTGTAAATCCTTGATCGTTACTGCGTGGATTCAATATCGGCCGTTCTATCGGATTCGGGGGGGGGGGGGGTGTGCGTCAGGCGTGCAGGGAGGGGGGGGTAAAGTTTCGACAAGATTTTTGCGTATCCACTCAATGGATGGCCCCAAAGGCCGTGCACCACCGATGACCCCATCCCGACCCCCGCGTGCTTCCCTCCACTGGCTGCCACTCCCCACCACCGGGTCTTGCCCATTGGGCCCATCGTCCCCTTCACGTGATGCGTCCTGCCCAGCTCGCTCGCCCTTTATCCCAAACGGACGACATCTCGAAGACGAGAGGGAGGAAGCTGGCTCTCTGGCTCCACAACATGGAGTGCCTTTAAGAAGGATGAACTTGATTCATGAAAGGCAGCCTACTCCTCCTGTGCCGATAGAACGGTGGCGAAATGTTAACTACCTCGCCTGATATACAGGAGGTCGTGAGTTAAATCCAGATCCTGACAAATGCTGTATATTTGGAGTTTGCGTGTTGCCTCGCCCTGTGGCCGCGTGGATTTTTACCCGGGGTTTTCTCTCCACATTGAGAAGCATTGCGTGTTAAGAGTACTGGGCTGCTACAAATTTCGACATAAGCCACTTCGTTGAGCTATCATGTGTAGGCCCACTCAATGTGGGACGAGTTTAGTTTAATAGTTTAAAGAAAAGGGTTTTAAAAAAAACCTGTATTTATTTTCAATGAATACACCACGCCCAGCTATAATTTACAGTCAGAAGTGCGGACCCGACAGCAAAAAATGGGAAGGGAAAAACGAATTTCTGACAAGGTGCACCGATACTGAATGAGAGAGAGAGACGCACGCTTGGAATTGCAACGAGAGACGGGCGTGAGAGAGGGGCACGTGGATCGGCGAACGAACGCTAATCGGAGACGTCGAGGGGGGGGGGGGGTTCGGATAGGCCGTGCCACCGACATGACCGGCAGGCGGACAAGACGCGAGCGATGGAATGTGGCAGCCAAAGGAAAAGGACGCGACTGAAAACCCACGAGAGCCCAACCAGCAGCGATGGAGCAACGAGACCGGTCGATGTACGGGAGTCGCATGGATCACGCGGCATTGCGAGACCACGAGGGGAAATGACATTGGGAGAAGCCTTCATCCGGCAGTGGATAATGAATGGCCGACTATGACCTCAATGTCATCACCAAATTGAAATGAAATATCGCGCCGTGAACTTTTATTTTCTGTAAGATTACCCGTGGAATTATACACATGCATAAGCTATATACAACGATATATGTCCAGTGTCATTACACGTGTCTATGCTGGGGTCATGCCATGCACCCCTCTGTTCGAGCAGCCCACAGAAAGCGACATCCCAGAAGCGAGATCTCCTCCCATCGGGTCACCGGTCTCATCTCGTACCCAGTCTCGATGCCCCAGCAAATGTCCCAATGTGCGAGCATGGTAGTGAAACAGGCGCGTCTCTCCTCATTAACTCGGAGCTGGAACGTTACCAAAGTGAAAGCGCAAAGTTACTGTCATTTCATTTTTCGTGTTGTGCGCGCGAGTAATTTGGCAACATGTCGAGGTCGTTAACTCGTTAAAACCCTTTAGAGGCCAGTTTGATCACAGGTGGCTCAAGGCAGGTGTCGGCACGACTGGCTTCTCAGCGGGAGCGGCGCAGAAGTTCTGACGAGCCAACCAGCACCACCCTCGTTGAAAATTAACCTTTTCACATTGGTATTGATTTTACTTAGGGAATTAGAGGCACGAACATTGCTCAATAGTCGCGAGCCGGTCCTCGATCAACCGTACAACATCAATCTTCTTTTGAACCCTCGCACCGATAAGATGGAACGCATCGAAATGTAGTCTGCGCGCAATACACCACAAGACGACATATTAATTTGGTATTTTATTTATTTACTTAGAATTGAAACCGAGACGAGTAAACATCTTTACCTTGTGTGTCACACCCAAACCCTGCCACCACACTCCCCGCACCCCACCGCTTCAAGGCAAATTGTATTGAACAAGGCACTGTGACACGAGGCTCTCATATGAATGAAGGGGCGGGGGTACAGGTGGGATTTGGGCTATGTGTGGTGGGGAGGATTAAAACCGCAAATTAGCAGGCACAGGTTTGGTTTGTAAAACGAACCCTTGGTGCCCGGTGCACAGCTTGTTTTTCTCACAATGAGGCCCACAAAGTTGGCAGCGCGGGTGCACGCGGTTCACTGGTGAATGAATGTGGGTCACGGTAGAAATGACCTTTTGTCCCAAGTGCTTGGGACAAACGAAAGAGCAGCTATGATACTGCTGGCTCACGCCACCGCGTGCAAGGGTCTCCTCTCGAGGGTACTTGGCCTACTTCTCCACGGTGGTCAGACGAACCGCAGTGAACCCATTTGTACTGTCGGGCGGACAGAGGCGTTGGTGGGGGGGGGAATTTAAGAAATATTTCGTGCCAGGAGATTAAAACAAATCCACGACCCTCTGGATTGCAAGTTCAGTGTGCTAACCATTGCACCATGGCAGGATCCCGGACCCAAACACACAAGAGTATGCCTCTGGCAAGCCACATTTAGGAACGAGGGCGGCCGTGTCACTTTGCAGAGAGATAAATAGGCAAAGGTCGTGCCCCGAGTGGCTGATGGGCAATGTGGGCAGAGGTTAGTGTGAGCCAAGTGTGGCTGTAAAACCGCATGCCACACCATTTGGGTCCCCCCCCACACGCACGCAGACAAGGAGACACAAGTGCACTTGGGTCATTGAGAGCAGTTTGCGAGAAAGCCATTTTGCAGCAAGTTCCTTTCAACGCTCCAGCAGCTGTCGCACATTGAACTCTGGCTACAAAGTAACCAGTTCCGCCACCACATGTAGCATTCCCCGTTACTGCACATAGGGGTTTGATTATTGCCGTATTTAGAACTAGCCATGCATAGGACTCGGGAGGTGATCATGGAAGTGAAGTAAAAGTGGCTGACAATCACGGGACACTGCTTGCTACAAGGCTTCACACGAAGGGCTCGCTGGCCGACACGCAAGCTCCAGCCACTCCACATGCCCTGCCTCACGAGACGTGGGCCAGCCAGGGTGGGAATCGCGTACACGCGGGGAGACGAATGCTTTACGGGGTCGCGCAAAGCAAAAAGGCAACCATTGTATTACTCAGAGCTGTTTTTTTTTCCTACGTAGCTTAACTAATTGAGCAAAATGCGGCCTGCATTCAAGGATTATCTTTGGCTCCCGCTCAACATCATTTGTGGGAATCATATGTATGGGAGGGGGGGGGGGGTGTTAATCTGCTGTCTCAATCAGACTAAAATTCGCCATGACACTGTGGGACTTGAAGTTACCCGACCTTCTCGCCTCCCCTCTCTCAGCCCACCGTCCTCTCCCTGCGCCCATTCCACTCCCAAACGGCAAGGCTTTTTGCGTGGGAATCGCCTGGGCGCATTCCGCTCAGAGCAGTGGTTCTTAACCTGGGGTGCACGCACCACCTGGTTGGACGCCAGATGCCCTTTCTGGGGGGTGCGAGACATGTCATCGCCATTTTTTTTTAGAAGGTAAATAATCGAAAACACAAATGAAGCACGGGCATGCAAGTGCAACATACTTGGTTTCATCAAAACTGTGTTCAGTAACATAAAATGTTGTCGCGACTGAGAACCCAAGGGGTGCAAGACTGCGGTAAAGGTTAAGAACCACTGGCTTCTCCTCCACTGCTGCCCTCCCAGTATCAAACACCTTCTCCCACTCCCTCTCCCTGTTATTATAGTCGAGGCTAACAAAACGTTACCAACATCGATGACCGATTTCCTTTCTTCCTCAATCTCGTTCTACCTCTCCTGGATTGGAGTCGGGGTTTCTCCCATAAACCCTTTAGCAATTGCTACATAGTGTATTAAAAAAAACACACACACACTTTCCGCTCCATCCACAGCTGCCTCTTTTGAATATCAAAGGCCCGTTGCCCCACTCCTGTACAGGAGCTTGAGATATCAGCATACACACACCGATAGTCGTGACCGGTGTAAGTCCTAAAGGCGTTTCAACAGGGCCCAGAAAGGTGAAATTTGGCACACAGTCGCGTGGACGCCTACAAAACGAGGCAATCAGAAATGCAAAAATTTAAAAATTCGGTTCCGTAAAAACTGCGGCTCATAAATCGACTGGCTTTACTCATGGGCAGCGTTAGCCAAAACAACTTACGTTACTTTAAGTTCCGTGCTGGACACTCACAAATGTACAATCGCCGTCATGAGCAAATCAAGCATCTGACCTATGGAGTGCCAGGCTAAAGCCGATAATAGACGGGGGGGGGGGGGGGGGGGGGGCAAAATCTATTACCAGGAGCGAGTAATCATCATCATCATCATCAGCCATGGTCAATCTATTGCTGATTGAAGGCCTCGCCCCAAGTGGCCGGCCATCTCTCGCGCCGCTGCGCGGTAACAAGACACTCGGCAGCTGCGCACGAGGAGCCGATTTCACTGCTCCATCTCCTCGGTGGATGTACACTGGGACGCTACCCGATCCCTGGCTGCGTCGTTAAGTCTCAGCCTCCTCCACCCATCAGCCCTCGAGGCCCTGGGGACCCGGTTTGGCCCGATCCCAATTATTTTTTCTCAGCAGCGTGACCGAGCCATCGCTTCACAGATCGCACTGGTCACGCGTGCGGTTAAGGCGACTAAAGCCCACTGTGGAAGGTCGCTCACAAGGTCTGGGTGTAACAGAAAGAATGACGCCTCCCCCAACACAAACCCCCCCCCCCCCCCACCAATGTCACTCATCCAACGAGTAGTTCCACCGCCGCTTCCGTTGTTTGCGTCTCTCTGTACAAAAATAAACGCTCCGATAAAAATAAAAAGAGAGAAAGAAATTTGGTTTACCTTTATGTCGGTAACTCTCTTTTCGTGAAAAGTGCAAAGTTAATTCATCACGGCCGTGCGATTGGTTTCTCCTGGCAGTGCTTCACTCACTCGGGTTAAACGCATCCCAGCCGGTCGACGCTGTCCGTCCAACATTTCGAACCGTGCTCCCGCAATGGTGCGCGGTCAAAAACCTCGGCGATCGCTGCCGGGAGGCAAGGGGCCTCGTGCGTAAGTTTGGGATAAGGCTACAGGGTTGCCGCGCTATCATTTTTTGACGATACGTTAGATTTCACGAAGTGACGTTTACCATTTGCCGTGCGTATCCCTCAGCCGTGCAGTTGTGTTTTACATTTGGATCGCCTCCGTGCTTTGCGCTGTACTTGCAGAGTACTGAATGAAGATCGCTGAGAAATGTTGCTCACAGCCGCAGTGTGCGCAACACGAGCCTGCCAGAAGTCTCGTGCTCGTCGTAATGTAACGATCGCAGGACGTGCCGCCAGAAAACGATGACATCGCATAACCACCATGCCATTATTTCACACGGAAAACGTTTAAAATGCACGAATGTAACGGTTTACAGATATTACCTTTCGAACTTTGATTATTCCTATACATTTTCATTATTGTTTTTCCAGAAATGCTTTTTTTTTTAAGAAGGAAATTCAAAATTTCAGAAAAATTCTACGGAAAATGATAATTGCGATACGATATTTAGCTTAAATGGTCGACATGATTATCGTGGATCTTTATATCGTACGATCCATCGTAGTATCACGGCAACCCCTGGATCGAACAGAGACCAGCCTGGTACCAAGCCAGCCAAAAATAACACCTCTAGGCTTTTACACTCGAGGTCTTGGAGAGGCCCTTGCAAGGTGATTGATGCCTTGGGTGGCACGATGCCACCCCTCCCGCCACACACCACACGATGGCACACTGCGCCTTTACCAGCGGGCATCTCGTTATCGCCAAACTCTCATAACCGTAATACAGCACCACCCTGTGAAGACCGCCACCACTTGCATCTCACAAGCGCACAGCCCTCGTGTCAATCGTGAGGGGTGGGGAGGGTTCTTTGCCCATACGTCACCATTCTGGCCGATGCCTGCTGGTCAAGGCGGTAATAAGGAAAGGACGTTGGGAGGCATAGAAGTACAGCACAGAGAATGGAACTTGCTGCACCATCCCCTGCCGCCCACAACGGAGCACACAGCAGCTCCACACGTGCACAGAACAAGCCCTCGGTGCGCACGATCGTTGCCCGCGCAAGCGCAACGCGGGCTTCAACCCTGCTCAGCTTCGGACATCCGGGCACGTTGCTGATTATTTGGTCATAGGCGCGCCATGCGGGCGAGAAGTCAAAAGTGGTCGTCCTGTGTAAAGGACTTTGGCCCCACAAGAGGAATGTGCAATGTCCATCGCTGGCTCCGAACCTCCCAGACAAGACGGGCCCTGGGCCTGTATGCGCACGGATTCCTCCGAGCACGCGTTCGCCAGGCCACCTGGCCACACCCCGGGTAACCCCAATCGCTGCCAGTGCCGCTAGTGGTCACATGGAACCAGCCAGGGAGGGGAGGAGGGGGAGTGGGGGGTGGAAGGTCAAATCGGGTGAAGTGGGAGGGAGTGCGAGAGGTCGGGTAAAAGAAGGGCGGTTCCCCTCCCCGCTTCGTCACTCCGGCTCGCCACCGCAGATCACCACTCTTGGCCCCCTTGTCATTTTGATTTATATAAACGATAAATACTTGTGTCGTATTTACATGGAAACAAAGATATGTGCACGTTAGTAAAGGCTATACAAATATCTCGGAAGTTAAGGCAGCTCCTCAATTATTTATAAAAAATAAAGAATACACTCTTTATATAAGAAATCTTTGATTACACGTCGATACAAATCTAAGATGGCACTAAGTGAGGGATTTAAATAATTGGCGTGAAGAATCGTGAATCCAGCGTTCTCCTGGCCCCTCGTCGAGTCTCTCCTCTCGTCATCAACGTCTCGAAGACGGCGCCCGTGGAGCCCCACGGTTCATCCTCATCACCCCTTGTCGTAGCCGTCATCGCCGCGGTGACTCTCACGAGCCGTCGGCGTCCCGGTCACGGTGATAATTTACATCTTCTCAACGCGCGTCCCATCACCGGAGTCATCTCCGCTTCCACCCGTCGCCGTGATCTCCTTCACCCGCTCCGTCGTCACCATCGCCGCCCACCTCATCTTCACTGCCGTCGCCATCTTCGTCGCAATCACCACCACCGCAGCCGCCGCCTCCACGATCACTCTCGCGGAGTGTCTCTCCAATCGTCAGCATCACTTCGACGATCGGAAGCAGCGCGCCCCCCCGAGTGATCCACAGCCACGATCACGGCGAAGACAACTCAACGCCACGCACCGCAACCGAGAGGCCCAACCTTAACCCAGGCTGCCCGGAGGCAGCCAGGTCACGTCCAAGCACCAACCGGCGGGGCCACCTCAGCCTACGTGCCTGGCTCGAGGTTGGAGACGACAGTCCCACACCACCCCAAAGATGCCGACGAACGGGAGACGACTCAGGCGGTTGCAGAACACGCGAGAGAACGGGGGGGGGGGGGGGGGACCTCCTCAACAAAGAGCCCAACGCTCCCCCCCTCCAGCGCAGACGCAACCCCCAGCCTGCGGCTTGCGACGAACGGTACAGCCAGTGGCACGGCGAGCGCCGCCCCCGCCAGGCGCCGCTGGGCCCAACCGCGCCACCGCCGAGGCATCAACCGGCGGCTCGCACGGCAAGCGTGGAACAGGGCGGGGCGGAGGCGGGATGGGTGGGGGGGGGGGGAGGGGGCTTTCGGAGTTTCAGGACCGTGGGGGGCGAAACCCCCGGTGGGTTTGAGGGGGCGGGGAGGGGGGGGCCCGTCGCCTCGTTGGGGGCTACGGCGGAGGCCCCGCAGGGAAGCCCGCGGGAGCCGCCAGGGCCGTCAGTGCCAGCAGACGAAAGGGTGGCGCAGGAGCCCCTCGCCAGAGGGGCGCTGGTGTGCCGCCACAAAGACGCGTCGCAGGAAGTCGCGGCCGTGCTCCGACAGGCTGGAGGGGAGCTGGGGGTTGGTGGGCTGGGTGGCGATCTTGAAGATGGCTGCCATGGCCTCGTACTCGGCCCAGGGCGGCCGCTCCGTCAGCATCTCCACCACGGTGCAGCCGACGCTCCTGTCGGTGCGGACATACCGTCATGTGGCGGGAACACAACGAGGACACGACATGTCCAGTCCCATCATGAATGCACCGCGCTGATCGCACAGAGTAAGCTCTTTAGAGTAACACTGTTTGAAGTCTGTTGCAAAACTGGTTACCAACAAACCATTTTCATAAATCCTAAATAACAGATTCTCATCCGCACGATTAGACGCGTGCATTACGGGCATAAAAATCTCCTTTAGCCGATCGGCGCGCGCCTGTGCGTACACGCGCACATGTTTGTGCGTGTGTGTGTCACGGGAGTTGCGGGGGTCTAGGCACGGGACACGCGGCGTGTGTCACCAACGCGGTGATCCCCGAGGGAGGGGAATCGAGGTGTTGATTACTTTGGCTCGGGTTGCCGCTTCCTGTGGAAAGTTGGCCGTGACCTCTGGTCACCTCCCCCGGTTCCCCCACGCACAGGAATTTCACACCCTGCCACGGCAGGGCGGCCGGATTTATTGTTCCAGCAAGTGCGAGAGACAAACAACAACAGCAGCAGAGCTGTGCACTGGACCAGGCTTCCGAAGGGCCACTAATAAGGGAGACAGGGCCCTTCACAAGACGGCCTTAAACAGAGAAAGGGTCTGTCTCATTTGTGCCATTCACCTCATTGGTACTCCACTGCCTGCCCAATGGGGTGTTTGTCTAGTCTGGGCTCTACGTACGCTCTCATTTGTTCCGTCTCATTTGTTCTGATTTATTCTGAACATTTCCCTTGAGTGAAACATTAAAATGTGCAGAAATTAAACCACCGTAAAGATGATTCTCACACACGCAACTATATGAATGCACACATCATAATCTGAAGAATCAACTTTAGTAATCATCGTCATCGTCAGCCGAGAACAATCCACCGCTGGTTAAAAGGCTCTCAAGGTCACGATGCAGCGATCCACTCGGCTCGTGCACACACGAGCCAATGTCACCGTCGCTCCGCCTGCCCGGTGGAGGTGTCTCGTCGTTTGGCCTCCCTGGGCCGCCAACTCCGCTGTTCTTCTCGACTGCCGGCCCTCCTCCTCTCTTCTCGCGACACGTTGTGCCCAAACCGAGTCTCCAACTTTAACGATCGAATCAATACATCGGCATCCCCTGTGCCGCACCCTACGCACTACCGCCCAGAGCACCCACAACGACCGAAATAACGGGGCAACGACGCAGGGAGTGGCGTCGGGGGAGGGGGGGTGGGTGGGTGGGTGCCGGGGCTCTGGAGGGTGACCCCAGTCTTCCCCACGCCACCCTCCACCCCACCTCGCCCCCTCCGCGCGTGATTGTCTGCACCAGGAAACAGGATGTGCATTATTTCTAAAATAACACAGCAAGCCGCCTTCTCCTTTCACGAGCGGAGAGCGGCGCTCGGCCCGGGGACGCCGGCGGCAGGATTGCAGACGCCCCGCGCCAGCGGCGCCCCCGCGCCGTACCAGGCGCCCGCGGGTCCCCGTCCAACGAGACGGGAGAGCAGCCCTCTCGTCTCGTTGGATAAGGTGATCAGTTGAAGCTACTCGCTTGGGATTTCAGATGGCTCGGCATACGAGTGGCCACTCGGAGGCCAGGTGCCGAGTCACCGTTGTGACGCACAGGAACAGCTGCCACTGGGGGTGCCCTTCCGTACGAGTTGCAATGCAAGACTTACGGACTAAAATAACACTGCAATGCAAGACTCACAGACTAACAGAGACCCACACACTTACAACATGACCCATCGATGTATACAGAGGCTGATAGGACTGAAAGTGGCATAGCTATTGAATGTGCAGGGACCGCCACCGTGGCCCACGCCCCCGTGTGCCCCCCACCGTGTGCCCCCCACAGTGTGCCCCCCACCGTGTGCCGAGCATCACTCACCAGATGTCGGCCTTGCGGCCGTAGCCCTCGCCGCTGATCACCTCGGGGCTCATCCAGTAGGGCGTGCCGCTCACCGTCTTCATGCCGGTGCCCGTCAGGCAGATCGTCTGCAGGCGCTTGCTGGCGCCAAAGTCTCCCAGCTTCACGTTGCCCGCAGAGTCGCGCAGAATGTTGGCTCCTGGGGGCACAAGTGCCAGAGGCCCACGCCGGTGACGCAAGGCTTCACTTGGCCCCTCCTCCTTCAACGCCGCTGGCTTCCTGTTCGCCTTTTCAAATAACTGACGCTCGTCTTTAAATCTCTTCATGGCCTTGCCCCACCTCATCACCTCGCCTCTCTCATCTCATTTCACGTCCCCTCATCTCGTCCTCTTCGTTCTCAATCTTCTCTGTCTCTCTATGTTCCTTATTCTCCCTGTGCCCAATCCCGTTTTCGGTCCTTCTCCCTCCTTGCATCGCTCTACTGGAATCAACTTCCCCTGTGCATTGAGCAATGCCCCCTCCTTAACCTCCTTCTGCCCTTCTCTTAAAGCTCCACCTCTTGCCTATTGCTCATTCTCTTCCTTTTCCCTCCCCTCGCCCCTCCACTCCTTCCCGTCCCTCCACTACCAATTCGTGATCCCTAAGTACCCCTCTATTGCCGTCACTCATTCCTCAATGCTTGCCTGCCCCTGCCATCTAGATCATTCCGTTTTGTGTCAACCTTTTCTAATCTACATTAAGAGCCTTGAGTGAAGGCGCTCATGTGTGTAAAGAGGTGTCTGTGTGTGTGAGGTGATGTGTGAGGTAGTGTGTGAGGTGGTGTGCGTGTGGGTGTGCGAGGTGGTGTGCGTGTGAGGTGGTGCCGTGTGAGTACAGTGGTACGTTCGTGTGTGTTGGTGCGGTAAGTAAAAACACGAGCACTAGGAAGTTCAAAGTAGCCGCGCGTACTGTTGGCGGCCATGCACCCCCTCTCCTGCTCCGCGTTGGCCTCAACAGGCACTCGCTTAACAGCACTCGCCCCGACAGCCTGTCTAAGGCCGCATGGGGCGGGGCTCGCCGCGCTTGCGGGTTGGACGCGGCGTGGCGCGTACGTACCCTTGATGTCACGGTGCACGATCATGTTGGAGTGCAGGTAGTGCACGCCCTCCAGGATCTGGCGCGCGTACCGCCGCGTCAGGTTCTCCGTCAGCGCCCCGTAGGCCTTCAGCTGGTCCTTGACGGAGCCCTGGGAGCACCGCACGCACACGAGCAACCGCGGGCGCGGTCAGACGGCTGCCGGCGCTCGCCCCAACGCGCCGGCGCGGGGTAGCAACCACGGCGGGTCGATCGTAGCCGCGTCACGGCTTCATCCCTCGTCCACCTGCCGCGGGTCATTGGGGGCCGCGATTGTATTCAAGAGTGGCTTTCCTTTCGTGTCGTTTTGCTATCGCCTCGCTTGTGTTGTTTCTCGTTTGTCTCGCTTCGTTTTGGCAGGTTTACTCGCTTCGACAGCCGAAACGTTAAGCGAGCGTGATCACCATCAAATAGTACACAAACACCCGGCACCGAAAAAAGCGCTCGGCATTTTTGGGCACTGTGCAACAGCCATCAGTAGTCCCTAAATAACTGCCATGGTTTCCATTTTTTTACACAACTCACAGAAGCCGGCTGGTTTCTGCACACGAGCTTCTTGCGTACGTCACTTGAAGCTCACGGGGTTTTGGTGGTGCTTGCTCCTGCCTTGGCGTTGGCGCAAAAGCACAATCAACAAAAAAAAAACGAACTCCAACACGTTCGCCAATAACACTGTGAGTGGCCTTAACAGAGGCCACTCTACCTCTCTCACCTGTGCTGTGAAGAAGGCACATTTCACAAAAAAACGTCACCGATTATTTACAGGCCTCCAATTGTTCTTGACGCAGCTCAGGCTGCTATCGCCCAAAAGAGGCGACGCCGTCCCACGTGTCCCATCGCGTTTTGTTCAACTCCCGACTAAGCGAAGGACGCGGCAACGATTCGCTGAGGGTGGGGGGGGGGGGGGAGGCGTACCCCAGGCATGAACTCCATGAAGATGGAGAGGGTGCGCTCCACGGCGTCCTGCAGGCAGCCGAAGTACTGCACGATGCGCTCATGGTGCAGATTCTTCAGCAGCTGGATCTCACACTCGAGTGCCTTCACCTCCTGCTCACGCCACCGGTGGCCGTACACCGCCACCACCATCGTCAGATCAGCACACCAAACCACCACGACACCGCCACCACCACACCACCACAACGTAACGCCATCACACCAAACCACAACACCTCACCATCGCACCACACCGTCACACCAAACCACCACGAATTACATCATACAATAACACAATATCATACCTTTACACCAACTCACACCGCGACACCACACCATGCTGTCACACCATACCAACAAGACAAAACATTAACACTAAGATTTTACATAAATGTACAACTTTACCAATTGTTACATTTCCCGGCCACCTAGGACCCATTTCGTGAAGAGAGGGTCCTTTGCCTACAGCATCCCACTCAGCTGATGAGACACCAGATTTTAAATCCAGTCCCGAGTTTGCCCGAACTGAATCAATGCCGGTGAAATTATGCACTCCTGTTGGACCAATGGGTCGTGTAAGCAAAACACTTATGTTTTTCACGTGGATGAGACCGACATATGCAGGAGTCGGCGGCGGCGTCCGCGCATCAATTTTATTCTTTGCATTCTTCCCAACGACGACGACGACGACGAAGCCACTGCACGTGAACGCGGGCGCCCGCGTGCCCGCCCCCCTCACCTTGCTCGTCTCCAGGCTGTCGGGGTCGAACTGCACCTGCTTGACGGCGAGCTCGCGGCCCGTGTCGGCGTCGTAGCACAGGAACACGCGGCCAAACGCGCCCTGGCCCAGCAGCTTCCCCAGCCGCCAGTTCGTGGGCGCCCGCGGGGCTGTGGGTGGCGCGCGGCACGAGGGGTGGAGGGGGGCGGAGGACGATTGAGGGGGAGGGGGGCATGGCACGGCCGACGGGGTCACGTGGTGACGGCGTGGGCGACGGGGGCGCGCGACGGACGGCACGACCGCAGAAGGGTGCTGACGCACCCACTTGTGCTGCTGCCATCCGCACAGCCCAGCAGTGGGGTTTGGGAGTTTCGCAAATCTCTGCGTGACCTACCAACCCCTTGCCTCCAAAGTTCCGGATCACAGGCTTGTGCCACCACAAACCTCCCCACCTCCCCCGAACCCCCACCCCCGACGAAAGGAAAAGGGGTTATACATTGCACGACCACAAACACAAGTGGCAGCATCACAAAGTTTGACTTTTTTCGTGCTCAATCACGGGAGAAACAATGGCTTATTGAGCGGGAGGGGAAGCGCCCGCTGCAGCTGGCAGCTAAATGTAACGAGCTCCCGTGAGCACGATAACATCTGTGGCCCGCCGAATCTGTGGCTGCCGCCCAGAGGTTGGCCCCAGTCAAACGCCGCTGCTCGCCACGACCAGACACGACCACACAATGCGAACCACAACACCAGCCGCAACCACCACGCCAGCGGCGACCGGCCACAACGCCAGCGGTGCTTAACAACCGCGGCGTACGAGCGGCGTCTGCCCAAAATCAACGACGCCGGCCCAAGTGCCCACAACCACAGCATTGTCTGACCAGAAATATTGGGGGGGGGGGGGGGGGGCCCTCGGCACGGTTGGGTGTTTACAAGGACATATCACAGAGACAGTGGGTTTGAGTGCCTACAGGGAGAAGCTACACGGGAGATGAGGGAAGGGGAGGTGGTAGCCTTCCTGTCCCTTTAAAAAGAGAAGTCTTAGTCTGACCAGGTTATAAATATTTATAACCGATGAGGATGTTCGGAGGGTGGAGGTTTGAAGTATAGTATCTAACTGCAGCAGCAGCAGCAGCAGCAGCAACATGGGTAGATCTTTGCCCAGCAGTGGGATGTTACAGACCGAAAAAGAAGAACAAGAGAGGAGACACGTACATGGGGAGAACCGTGCAACAAAGACGGTGCGAACGACACACGGCAGAGCGGACACGACGGGCGTTAGCAACGAGACAGAGAGAGGCAAATTAGGATCGCCTCCCCAATCAGAGCGTGACTCCCCAAAATCGCGGAAATTCGTCGGGATGGTGGGGGAGAGGGCTCAATCGTTCAGACGTTTATCGGCCCCCACACGCCAGGGCGCACCTCTCCCCACGCCGGTGTTCATTTTTCAAATTAAATTATCCACAAAAAAAATTATCACGCGCGGCGACGACGACCAGGACTGCCGGCCCACCAGGGATAAAAGCGTGGCCGACTTTGCCGCGACCGAGGTTAAAATGAAGACGGGGACTGAGATAACTTAGCAATACTATCAGAGAGGAAGACAAATAGTGGTAACTGGCTATATATGTATATAAAATGGAATTACTGAGTTCAATGATTGGCTGACCTGATAATATTGAGGCAAGGTGGGGGGGCTTATGTGCCCCTTACATAAACATCCAATAACTAAGAGCGTCTCACTGCGTGGCTGACTGCTTTTGTTGCCTTTGACTAAGAGAATGGCCTCATGAAATCCAGACTAGAGCCTTGACTAAAACTCTCCAGGTCATCGTTGATGACGAGACTCAAGACTCTCACTACTAGAACTACACCGCCCTCGCACCACCAAAGAAAGATAAGATAGCCTTACAGACTGTAGGGGCAAGTGCTGTTGGCGAGCACCTATGAAGGCCGGCACGGCACGCGAGTGAGGGGTGGGGTGGCCAGCATCACGCGCGGCCACCTTTGTCCCCCCCCCCGAGCGGGGATGTCTACAAATGGCACCGGGTACTCATTTGAGGCCGAGTCGACCTCGAGGGAGGGAGGCGCCCAAGGACGGGTTCAGATATCCGTCACAGCTTGTCGGCGGCGAACTCTGGTCGCCGGGTTGTGCACGCGGCGTGCAACCGGCCACTCACATCGGCTGGAGTGGTTCACGTCGTTGGCGGAGGGAGCCAGGCCCTCCATGTCGCTGGGCCGGCGAGGCCGCGGCACGGCGCCGCCGTCTCCGTTCCCGGGGAACAGGCTGCTGCTGCTGCTGCTGCTGCTGCCGCCGCCGCCGCCGCCGCAGTTGCCCTGGCCCAGCCCGAACGCCAGGGGGAAGGGGCGCCGCACCCGCGGGAAGGTTCGTCGACCTGCGTCGCGCCCAACCCCACCACCCAGCGCCACCGGTCAACACAGTCACCACAACCGCAGCGCCGTGGTCAGTGCTGCCCTCGTCACCAATACACTTCAAACGTGAAATGTTTCTCGATCCGACAACCATCACGCTGTCGCTTTCCCATAACTTAGGAACTGTTTTTCACTTTTTACCGCGCTTTCGTTGTTGATATTATACCGCATGATACATCGTAGCGTCTATCGCCTTATCACAGCGTACCCTGATTACTACAACAGGTGAAACGGCATCATCATAATCGTTACCATGACCACAAAAGCTGAATCATCATCACCACTGCTATTACAACAACAGCTTAAACGTTATGATCGATGGAATAACCGTGACAACATCTGCTTCATAATCACGACCAACACCACCAACACTGGTTACCCCTACAACACAAGCATCAGTTCAAATCCATCGACGTTTATTGTGTAACCAGATGAGACCACGATGAGTCTCATTTGCAAGAGTGACCTGGGGGGCATTAGTCTGCTAGTAGGAGGCGATGATTGTGTGTGTGTGTGATCTCAACCGAGCGATTTGTGGTGAACATTTTCTAACTTTGCCAATTTTTTGGACCGTGACGCCGTCACCCAACGGCCTGCTCTTGCGAATGACGTCACGGTACCTCTAGATAGACGGAGGGGCACTGTTGACCGCACGGTCACTGCACACGCAGCAATAACCGGCGACGCGTCGCACGCACGCGGTGCACAGCGCAGAGGGTCAGTGGCTGGCACCGTGTGGGCAGGTGCGGTACCATCGCTGTTGTCATGCTGCTGGAAGAAGCCCTGGAGGCGCCGGGGATAGGTGCCGCCCTTGCCAGCGCGTTCCATCAGCCTCGTCTCGTACTCTACAAGGGTGGGGTGGGGAGCGGCGGCCGCACGGGACACCGCGCAACACGCAGGTTGCACCGGCGGCCGTCTCGCACATTTAGCCAATCACACAAACGAGACCATGGCAGCAGAATGATCCCTTATACTCCAGGTCATCGTCGATGGTGAGACTCGAATATTGCAGCGGTGTGACGAGAGTGCTATAGTGCCACAACGTTTTAAAATCCTCTTTCTTTAAAGAGAGAATGGCCAAACTTTAAACATGTCGCGTGACCCGAGACACGCAGCCCTGTGCGATCTATTGCAATGGCGGAGCCAGGATTGTCAGGTAGCGGGGGGGGGGGGCAACCCCTCCAGCAATGAAAAATGATAGAGGAGTTGTTAGTAAGTCAGGACTTGTCCCTTGCTTTTCAGTCGACGCGTGTGCGGCGATGGCGCAGCCATCGATCGAGGGTCGAATTCGAACCGCGTGGTGTGATCGGCATCGCGCTCGCTGCAGGTGTTGATGCCTTCAGGGAAGTCGTGGACTGTCTACGCAACTGCGCACAATCCTGCGAGTCACTTATAACTGCTTTGCCGTTACTTATTGCCAATTATGAACGATTGTCCTATCATCTCATAGAGTCCCTGGCACATAATAATATGCTACACAGTAGCAGTGGGGGTCGCAAAATGCCGATTTATTACTAATAAACACCAATGATCCAATCGAAATTAGGGATTTCGATCGGATCATTGGGGGGGCACGTGCCACCCCACCCCCCTTCACTGGCTCCACCCGTGATCTATTGCATGTTTGCTGATTAAAAGTAAACCGAAAGGAGTTTGTTGCACACCAAAAAAATTGGGTTAATTCTTCTGAACCAATGGTTTTCTCAGCAGCAGAGAAATACAGCACCTGTCCCGACTCTCTGCACCTCGTCAGTAGAGTGCGGCCCACGAAAGAGACCTACGCGGATTGATCCTCTGCAAACTCGATCCCTTACCCGAGTACTCGTGATGGTTGTCTGGGAAGCTCTGAGCCCTGGACATACGGCCTGGATGGTAGCTGTCACTGTTGAGAGGGCAGCAGGGTGAGGGAGGGCAACACAGGGGAGAGACTCAAAGAGGTGGGCCTGGGTGGCTCAGAGATCAGAGCGCTGAGCTACCACCGGGCTGAGTCTTGGGTACGAATCGAGGTTTCAGCCACTTCCTGTGATTAAACAGAGTTCTCAAGCATCGGGATTTGACGGTCTCTGCCCAGTCAACAACCAGAACATTAAATTTGGCACAGCACTTAATTTTGCTAAATTTCAACTGTTAGAATTTACTTTTTTTTTTTAATTTGGCTGTCTTGAGAAGAACATTACTTGCAGTGACAGGGTGAGTGGGGAGGTGCTGCACCATACTCTGTGGGAACAGAGGTCACTTGAAGGGATCTTAGCAGTAGCTCGTTGACATATGCTTCTGGGGGCTGTTATAAACACAGAGTGCTGCAGTGCTACTGTGAGGTATTTTAATTATTCATCATCTCCTCTTATGAGGAGTAATAATCATGTGTTCAGGGAATATTCTGTGGCTTTGCAAAATAACCCAGAAAAGAGAATAGGCCAGATATGCCAAAGCAGTGCGCTCATAAACAAAAAAATAAAGTCTCGAGATTCAGTGCAAAATCTCCTGGATAAATAAGACAACGTTATATTGATGATGATTATTATTCTGTGCAGTAGTTATATAATTATTACAAACAGAAATGTTGCGGAACACTCTGTACAAATTAAGTTAGAATGGGAATTACGTTTAAAACCAGCGAAAATAGAGAGCAGCAGAATGTTCCCTTCCACAGAAACATTCTCTTTGCCATCCCGGCCAAGTTTGGGGGAAGGGGAGACCCCCCCCTACAGGCCCCTTCGCCGCCCCCCACCTCCTCCCCCTTTGTGCTGAGACTGGGTGGTATATAAGGGGGGTGTAGGAAGGGGGAGCGATGGTGCAGCAGTTAGCGCGCCGCGCTACGAACCCAGTGACCCGAGTTTGATCCCTGCTCACGGCCACCAACACCAGTGATGATTGCCTGAACCGGTCCTGGGCATCTCCTAAGTCGACTCAGCCTCAAATGAGTACCTCGTGCGATGCGTTAACATTAGCACTGGGGATAAAAAATGTGGCCGGGCGTGGTGTTGGCCGCCCACCCCCTCGTGTGCCATGCCGGCCTTCATAGGTGCTACTCGCTAACAGCACTTGCCCCGACAGTCTGTTAAGGCCATACGGGGGATCTTTTTATTTGTGGGCGGGGGTGCTGATACCTCAAGCAGCTGTCCAGAGACTGGCAGCTCCCGCCAATTGAGTTGTCCGCACTGCTCAGGGGGTCCAGCATCTGCGCACAGATAGGCACACACAGCCAGCGGATCACGCACCTCCTTGCCTCATCACACGCACCTCTTCGCGCAGCCCAGTAGCGTGGGCGCTGACGCGGCCCCAGCGGTTTCCACGTTTGCCACCTGATGCAGAGGTTCGCGATTCAAATCCGGCGGGGCCATCCTGGTTAATACCGCGGGATCATTAATCGTAAATATACCACTACGCGCCGTCCGCTTCACTCACGGTGGACGTTAAAGGTTCCCGTGTGAGGTCATTCGCAAGGGAAGTCCATTGTGTGCCGGCGTCGTGGTCGAAATAACCAAAAAAATACCCGCAAAGTCCTCAATTGGAATCTACATCGCAATCATCACTGCCAACTATGAAAACTTGGTAGGACCCCTCCTGGAAGACAGTCATGAAACTGAGCGAGGCTCTCCTTGGTAGGCAAGCGTGGTTTGTATGGGCGCCCTCTCTTCATAGCCCAGCGTCTGGGCCCCTCTGGCCCATGGACCCCAGTGCAATTGCACTGCCTGCACACTCAATATCTACTCCACCGTCTCTACACAACAACGGCACACACCAACGCGCCCCAAACACACGCCTGAAATGTACAACTCAAACACCTCCACACAACTATGTGCACGTCAACACACCTCGATCACCCAACTAACATCCTTCACCTGTTACCACAACACACGTTCTCACACCCTCCTCCTGATCAGGGTTCTTTTTCTACCCCTGAACGCGTGGATTTCTCCTCTGGACGATCCGGTTTGTTCTCGCATACCAGACACGTCGTAATTGGATTACCCATTACAGAGTATTTGGTATGCGAGGCCTGACACTACTCAGTGGGTAAGAGAAGGGCAATAATATTATTGCCAAAGACGAAGGCAAGTGTAGTCACGCAGACATCTATAAAGGCTGGCACGGCACACAAGAGCGCGTTTTGCCAAACACTCCGGCCTGGCCGTCTTTGTCTCCCCCGGCTCTTGTGTTTATACGCCGCACCAGGTGCTCCTTTACGTTCGTACGTTGAACTTCTTTTGCACCGTACGCAGCCAACTGTGCTAATCGGAGGTACGGGAGAGACTGGGGTCGAACTAGGGGGCGCAAATCCGGACCAGTTTAGATATTCTCCGCTTGAGTTAGCCGCGGCTGGGAGTCGAGCTTGGGTTACCAGGTTCATCGGGCAATGTGCTCAACACCGAGAGAGGGTCTTATGACCCGTACCAGCAACAGCATCGTTGTCCCCCGTCGTCTGCGGTAATTAAATCTGCCGTGTAACAAAGGCAGTCTCAGAGTAAATGCGGGATTAATGGCAAACACTAAACTCTAGCCAAATGCAAGGATATGTAATCTCGAAACTCTTAATCAATGCTTACCATTTTCTGAACGGGTGACTTTTTAAGCCCTTTAATCCTAGAGTGGAAGAAAGACATCTTGTACGGTAATTAAGTCGTATGCCGAGCTTGGCCACTGCCAATCAATTCGGGGAAACGATCGTTCCAGTTCTCACAAACCGAGGTCTACATCCAAGTTGTATGCATATGTATGTCGAACTTCTTTTGCACCGTACATAGCCAACCGTGCTAATTGGAGTTATCACAATCCAAGGTCTATACGAATAAATAAAACATACTTATATTGTGAAAACCCTCGAGGAGAATCGGACGGCTGCGTTGAGACTGCACGGAGAAAGCAACAAAAGAGATATTTCAAGGGGGAGTCGGACACGAAAGAAACGCTTTTTGCCAAAATAATTAACGGCAACATAATTTTTTTTTACAAAAAAAAGATAACGTGCCTGTTGGTCCGTCTGTTCCGAGCGTTCTGATTGGCTGGAAGCCAAAGGGTGCGCAAGGTGGCCGCGGGTAGGGGCTGCGGTGAGCGAGGGAAGGGCATGGGGGTTGTCCCGCGCGTTGGTGGGCATCAGGGGGTGGACACGTCGGGATGTTAGGAGTGTGGTAGTTGAGGGGGGGGGGGCATCGTTCAACAACGGGCACTTCAACCACCGCCACCACCCAGCCATCCGGAGGGTCACTGCCCGCCCGCCTGCACTGCCTTGTGTCATATCCGTACTGCCCACAGCAAGTGCAATCACTAATTACATAAATAGAAAATAAAATAATCTCTCAAATGTGACTGCGGCAGACCACAACAAAGTGGAATGCATCGTGAACTCATGTCCACTGTGAGCCTATGAGTCTCGCTGTGACAGTCTATGGGTCTCTTTGCGGGTCGATGGCTCTCCGTGTGAGTCGGTGACTCTCTGTGGGATTCACTGGTTGTGCCTGGAAGCCAGCTGCCAGACTTGCAACATAGACATCGATTCATAGCTGCTACACAATTCACATCCATACAAAAGAAGAACAATTATCCTGTACTATGCACCAACTAGACCCTTGACCACAGGAGCAAGCCCACTGTGAAATCTGAAAACTCAAAGGTGGCATTGACGCAATACCACTTAGCATGGACACAGCCCAACAAGTGGCAGCGTGGACACAGCCCAACAAGTGGCAGCGTGGACACAACCCAACAAGTGATAGTGTGGACACAACCCAACAAGTGATAGTGTGGACACAACCCAACAAGTGATAGTGTGGACACAACCCAACAAGTTGTAGTGTGGACATAACCCAACAAGTTGTAGTGTGGACATAACCCAACAAGTTGTAGTGTGGACACAACCCAACAAGTGGTAGCGTGGACACAGCCCAACAAGTTGTAGTGTGGACACAGCCCCACAAGTTGTAGTGTGGACACAGCCCAACAAGTTGTAGTGTGGACACAGCCCAACAAGTTGTAGTGTGGACACAACCCAACAAGTGGTAGCGTGGACACAGCCCAACAAGTTGTAGTGTGGACACAGCCCAACAAGTTGTAGTGTGGACACAACCCAACAAGTGGTAGCGTGGACACAACCCAACAAGTTGTAGTGTGGACACAGCCCCACAAGTTGTAGTGTGGACACAGCCCAACAAGTTGTAGTGTGGACACAACCCAACAAGTTGTAGTGTGGACACAGCCCAACAAGTTGTAGTGTGGACACAACCCAACAAGTTGTAGTGTGGACACAGCCCAACAAGTTGTAGTGTGGACACAACCCAACAAGTTGTAGTGTGGACACAGCCCAACAAGTTGTAGTGTGGACACAGCCCCACAAGTTGTAGTGTGGACACAGCCCAACAAGTTGTAGTGTGGACACAACCCAACAAGTTGTAGTGTGGACACAGCCCAACAAGTTGTAGTGTGGACACAGCCCAACAAGTTGTAGTGTGGACACAACCCAACAAGTTGTAGTGTGGACACAGCCCAACAAGTTGTAGTGTGGACACAGCCCAACAAGTTGTAGTGTGGACACAGCCCAACAAGTTGTAGTGTGGACACAGCCCCACAAGTTGTAGTGTGGACACAGCCCAACAAGTTGTAGTGTGGACACAGCCCAACAAGTTGTAGTGTGGACACAGCCCCACAAGTTGTAGTGTGAACACAGCCCAACAAGTTGTAGTGTGGACACAGCCCCACAAGTTGTAGTGTGGACACAGCCCAACAAGTTGTAGTGTGGACACAGCCCCACAAGTTGTAGTGTGGACACAGCCCAACAAGTTGTAGTGTGGACACAACCCAACAAGTTGTAGTGTGGACACAGCCCAACAAGTTGTAGTGTGGACACAACCCAACAAGTTGTAGCGTGGACACAGCCCAACAAGTTGTAGTGTGGACACAGCCCCACAAGTTGTAGTGTGGACACAGCCCAACAAGTTGTAGTGTGGACACAGCCCAACAAGTGGTATTGTAGACACAGCCCAACAAGTTGTAGCGTGGACACAGCCCCACAAGCGGTAGCGTGGACACAGCCCAACAATTGGCTACTCATCCGGCCATGCGCGAGAGGAAGAGGGCAGACACTCACGCAGGGATCCAGCGCTTCGGGGATGAACTCGCCCTCGCTGTTGATGCTGGTGTAGGAGCCCTGGCGCGCCACCTGCTGCTGTCCGGCGGGGACGTGTCCGGGCGGAGGGGACGCGCTGCGCTCTCCTGACGGCGAGCCTGGAGCACCGGCCCCCGCCGCAACACGGGTCGACACGCAGCACACCGTGGAACGATTACCGGCACGCAACGAGGACAGGGATTCACCCCCCCCACCCCGCCCCGTACAGCGTTAACAGACTTTTGCGACAAGTGCTGGGAGCAAAAAATGTGGACAATGGGGGCAGGTGGCCCAGCGCCACGCTCGGCTCCTTTGTCTCCTCGGCGGTGATGTTTACACACCGCACCAGGTACTCGTTTAAAGGCGAGTCGACCTAAGGGAGGTCCCCACCAGGATCGGTACAAATGTCCGCAACTGTTATTGGTCGTGAGCGGGAATCAAACTCGGGTCGCCGGCTTCATAGCGCAACGCGATAACCACCGCTCCCCACAAAACAAACCGCAGCACACACGACACACACCACACAGCGATACGTACCGACACAACAGCGTCACATGCCAACATACACCACACAAAGCACAAACGCACACCCCACAATGCACAACACTACACAGAAACACACACCACAGTCACACAGCAACGCATGTATAAATAAGACGCAAGTACAAACACACGCCGCGGCAATTGCATACGGCCACACACGCCACACAACGCATGCTGCCAGACATCCCAAATGTGGCACAGCACGGTGCTATAGGCCGTGGAAGAGGGCAATGCAGCCAAATCAATCGATGCACTTTACTGATATTCTCCCGGCCGTAAGCATCCCACATTGACCAGGATGGTGAAGTACGATCGAATAACCACAACGGTTTGCATGGGCATGGGGAGACCCTCATCCAGCAATGGGCTGACAGATACGTACAGATCCACAATAGATGTTTGGGTCAGGCCACGAAAATGGTCTCGTCATATTGACGTTAAAATATCCCCCCCCCCACCCCACCACCAGACATATCCAAACAAACTAAATTGTCACGTGGTGTACAATGGTTTAACCCACCGATTATTATTGTTTCGACTCACACCGGTTCAGCTGAAGAACAATTCCCACTGCCGAATTAATCAATCAGACGCGAGGTTTTCGCTTGCAGCTGCGTCAAACATCCTCGGGACAAAATCCGGGAAGTCAAGAGTGTGAACACTGCAAACTGCATGGCTTTGTGACCCGGGACTGCCTTGAAAATGAGACCCTCCAGTCTCCACGGGCTCTCCCGCGTGGTTCAAAACGAGTAAGTTACATACGCAAGACGCTGGTAAACCGATCGCTCTCCAGGTTTCCCCAGCCTCCCTGGGCCACGCCGCCCCAGGCCCTGCGGCCCGCCCACCCCGGGCTATCAGATGGGAAAAGAGCCCAACCTATTGTAGCGATGGCGGCCTATGCGAGGGGCAGGAAGGGGAAGGCCTCGGCAGGCAGGCAGGCACGCACCGCAGGAAGTCACCGAGGCAATAAACACACATCGCACACATACTCGCACTAACGCACACGGAAGCTCACCAACACTCACTCATATTAACACACCACTGCTTGCTCACCCATACGAAGGTGCAAAGACAAAACAATCCCCATGTAGCCTTCAACCTAAATGTTGGGACAAGTGCTGTTAAGCGAGCAGTACGCTGCTGTATTTGGCGTGATTTGGCACATAACAACATGACAGGTACTGGTTGTACCGTGTACCAATAGCAGTGGCTATCAATGCATACCGATGGTACAGCACAAGCGTTGGTACGTGCCAGTGTGTGCCAAAAGTGCACCACCGGCTCCGGGCACGTGGTATATTGTCAGCACGTACAAACAGTACCAGCACCAGTTTGGTTGTCTGCCAGCGCGTTCCAACAGCTACCAGCAGGGGCAGCAGCAGCAGCAACAGCGTGCGGCAGTGCACGTGGGCAGCACAGCGCCGCCGCCGTAGCAGTGGTGTGCGCAAGCGCGTACCGACAGACAGGTGGCGGCTGCGCGGTGCGTGGGGTCCGCAGCGCGCGATGTCTCCCAGCGAGTGGGACGGCTTCATCCTCCCGCTGACGGCCATCGCCGGCTTCCCCAGCCCCGAGTCGTCCTGCTGGGCACAGCGGCACAGAGAGCGGCCCTCGCCGTGAGCGCGCGTGCGTCAGCGGATGGAGGGCCCACAGCCGAGGGGACAAATACGGCCCCACGGCTTCATTTCATAATGTCCCGCAGCCACGTGAGGTCTATGGCCTAGCACTTGGAACCGGCTGGAAAACGTCATTTACCTAAAGTTCCAGATCGTAACACGCACAGTGTTCAATCACACGCGCGAAGACAGGGAGAGAGGTCGGCTCAGAGGCGTGAGGGAACCGCACACGCGGTCAGCCGGCCACAAACAATTTTCCAAGCTCTGCGGTCCTCTATATATTAAGATGTTATCGGCCAATTAATAACGAGTGTTTAACATGTGGGAAAAAAACCGGAGCACCCATACAGACAGAACAGGTGGAGTGCACATTTCTGCTGTACCGCACTTCCTTGACACCCACCAAAAGGGAATTTTGAGAATTTAAAATGTATGTTCTACCCACCTTTTGGCGGCCTTGGTCAAGTGCTCAGTGAAACACCGCCATTAAGGGGCAGACCGATCAATTTCAAGGACAATGCATACATTATCAAAGCTATATGGACGTATTGGCGGCACACCGGTGAAGTTCAACACACCGGTGGTCCTCATAAAACAGGTATAAAATCTAAATTTGAATGGACATTCGTCTTCCGACTGATTCGACATCACGAGAACTGATTTTGATGTACCCTACAAGATTTTCTGATCGGCGAATAAACAATCATTGTGCAAACATTAAATTTGTATATGACGCGTACCGGTGTACTGCCAATACGTTGATATTCCGTTCGCTTTCGTTTTTTTTTTTGCCAGGAGCAAGCATAGCTATGCAAGCTTGACGCTGCCTTGCATCTTATATTTATCTGTCACTGCAAGCATCTTGAGCAGCACTAATCGTGAACTTGAAGGGAACACGTGTAACCTGGCAACAACACTGTGTTTATTACTTTACCGTGCTCACTCAACTTCTGTCACTTACAAGAGGCCCGTGTGTGTGTGTGTGTGCGTGTTCATGTGTGGCTTGGGGGAGTGACAGTGTAGCGGTTGGCGCAGAGCGCTACAAACCTGACGACCTCCAGTTGTATTCTTGCCCATGAGCAATAATAACAGTGGCGAATATCTGAAGTGGTCCTGGGCTTCCCCTAGGTCCACTCAGCCTTAAATGAGTACCTGGCAAAGTGTGTGCAAACATTAGGACTCGGTAGACAAAGTTGGCTCGGCGTGGTGTTTACCAACCACCCCCTCGTGCGCCGCGTTGGCCTTCATGAGTGCTACTCACTAACAGCACTTGCCCAAAAAGTTTGTTCAAAGCGACACAGGAGATGTCTTCAATGTGTGGTTGGCCACCAAAGGTATCTGAACGTCCTATTTGCCCCTCCGATTCTACTACAGCCGAGCTTAAATGGTGCAGCTCTCCTGCAAGTAACTTTGTCGTACTCTTCACATGTTGCACAAAAATTCTATGTTCAAACAAAGCAACTGCATGTTCCTGAGCCGTTAACTAAACTAGCCCCCCCTCCCCCTGAATCTGCTTCTACGTAAATAGGGGCCGGAATGTCCAACTACCACATCCCCTCTCTTGCGTGGGCGACCTGACCCAGCGAGACAGATGGCGGTTGCGGAGAAGGAAAATTAACTACTCAGCCTATGCATCAAAGAGACACAACCGGTTATGTGAGATGGAATGCAAGGAACGCACGGTGGAGCAGCGGTGCAATGAGCCCCAGCGGGCAGAGTCTTGTTTCCCGGTCAGGGCTGATATCGGTGACATCTGAACCAGTCCTGGGTGTAACCCCTTCACCGACCCCGCACACAGTGAAGTACGCTCAAACAATCCCTGCGACTGACACGGTGCGGGGAAGCCTTCATCCAGCAGGGATTTGACAAAGGGGCAGTAAATTAAGGGAAATAACCAGAGCGAATGCGTTACCTTCATATAAATCCTGTTCGCTTATCAAACGTTTCCACTCTGTTACAAACGTGAAGAAAATAAGTTCATACTCTTTGGTTCTTTCGGTAAAGTCACGTAGGTAGAAAAATAAAATAAAACAAAAAAATAACACATCACGACGTTTCGATCGCAACACAAGCGGTCGTCCTCAAATTATTTTTTGCTTTATTTTATTTGTATACCTACGTGACTTTACGGAAAGAACCAAAGAGTATGGATTCCTGCAGTCACGAAAGTTTAAAATCTAAGTAAATTCAGCCATACTGGATTCACTGTTTCCGCGATGGCCATGTGACCAGCATGTCATATTCTATTATAAAACAAGTTCTGCTGCCTGGCTGTTTTTCTGGCTGGCTGATCCATTGGCGGGAAAGTGCACCGCGGTGATGTCACCACGCACATCTGAGTAATTACGTCATCATGCCCCCCCCCCCCCACCACCAACCTCCCACTTTGGCTGTGCTCGTGCTGGAATGTACAATAAAATACATTTACATTTATTTTTTAAACAACGTTGCTCTATGTTGCAGTGCCACCTGGAACTTTACTCTGCGTTGAAGCCTAAATGGCAAGCAACACGAACCAGCTGCGCCCATGCAGGAATACTGCACCCTCAACTTCAGCGTAACAGTGACCTCTAGAGGTGGGCAAGGCAGGGTGAGTGTGTCATGTTGAAGTAATGATGAAGAGGCGCAGTAAAAACCTCACAAAGCCGGACTCGGAGGAATTTGGAAAGGCCACAGAAATAAATGTTTTAGATATCAAACACTCAACAAAACTCCAACCGGAACACTGCTCGCGCACTAACTTCAGAGTCTCTACTCTCCCTCATTGTGGCTCCCTCGCCCTGCACCCAGTCTTGCTCTCTCGCTGCTTCTCCCTTCTCGCTCCCCTTCAACTGGAATCATCTCGCACTGCAGCACACAGAGCAATCATCTTCAATCGAACCTGCAGCTTCCGTCCCTCACTTAAAACAACCCTGATTTGAAGCTTTCGTGACTGCAGGAATCCATACTCTGTGGTTCTTTCGGTAAAGTCACGTAGGTAGAAAATAAACTAACTACATGACTTTACCGAAAGAACCAAAGAGTATTAAAACAACACCCAAGCCCATCCTGCTACTGCAACTGCCTCCACCCCTATCACTACCCCAACCCCTATCACTACCCCAACCCCTATCACTACCCCAACCCCTATCACTACCCCAACCCCTATCACTACCCCTATCACTACCCCAACCCCTATCACTACCCCAACCCCTATCACTACCCCAACCCCTATCACTACCCCAACCCCTATCACTACCCCAACCCCTATCACTACCCCAACCCCGATTACTACCCCAACCTGATTACTACCCCAACCCCCATCACTACCCCAACCCCCATCACTACCCCAACCCCAATCACTACCAACCCCTATCACTACCCCTAACCCTATCACTACCCCAACCCCTATCACTACCCCAACCCCTATCACTACCCCAACCCCTATCACTACCCCAACCCCTATCACTACCCCAACCCCTATCACTACCCCAACCCCTATCACTACCCCAACCCCGATTACTACCCCAACCCCGATTACTACCCCAACCTGATTACTACCCCAACCCCCATCACTACCCCAACCCCCATCACTACCCCAACCCCAATCACTACCAACCCCTATCACTACCCCTAACCCTATCACTACCCCAACCCCTATCACTACCCCAACCCCTATCACTACCCCAACCCCTATCACTACCCCAACCCCGATTACTACCCCAACCCCCATCACTACCCCAACCCGTATCACTATCCCAACCCCAATCACTACCCCAACCCCTATCACTACCCCAGCCGCTATCACTACCCCAATCGCTCCTTAACCACTCCCACCAATTCCCCTGTCACCATAACTACGCCACTTTTAATGACAACCCCACTCTTTATCTCAACCCACTCTCATGTCACGTACAATTGTATAATCGCTGTAAGGCACGCTATACATTGACATTGATATCAGACAAAATTAGCCCCCTGCTGCAAAACCACCGCAGATCTTGTCCGCAAAACGCAGCGGCGCCTTCCGTCGCGATAGCCTCGCGCTACGAGGCAGGACGCGAGCGACGAGCGTGGCACACAATGCGCGAAGAGGGGGGTGCGCCGTACTTACGCGGGTGTCGCAGTCCACGGCCACCAGGAGGATGCGGAGGCTCTTCATGTGAGTGCTCCAGTCCAGCAGCCCCACGGCCTTGTCCAGGTCGTCTTGCGAGATCAGCGGGATCAGCAGCTGCACACCGCACACAGGGAGAAGGGGGGGGGGGGGGGTCGTCGTCGGCACCATCTTCGTCATCTCACAGAGCAACGACGACACCAAGGGGTTACGAGGGACATCCACTGTACGGCCAGGGGTGGGGGGTCACCTGTGAGCGGGTGGGTGGTTGAGCGAGTGCGAGTGAACGGGTGGTTGGGCGAGTGAGGTGATCGAGTGAGGGTGGGTCAGCGAGCGAGTAAGGAAGTGAGCAGGCGAGTGAGTATGCAGGTCGACGGGTGGGTGAGCAGTGAGTGAGTGAGACAGCAATTGCGTGAGTGAATGAATAAGCAGGTGAGCAAGTGACTGGGTGGGTGGGTTAGTGAGCGAGTGAAGGAGAAGGGGGGTGAGGAGGTAAGTAAGGAAGTGAGAAGTTGAGTAAGGGAGAGGGTGGGTGAGCGTATGAGCGAGTCACTTAATCAGTAGGCGAGTGAATAAGTCAGCGAGCGGGCGGGCGAGTGCATGAGCGAGCATGTGAGTGGGGCAGCAGGTGAGCGAGTGAGGGAATGGTGGAGCCAAAAGTACTTGCCCATATTGTTATTGTATTGGGGAGGGTCTGAGCTTAATGACAAAGTGAGGGTCTCACCTCGTTATTGGTGTAGTGCAGCTCCATCATCTGCCCGAAGCCGGCCTGTGCCTTCAGCCGGATGGCCTCGAGTTTGACAGGCCGTGGGAACTGGATGATCCTGCAGTAGAGACACGGTCACTCTCATAAACTTTTGAAATAAATATTATAGCGCGTTGCATTGTACAGAGCTCGAAGCTCTAAATCTTTTCTGTGTCCGGTTGTCCAAGTACGTTTGTGCTCGAGTATGTGTGTAGAGATGGGCTGAATTGGTACAGGAGGGTCTGTCTGCTCAGCTCCAGGCCTCTGAGGAGGAGGTTCTTGCAGGATGCTACTGGACAGTTGGAAGCAGTCGCCCTCCAACAACAAAGGAGGGTAGCGGAGCTCACAACAAGGATTAGAGCGCCGGGCGGCTAAAATGCAGCAAGTTGGCGCAGTAGTGAGCACAGGTGGCGCAAATACCAGTCATCTCAATTAGTTATCCCATAACACTTGGGCCCGTCCTGTGACCTCCTGCACTTCACAGGATGGCCTCAAATATACCTGGCCTGGCACAAGCCCTGTGGTGACGTCACCGCCGCTGAGTGCTGTATGGCAGCTGTTGTGAAATGTGCATCTGCTCGAGTATTTGTGTCCGAGTCTCTTTCTACCTCAGTGTGTGTGTGTGTCTAATTGTGTCTATCAGTTGGTATAAATGAGCAGGAGTTTGCCCGAATGTCTATGTCTGTGTTTGAGAGAATGAGTGTGTGAATGTCCATCTGTATGAAGGAGTGTCTGTTTTGTATGTCAGTCTCAGTGTCTATATCCATTCCCCTGTGTGCGTCTCAGTATATGTCCATCTCATTCTATGCATACGTGTCTCCAGATTTAAGTACATGTCTGAGTGAGTGTCTGGCTCTTTGTTTGTTTGTCTGAATACCGAAGTGAGTGTCTGAAAGTGATGTCTCAAGAATCTATACTTGTCCAGGTCTCACCGTTTCTCTCCCCGGTACTCGAACTTGACCCGAACGTCAGTCTGTAAAAAAAAAATTAAAAGACCACAAATGAAACGTGCTCATGCGTCATGTCTCACCAGCTTACAGACTGTTGAGGCAAGTGCCATGAGCAAACCATAATGAGGGCCAGCATTGCATACAGAGAGCTGGTGTGGCCAGCACCATCTTTCCGCACGTCCAGTTAGCACGGTTGGATACGTACGGTGCATAAGAAGTTGACCACACATACATACTTCGGCTATCTTTGTCCCAACCTCTTCGTCTCCCCAAGTATTCGTGTAAGGCCGAGTTAACCGACCAAGGACAGATGCTGCTGTTACATACATGGGTACTCAACTCAGGTCGCCGGTATTATAATGCAGTGTGTGCAACGCTAAGCCAGTCGCTCTCAACACACACACACACACACAAAGAACCCCTGCATAGCCTCTAAGAGACTATTGGGGCGAGTGCTGTTAGCGATTGCTTATTCGGGCCTGCACAGCACACACAGGGATACGTGGCCAGGACTGAATCTCGCCATCTAGGCGAGATTCAGTGAGCTGACCTAGGAAAGGCCCAGGACAGGTTATGATACCATGTGTCGTTGATGTTATCCATTGCCAGGAATTTAACCCAGGTAAGTGGTCACCATTGGTCACCATGCTCGTGGCCTGTAATCCAGCACTGTGGAGGCAAGGGTTGGTGGATCACACAATCATTTCGAAAACTCCCTTCGTGTAGGCGCCGAAGAATACTACCCTGGCATTCCAAGAGAAGACGGTAAAGCACAGTGTGAACTAATATCATCTGTCCTATCTGTATGGGATAGTGTTGCTCCCCACGCACTCAAAGGCCCACACAGATGGGTTCAAGAACAGGCTCGCCATGGCTGCCATCTGCTGGCCACTTCACGGCCCCAGCGGGTGTGGGAGTTTGACAAATCTCTCTCTGTGCAATCGGTCGCCCCTCGCCTCCAAAGAACTGGCTTGGGGCACAGGCCACACTACCGCGCGAGGCCCATGGACGAGGCTGCTTGGTGGACGATGGTGAAGGGACCAATGTATGGAGAAGTCTGCTTCTAAAGGTGGTGGCTGTGGATAAGGCAGATATAGAGTAGCTGTAGGGAGGTGGTTGTAGGGAAGGGTGACTGTAGTGAGGGTAGCTTTAGAGAGAGCGGCTGTTGTGAGAGTGGTTGTCGAGAGAAATGCTGCGGAAGGAGTGGTCGTAGTGAAGGTAGCTGTGGTGGTTGAGGGTGGCTGGATGAAGGGGTGGGGGGCTGTGCTTTGTACCGAGGGTGCTGCGGGGCCCTTATGCCGACCGGGGTCGACCCCTGGGGCCCTCTGCCGCTGGGACATCTTGAGGGCCACCAGGTCCTTCATGATGGAGTGGAGCGCCCGTTGCTCGTCTGTACATGGGCAAAGACACACACCGCACAAAGTTAACACTCGCTAACACCAACACTCTCCAACATCGACACTCACATGCACCGCCACTCACCAAACACCGACACCAACACTCGCACCGATATTTACCTGCACCGAAACTCACCGACACTCACTAACACCGACACTCGCACCGGCTCTGGTGCGGCAGCATGAGCACAATTACCAGGTGTCGGGAACTCCTCCCCCCTCTCTCTCCACAACCACACCCAAATAGCAACGCAGAGATGAGAGGGTGGAATGTTTGACAAAAATAAATTACCCAGGAAGGTGCATTGTTTTGGTCGCGCTGATGGCAAAGCTGATGTTCAGCAGAAGAGTCTCCAATTCCTTCTCAGAGTGAGCAGCAATCACCAGTGCACATAATCACATGGGTGATCAGTCGGTAGCCATCTCCGGATTTCACTCGGGCATCAATTGTAATAATATTTATAATGGCATAGTTTAAACTTGTGACGTGCACAGCACTTTCTCACTTTTGAAGAGAGCAACGACGACATGGTGAGATGGCACCAACAATTGCCCAAGATTTGCCGTTCTCCATATGCTCAGGGCGTTATCGGTTAATTATTAAGTACTTGCATGTGGGAGGAAACCGGTGCATGCGTGGTGTAAATCCACGCATGCAAGGGGGAAACACTCTATCCCATTTGGAGGGAGCAGGTGGAGTCCACATTTTTTGCTGTATTGCATTATCCTGGCAAGCCAGGGTGTAGCACCTCACTGATACTCACGGGGAAGGGAGTTTTGCAACATTTGTGAGAATCAGAATCTTTACTGAGACTGGAGGAATCCGATGGGCTAGCTCTTTTTCACAGATGTTCAGTCATGCAGTGTGCAGTGATTCACGAACCCTCGGTTAAACGGTGCTAGCATTCGCCACCACCGCTCGCCGCTCACGGCATCTGTCGTGTCAGTCATTGGCATTATTTGACCATACTTCACCACGCTAGTCAGTGCAGTTTGGTACCGGGGGGGGGGGAGGGGGGGGGGGGGGTACGACGTTCACCGTGGCCTAGAGTCGAAGTCATGTTGCCGGGTTCACAGTGCAGCGCGCTAACCGCTGTGCCCACCGCTACACCCGCATCGTGGACACGTAGAACCTAGGGGCGTGAGCACCTCCTTCGGCCTCCGCACAAGGAACACGGAGACCACCGCAGCGCTTTCACCCCAATGGTGAGCGATGGCGGGGCAGGGGCAAGGGGGAGGGGGTCAGGGGGGTGGGCGCATGTCCTTCGGCACAGCGGTCGTTCACAACGGACTCCCCCAACAGGAAAGGAGTTCGCCTGGCTGCGCGCGTGCACAGGAACCGCCCGACACCACACACACACGCGTGCACACACACACACGCGTGCACACACACACACGCGTGCACACACACACACACGCGTGCACACACACACACGCGTGCACACACACACACGCGTGCACACACACACACGCGTGCACACACACACACGCGTGCACACACACACACGCGTGCACACACACACACGCGTGCACACACACACACGCGTGCACACACACGCGCGTGCACACACAGACTGTAGGGGCAAGTGCTGTTAGCGAGCACCTATGAAGGCCGGAACGGTACACGAGGGGGTGGGTGGCCAGCACCACGCCCGACCGCCTTTGTCTCCCTAGTGGCAATGTTTACACACTGCACAAGGTACTCATTTGAGGCTGAGTCGACCTAGGGGAGGCCCGGGACCGGTTCAGATAATCGTCACTGGTGTTAGCCGTGAGCGGGAATCGAACCCGGGTCGCCAGGTTCATAGTGCAGCTCGCTAACCGCTACACCATCGCTCCCCACACACACATACACGCACAGACATGAACGCTTACACGCACAAGTGCACGCATACACACGCATGCACATCCAGAAGCGCACAAACACGCACACGCACGTACGTACAGAGGCAGACGCACTTGCAGACAGACGCATATACACACATGCACAAGTAGAGACGCACACACATATACTCATAGGCATGCACGCGCAGACACAATCACGCACGCATGTGCACACATGCAGACGAACACTCAAACAAACGCACATACACACATGCACGCACACGCGCAAAACGTCGCCGCCAGTGCAAGTGAAAGTGTCAGAGAGGGCGGCCGTTGGGAGAGACGCAGAGCCAAGGGGAGGGGCGAGGAGAAGCAAGCCCGGGCAGAGCCCCGGATGGACGGCGAGCGAGCGAGGAGGAGCGGAGCCGCGATGGAGTGAGGGAGGAGCGTGGAGGAAGGAGGAGTGGGCAGCGGGGAGGAGTGGGCAGCGGGGAGGAGCTCGCGGGGCAACGCGCGACGGACGAGGAGGAGCCGGGCAGAGCGAGAGACGCTCGCCCGGTTGAAGGCGGCATGCAATCGCGGAGGGGCTGCCCTGAAAACCTGCTTCCTGCGTTTGGAGATAACGGAGCGGAGAAAATAGCCTCTTAAAACAAGAAACACAGCGGCGGCACAGGGCGGCAGGGCGGGGGAGTTAGGCCCGCGAACCGCGTCACTCACACCCCCCCGCACCCTCGTTCTATCCCTCACTCGCTCACTCATTCCCAAACTGATTTACTCACTCACCTCCTCTCTCACTCATTATCTCACTGAGGACAAGGACAAAGACCCCCCGTATAGACTTAACAGACTGTTGGGGCAAGTGCTGTTAGTGTGCACCTATGAAGGCCGGCACAGCACACGAGTGGGTGGGTGGCCAGCCCCACGCCCGGCCGCCTTTGTCTCCCTAGTGGCGATGTTTACAGACCGCACCAGGTACTCAATTGAGGCCGAGTCGTCCTAGGGGAAACCCAGGACCAGTTAAGATATTCGTCACGTGAGCGGGAATCTAACTCCAGTCACCGGGTTTGTAGCGCGGCGTGCTAACCGTGACACCGCTGCTCCCCATCACTCAGGAAACACACACCCACACACACTCTCACTTGCCAACTCGTCCGTGTGCTCACTCGCTCGCACACACCTTGCACATGCGCACCTCCACAGAGACAAATATCTCCTGGATGGCCTTTGACAAAACGTGGAGACAAGTGCTGTTCATGAGCATCTATTAAGGCCGCCACAGTGGCTTGAGTGGCTAGTGGCCAGAAGCATGCCTGGCCACCTTTGTCTCCCCACCATCTTCCCCCAGATGTCTTTGGCCTCACACACCTCTCCCTCACACCTCGACTTACCGTATGCTACTCCTCTCTACCCCCCCCCCCTCACCTCTTCAGTACCCCCAGCCCAATTGTTGCCAGATGTTGTGGCTGCTGACTCAACAATGGACAATGGGGGGAGACCTAACAAGCCCAGCAGCTTTGCACTCGCACATGTGGGTACACACACTCGGGTACGCACACACGCGCACGTGGGTACGCGCACTCGCACACAGATACACAAACTCGCATACGCAAGTACACACTCGCACACACATGGGTACACACACACTCATGCAAACAACAGTACACACACACACGGGTACACACACACGAGTGAACAAGCTTGCTAGATACAGCAACTCCACACGCAACCATTTTAATCTGTATCGAGTCTGCATGCAATCGCATCAACATAAATTGCATGGGAGCTGCGGTATAAATAATAAATGATAATAACCTCAAGATGCTTTACAAAATAAAATCATGGGCAGGAGAGAGGAGAGGCGGTCAGGGCAAGGTAAACGTGGGAGAGAGGGGAGAGAGAAACTGCGGCACAGGTCGAGATGAAGCAACCGGGGCCCAACACCAACACCAAATAACAACAACAAACAACAACCAACAACGACGACGACGAGCCCCAGGGACAGCCGAGTCTCAGATCATGACAAACCTGTGGGTATACACATGCGTACGCTATGCTGGATGCACACCAGATACACCACCTCCACACACACAAAGATCCCCCGTGTAGCCTTCACAGACCGGCAGGGCAGAGTGCTGTTAGTGAGCACTGATGAAGGCCGGCGTGGCTCACGAGGGGGTGGGTGACCGGCAACCCCGCTCAGCTGCCTTTGTCTGCCTAATTCTGATGTTCACACACACCGCACCAAGCACTCATTTGAGGCTGAATCGACCTACGGGAGGCCCAGGACTGGTTAAGATAATCATCAGTGCTGTTGGTGGCCGTGAACGGGAATCGATCTCGGGTCGCCGGGTCCGTAGCGCAGCGCGCTAACCACTACACTACCACTTCCCACACACACACACACGTGTACCTGCACGCCAACTGAGTGCGCTACATGCACGCCCCCGCTCACCCGGCCCCTTCACTTACCCATCTTGGCCGTCTTCTCCTTGCTGCTCTTGAGATCACTCAGCCAATCTCACGGGGGAAGCCGTCAACAGCAGCAGCAGACCCTGCGGGGAGACAATCGCAGACGCATCGTCATCCTTCACTCGTTTGCTCACCGGCAGAAAGCCACTGTACAAATCACTCTTCATCCGAACCCCCGACCCCTTTATTTCGGAGTTAAGGCGTTTCGCCAGGGTTGGCAGGTCTTCGTAGTTCATGTAGCAGGGCAGAAATCGTCACTGCGTAAGGTATCAAAACGTTAGTTTGTACGGCTGACGAGGGTGAATTTCCAGAATAACCCCGCTCATTTCAAATGGTTATCACATAATGTGCTGTTGTTGGCAATGAAGAAGAAATTGCAACCGCAGCATTGATGCCACCTCAAGCGGTATTGACGAGCGTGAAATATCTGATCTGGGCAGAGACAATTACAGCAAGCTAATAATTTTGCATCAGTTAAAATAAAAAAAACCTCATGACTTGTGACAACCACAATACTTTAGCGCGCGAGGGGGGGGGGCTTTCGCAGCCACGTGTAATCAGAGTGCGGTCGTCCCGTTTAGGCGGCGTTCCGAGCGATTCTTCTCTCAGGCTTTTGCCACACACACTACTGCGGCGGCGGCGGCGGGCATCTACGCGGGGTGTGATCGACCTCTGGAATGTGCTGGCGGCAGTAGAGTGTGGCGGAGGTTTCAGAGAAGAAATGATCAATGGCGCAGCCTGACCCCGAGGGCCACGCACGCTTGAAGCGTGGCACTTATAAACACTTATAAAGACTTATAAACACTTATAAATACTTATAAACACTTATAAAGACTTATAAACACCGGACAGCACCGTAGGATTAACACACGCAGGTTGTCCGCATCTAACAGAGAATACACAGCACCGACATAATACACCAACACAACACATCAACAAATGAGCGTTCTTCATTAAGTTTATGACGACGTGTATACAAGTCATTCATAAACGTCCAGAAGTAAATGGAGATGTCAATAAGTAAGCTGTTTTGCACCACTGGAGGAGGGGGGGGGGGGGCTGGTGAACACGTGGTTGCGATTGCACTGTGCTGCAGCCCTTCGAGAACATCATCTCAATAATTTCTAAGAACGATTATATTAAACACTGCAGGGCTTCGTAAATCCACTGCTGGTTGAAGGGTTCCCCCGCAGTGATCGTGGGGATTGTTTGACTGTACTCCATTCTAATAAATACTTGAGATAGTGCTTTAAATGGACCGCCGCATAGTGCATCCACAACCACATGTTCACCAACCCCCCCCCCCCCTCCAATGGTGAAGAATAGCTAGCTTACTTAATGACATCTCACATTTGCCTTCACCATGCTGGTCAGCACGGTTCGTTAAAGATTTAAGTCGAGGCCATTTCCTGCTCGAATGAGCAACAAGGTAGTCGCTGACCTATTTACGACTGCCCATGAGCCAGCGGTGAAAATTTCACAAAGCTATGGAGGGGGCGAGTCTATCCATAGGACAACCAAGGTTGACTTTCACCACAGAGTGATACGTGTTTTATCGACGCCGGAGGGAGGCGAGATGATGGGTCGAGTTAACCACCCAATCAGGAATTGACCTCGTACACTCGTTCTCTCGCCGAGCCACGTGGCCAGTTGGAGCGCGAGCGAGCGCTAGCACTCGAGGGTCAACGGATGAGTCCGGAGACTACCCACAACCCTGCCCCCTGATGGGCTAATTGGCTGCACTGTGGAGACCGCAATGTGTTTCAAACCTCGCGGTCCGAACGCACGGCAAGAACTCCCACAGGGAACACGTGTGCGGCGATGTAACGCCTGCACTTAATTACGGCAAACGATAATCGGCAAACTTGCACCTATTAAATTACGTCGATATTACGTTTACATTATCAACTTGATATGTTTTAAAAGGTACCTGTTTAATAAGATGCATGCATGAGGTGGGGCGGGCTAGGGGTCACAGTGCTGAGTGGGCACCTCTCGTGATTAAACCAGGTTAAACTGGGATCTCAAGCGTACACGTTGTGCTTAGCTGTCACCAGGCAATAACTGCACAAAACACCAACCATATCAAAGACATCATTCAATTTGAATCCTAGATCTGAGCGTCCACGCCAACCGTGGTCGGTGCAGAGCACAGTCGACATGGACCCTCGCAACCGTTGATGCCGACGTCAAACGGCGCACGGCGGGATAGTGAGACCCTGGGTAATCATAGCTCTACCAGCATAGCACTACCAGTGAGAAAACAGCACTCACTACAGGATAGTGAGACCCTGGGTAATCATAGCTCTACCATCTAAAGCACAACCAGAAAGACAATCGCGAGTCTGTCCATCTCTGGTTAGTCTGTCTGATCTCTGGCGAGTCTATCCGTCCGTCTCTTACGAATCTGCATCTCTGGTGAGTGCGTATCTGGTGAGGCTCTATGTCTGACTCTGGCGAGTCTGTATGTCTGTCCCGAGCAAGTCTGTTCACCTCTGTGACCGTGAGCCCCTTCTCTGCACGGCCTTGATTCACATTGGGGCGGCCTGGCAGCATCGTTTTCGCCACTTGTTGCAGATGTTCACAGTTCAATCCAGCAGCCACCCTGGTTAATACGGAGTGTATATTAACCATAAAAGTAGGCGCCGTCGGTTTCACAGTGGATGTTAAAGGTCCTGAGACGTCATTCGCAATAGAAGGCATTATCACCTAACAATATAATACCCGCAAATTACTGCATTTTATTATGGCTATCAACGTGACACAACTGCGATAACTTGTGAAGGACCCTCTTGAAAACGAGTGATGAGACTAAGTGACGATTTTCCTAGGTGATAATGAAAAAAATCATAATCGTGGTCCATCGACCTTCTCCTTGATCTAAACATTGCTGAAAATGGCTTCTAACCGGAGGATTCACCATGGAGGTAGAAAAGGATGGCATGCTACCTTTCTTGGATGTCCTAATCAAAAAGAGACCAGATGGCTCAATGAGCCATTCTGTCTACAGGAAAGTAACCCATACTGACACCTACCTAAAACCTTATTCCCACCACCATCCATCCCAGAAGAATTCCCTCATCAAAACGCTACACCATAGAGCTCAATTTATCTCCGACCATGAACGCCTAAACAGTGAACTCAAATACATACAAGAGGCTCTCAATGTGAATGGATATTCTGACAACACAATCCGCAAAATCATCACACCAACCGTGAGGAAGGAGCCATCTGAGGATCCAATCAAAACCATCACCCTGCCATACATAGCAGGGGTAACCAAAAATATTTGCAAAATCATGAACAAACACAAGATCCAGGTCTGATTTAACACGGCGTCTGCAAACTAAGCTGTATCTGCAGCAGCAGTTACATTGGGGAAACTAAGCGACATGTCTCGGACTGTGTTTGTGAGCATAAGGCAGATTTGAAACACGGTAGGACCAATTCTTCTGCCGTGGCTGATAATTATTTGAATGCGGCTGGCTTACACGAAATGTATTTATCTATTTTGTAAGCCTACTGGTTATCAACAAAAAATCGTTCATGAAGCCATCCATATATACAGACACAATTTCAACCGAGATGATGGTTATAGACTCAGAAATCATTGGAAAGATGTCATCAACCACTTTGAGTCATGACTTGACTTGTGTTTTCGCGTCAATCAACCTCCACCGTCAGCGGTGTGGTGTGTGGAGCGAGGTGCAGTGATTTCCTGGCGGCCCTTTGCTGCATTGGCATTGCTGCTGCATTGGCATTGCTGCTGCATTGGCATTGCTGCTGCATTGGCAATTCTGGTGCTTCTGCATTGGCATTGTTGGTGCTGCTGGTACACTTGGGCTACGCCTATCTCCAAACCTTTAAGAACAGTTTGCCTTTAGAGGCCAACCCCTTTTCCAGATGATGACCGCTTGTATTGCGATCGAAACGTCGTGGTATTTTATTCACTTTATTTTTATTAATATTTTTTCAATCTACGTGACTTTACCGAAAGAACCAAAGAACATGAATTCATGCAATAATAGAGTTTTTCCCCTTTTTTCTGGCAACAACACTGAAACCTTTTTACAAGGATTCATGTTTCATTAACCACAATACCTGCAGTCAAAATGCATACAAAAAATATACTATGATAATATATGCATTGTCCTTGAAACTGATTGGTCCACACCAAGGGACGGCTTTCTTGAGCCTCGACCCAATTGGTGCTCGACCAGATGACGCCAAAAGGCGTGTTCTCTGTGTGCATTTTGACTGCAGGTATTGTGGTTAATGCAGACATGAATCCTTGTAAAAAGGTTTCAGTGTTGTTGCCAGAAAAAAGGGGAAAAACCCTATTATTACATTTTGGTACTGGCAATGGAGGTCTAATGATGAATTCATGCAGTCAAGAAAGTATAGGTCAAAATTTAACCGATAACCGGAGGAACTTTATCCGATAGGCGGGGGGGGGGGGCATAGTGCAACTGTGTTAATGGCCTCATCAGGAAGTCAAATGCTAAGCGCACGAGATAATTGCTTGGTCCATCGCCTGCAGTTATTATCGGCCACAAGTAACTCACCGTACCTAACAAAACGCCATACCACCCACGTTGATACTCTAGTAGTCTATTCATTTTAGGTAGGAATTTGTCTTTAAAAAATATCAAAATAAAAAGGTGCAAAAAACACACCAATGTAACGACCAAACATCACAAGTGAATTCTGAAATGTAAACTCCAATACCACAGTATTTACTTGCAGGGTGCCGTACAGGAACTAGGACTGCACTGACACGTGTGACGTTTCTGCAAATTATCAATCACCACATGATATTTCAATGCGCGCAGCACATTCACACGGTCTGGCCTCGAGTACTGGCGGAGTGTGGTTGAGCCGTGGGTGGTTGGGGGGGGGAGCGTAGGGGGGGGGTGTGGGTTTGTGGGGGGAGGCTTGCCTGTGAGCTGGGCCCCGTGCCACAGACACAATAGCAGCAGGAAGTCAAGCAGCACGATCCCCACAAGCAGACAGGAAACACGAGCGCACATGCGCACACCAACATGCGTACACGCATAGCCACACACAAACATAACCGCACACACGCAGACCATCGCACTTATCCGCACACCACCACACTTAACCACACACAAACGTAACCATAAACACGCACACCATTACAGCTAACTGTACAAAAGACAAAGATCCCCATAGTGTTAACAGACTATTGGGGCAAGTGTTATTAAGCGAGCCCCTATCAAGGCCGGCACAGCACATAAGGGGGTAGGTAGCCAGCATTACGCCTGGCCGCCTTTGTCTCCCTAGTGGATATGTTTATACACCACACCGAGTGCCCATTTGGGGCTGAGTCAAACTTAAGAAGGCCCGGAACCGGTTCAGATAATCGTCACCGGTGTTGGCCGTGAGCGGGAACTTAACTCAGCTCGCCGGGTTAATAAGTGCAGCGCGCTAACCTCTATATAACCCCTCCCCCCAACATAATCAGAAAGACACATATGCAAACATGCGTAACAACACACACGCCAACATGCCACGTAAAAACAGAACCAGACGCGCACCAACAAAATCACACGCTCCACATACAAACATAACGACACACTAACACAATGACACACATGCCCAACTTCTCCCATAGTGAAAGAATCCTCTCCCCAATAAGCCATACACAGACTTGAAGATTGATGTGCGGTTAGCGAGCACCTATATAGGCCGATAGGACACGTGGAAGTGGTGGTGTGGCCACGGCACTTACCCAACCCACCTTTGTCTCCCCAGTAAAGATGCGGTGTATTATTATTTGCTGCGCTTTTGTCGCCTCGTTTTGTGTAACCCTTTCACACCTTTGCTCGGTTTTCTATAGAGGGGAACGTCCCTAAAAGCAACGCAACTCTAAACAAACAAAAATGTCACTTAAATTGGAACATCTACACGCGAGTTACTGTGACCCGAAGACAGGAAGGACAGACCTAATGCATTAAAGTTCTGCAGTGTAAAACAAAACCAAAAAGATTGCATGTTCAATAAACTCTCCGTCTCGTGCTTTGCAACTTGCTTCAACCCAGCGTGCGGGTAGGCGCATGTTGAAAGCAGTGAGCCTGTGCCAGCGAACGGCTGCAGTAGAGAGAGTTGGTGCTTTGCAGCTCGAGATGGTGGGGGGGGAGGGATGGGGAGGGGGGGTTGTGCAGCGACTGTTCCCGCCGCCCTCCTGCCTAACATCAACACAGCGAACGTCACTCCTTCCGCGAGGCCCCGCTCGCCGCAGTCGCTCAAACATTAACTCCGTGCCACTTCCTCAAGCGTGGCCGCGTTTCACCACGACGCCAGCTCAGGCGCTGCAGCGAGCCCCCGTCACCTTCCACCGCACACGGCAACGCGGTGACACGCTCACTCACACGACATGCAGCACCTTCTGAACTGACTGACAGCAGGCACAACGCATCGGACGCACGCCCAGTACGGTGCAAAAGAAGTTCAACATACATACGTACATCGCACAACCCAAACAACATACCCTCAACACGGCTGACGCCTGAACCGCCGTCACCACCACCACCATACACAAAACGACCTACAGAAAGTACACGAAAGACAACAGCTAACCCCAAAAAAACAAGTCGCTGTCCTTGGAAATATCTAAGGGTTCCCAGAACATTCAAAGTCCTGGATTTTGTCAGTTGCAAAATAATATGTACTTCTCCCCTCTCCCTATATTGAGATTCTTCTCCCTACGATATTTGCCACTTTTTTTGGTACTTCAGGAGGTGGCAACCGCACAGGTTGCTGCCCACCACGATCCTCACCTGGGTCCAGACCCCGGCACGTGCCGGTTTATCCCATGGGGGCGAGCGCCGCGGCGGCGTCACGTGGCGCAGGTGACTCCGGTGGAACCAGCAGCTGCTGCCTCGATTCGCAAACGGGAGCCTCAATCGTGAGCCTGGGTCCTCCACCGCACGGCGAACAAGGGGCCAACTGCTGTGAACACACAGGGCATGCTGGGTCCTCAACAGGAGAGAGAGTGGTGTAGATGTACACTACACAACGGGGAGCGGGAGTGCGGCGGTTACATCGCCGCTCACGGTCAGCACCTATGACAATTATCTGAACTGGTTTCTGGGCCTCCGCTTGGTCGACTCAACCCTCAAATGAGGATCTCGTGCGGTGTGTAGATATCGCCACTAGGGAGACAAAGGTGGCCGGGCGTGGTGCTGGCCTAAACAGGTGCGCGTGAACAGCACTTGACTCATGTCCGTTATGGGTATAGGGGGGATCTTTGTCTTTGTAGTGTATGCTGTGTATCTTTTGCCCATAGCGCATGCTGTTGCATACACTCAGTGCACATGCTGTGTTGTTTATTGATATTGCAAGCCGTGTGCATGTCAATTCGTAGTATACCCTGTGTGTATCTTTACTATACTCACAATGCATGCTTGTGTCTACGTTTACCCAGGTGACAAAATCAGAGTACAGATAGTGCATGCTGTGCGCATATCGTCCCTGGACGCGTGGCGTCTACTTCTAGTGCACATGCTGTGTATGTCTTCATTCCCAGTTTAGACAACCAAATTAGCTCCCACTTTTGACTTTCACCCACTCCATCAAGTGAGGGTGAAGGAAAACAAAAGGCCCTGAGAAGCCCAGCGACATCTCTTCCGCAGGCCAAGGTAGTGCCCACAACTCCATGCCCACAGGACCTTCTCGCACGTGAGCACGTGTGTACTCTTGTGTATGTACACGATGGGTAAACTACAAGTGTCGACACACAGCATTGTGATCCTAGCTCACAAGCAGACGGGGACACCTTCAGGCTTCAAGGGATGGTCACTGGTTCACCCAGACCAAAGCATTAACCTTCCAAATTAATAATCAACGATGTTTATGTATCGGGCACTATAACCTGGAACAAGACTCACAGTGCCGCTGTCAGACGTGTCAGCCATACCTGAAAATTAGACCACATCAAGTGAACCCTCCGATCCCTCAACTTTCTCTCAATTAAATCCCGGATCGATTTCAGTTTTGCACTCACCGTCCTGTAGGTCATGGACTTGCCTCTACCTACCTCTACCCTCTCATCTCTCTCTACGCCCCTCCACACACTCTCCTAACTTTTCCCTCTCATCTCACTACTACTTCTACACTCTCATCTCCATCCACTCTCGTCCACGCACTCTCTGGTCCAGATACCAAGGCTTTCTGTCGAAGCCACCTGTCAGCCTTCACTCAGTGGGAGGTCGCTCTCCTCTGCTGTCTCAATGATCTGGATTTCTCTTCCTCCAGCCATGCGTGCTGTCGACTCCCTGCAGCTGTTGAAGTTCAGGCTCAAGACATGTATTTTGTTTGCTCTCCGTATGACTGCCTGCCTTCCAAAATATTCTGTTCTGACAATGTATAAATCCACATTATTTCGTCGGGACTGGTGAAGCAGAAAAAAATGGCGAAAACAAAACAGCCCAACTAAAATAAACAGATATTCATTCATGCAACGTGTACCGCGGTGAACTGTGGTAGAATATTCCACTCTTAAGTCTCCAACTTGCTTTTCCTGAGATTATTATTATTTGAGGCACATAACGGCCGACTCGGGTTGTCTCTTTTCTCTGAAGCCACGGGGTTCTCAGCGACGACGAAGCACAGTGATCTGACCCCACATGGCGATGCCCCAGTGTCAGAACTCCTCAAGGTCGCAAGCAAAATTCACAACGGGAGTTACTCATTTCCCCAGCAGAGCTCTGACCGAGTTGCCAACTCAGGGGACCTGAAGGCTCTGAGAGCGAACCTGTTCTACGGGGTTGGGAAGATTCCTTCACCTGGGGGGCGAGGGCTATGGGGAAGGTCCCTGGGTCGCTCAAGGAGGGCGACAGTTTCTAGTTTTTTTCAGATTTCAGTGGCTGAAGACTCTCCCAGCACATCAAGCGAAACGTCAAGACATTATGCCGAAAAACCCAAATTATATCGGAGAGCTAATCCAGCACAACCACGAAGACCTACGGATTGGAATCTCATGCCTCTTTGCCACAGGCATTATATAAACCCCAGTTGATTATTTGTGTTCAAAAACACTCTCATACGATTTAGAAATTGCGATCGCTCTTCCTTCGCTGCTTTCAAAGATGCAGAATTGTGGTGGTAAGGAATGCCACACGGCACAAAGCTCAGGCAGCAATCCCTTGAGCTGGCAGTTTGGGTGCCTCAAATAAAATCTCATGGACTGTGGAGGCATTTTGTGGTTGTGCTGTATATCCATCCTATGCGTTTTCGGATTGTACCGTGTTTTGTTGTTCCCCACGATGCCTTGATGATTTTGCTCCACGTGCCGAGAGCCTCTTCTGAAACAATTCGTTTCCTACAACTCGACAACACATCAGAGAGATACAATCTCACGTAATTGCAAACTGTGGTCTACCGAAAGAACAAATATGAATGGAAACACAAAAGGTACGTTGTAAAGCCATTGTCAGCGAAAGCTACCTGAGCACACTTCAACCCGCACACACCTCCCATGTGGCAAGTCCATCCAAACACACCTCCATCTGGGAACACCTCAATTGCATACCCCTCACTTGCACATCGTTCACCTCAATGCACCTCCACCAGACCACACTTGCACTTGAACAGACCGACACTTTGGTCAGCCTCTCCAAACATAACCTCCACCTAAAGAGGTCATCATCGTCGTCAGCCACGATCCAAGAGGGAACACAGGCAACCAGCCAGGCTCCACAAACACCCCTCCCTACACAACACACCAAAGCGCAACCGATGGCACACCACACACAAAGTACACAATAACAATATACCTTACATGCCACACCGAACATACGTCTTCTCGGCCAGCTTTCCCAAAACACAGCACCTTACACACAGCGCACACAAATACCATCACAACACAGAGCACACCCGAATTACCAGCACCACAAATAAACACTACCTCCCCTACACAACACACCGATCAACCTAATCCCACTACCGCGCACAACACAATGAACCGACGACTCCATAAAATAGAGAACACCCCTCTACTGAAAACCCTTTCAAAACACACCATCCTGAGAACACACACACACACACGCACTGCACACACGAACCCACCACAGCGCAGAACAGGCAGAGAGCACACACCTTGACACGACCACCCAAGACTCGCCACAAAGCACACGAAAATATTACCGGCACCATAATCTTACAGAACACACCCTGATACCACCACACTACCAACCCCACAATACTGAGAACACCATAGCCCAGCTACCCACGCAACATAGCACAGTAAATGGCCCTACACGACACACAGAGCACTCCACAACACTGCTACCCAACTCAGAAAGCAGACCAGAACCCATACAGAGCACACCGGAACCCATATACAGCACACGCGAACCCTAACACAGCACACCCGAACCCATACACAGCACACCGGAACACGACACCAACCCGGGCATCATTTCCAACCCAGAACAAACCCCTAACCTAAAACATTACACCGAGCACAACTGTGCAAGGCGATCCTCCATAAACACACCCACACCTCTACACCACACACCCACACCTCTACACCACACACCCACACCTCTACACCACACACACACACCTCTACACCACACACACACACCTCTACACCACACACACACACCTCTATACCACACACACACACCTCTACACCACACACACACACCTCTACACCACTACACACAACACACTACACCTCTACACACAACACACACACCTCTACACACAACACACACACCTCTACACACAACACACACACACAACACCTCTACACACAACACACACACAACACCTCTACACACAACACCTCTACACACAACACACACACAACACACACAACACCTCTACACACAACACACACACAACACCTCTACACACAACACACACACAACACCTCTACACACAACACACACACAACACCTCTACACACAACACACACACAACACCTCTACACACAACACACACACAACACCTCTACACACAACACACACACACAACACCTCTACACACAACACACACACACAACACCTCTACACACAACACACACACACAACACCTCTACACACAACACCTCTACACACAACACCTCAACACACACACACAACACCTCTACACGCAACACCCACACAACACCTCTACACACAACACACAACACCTCTACACACAACACCTCTACACACAACACACACACACAACACCTCTACACAACACACACACACACAACACCTCTACACAACACACACACACACAACACCTCTACACAACACACACACACAACACCTCTACACACAACACACCACCTCTACACACACACACACAAAACCTCTACACAACACACACACAAAACCTCTACACAACACACACACAAAACCTCTACACAACACACACACAAAACCTCTACACAACACACACAAAACCTCTACACAACACACACAAAACCTCTACACAACACACACAAAACCTCTACACAACACACACAAAACCTCTACACAACACACACAAAACACCTCTACACAACACACACAAAACACCTCTACACAACACACACAAAACACCTCTACACAACACACACAAAACACCTCTACACAACACACACAAAATTTCTACACAACACACACAAAACCTCTACACAACACACACAAAACCTCTACACAACACACACAAAACCTCTACACAACACACACAAAACACCTCTACACAACACACACAACACTACATACACACAACACCTCTACACACAACACCTCTACACACAACACACACACACAACACCTCTACACACAACACACACACAACATCTCTACACACAACACACACAACACCTCTACACACAACACACACACAACACCTCTACACAACACATACACACAACACCTCTACACACAACACACCACCTCTACACAATACAACACCTCTACACAACACACACAACACCTCTACACAACACACACACACAACACCTCTACACAACACACACACAACACCTCTACACAACACACACAACACCTCTACACAACACACACAAAACACCTCTACACAACACTACATACACACAACACCTCTACACAACACCTCTACACAACACACACAACACTACATACACACAACACCTCTACACAACACACATCCACACCTCTACATACACACACCCACACCTCTACATACACACACCTCTACACAACACACACACACCGCTTTACCGGGGCCATCCTCGACGAGACACACAACACACCCCTAACAGACACCACCACTACCAAAACCACCCCACGGAGAAACGCTTCCACCCGGCCATCGTCCTCTAACACACACAACAACAACAACCGCCATTCGCCACTAAGTGGCGGTGACGTAACACCACGACGCTTGTGTGCCAGGCTGGGTGCACTTTGAGAACACGTGAAGCGTCGAACGTCCACTGGCAGGGGGTCACGGGGCAGACCCAGGTGCCACGGGTCGACTGACTGAGATGACTGGACGATGCACCACCTGTGCCCGCTACTGTGCCAACTTGCTGTATTTTAGCCACCCGGCGCTCCGCTCGTTGTTGTGAGCGTCGCTCCTCCGCCCTCCGTTGTTGCTGGAGGGGCGACTGCCTCCAACTGCCCAGTAGCCTCACTATGCACCTAGCCTGGCACTGCCCAGTAGCAGCAGCGTCCTTCACGAGCCTCCTCCACAGAGGCCGATCTTGACACCGCTGGTACCGCTCATCGGCAAAGTCCACTCAGCTTCCACAACGCTCACATCATCACCGTACACAAGAGAACACCAACCCAGAGCACTCGGCAGGGTACACCGCCGTGTAACCGGGCCCTCCTCTCCACACTCACCTCCACGAAGGGCCCCTCTCTCTCCTCCCTCTCTCTCGGCAGGCAAGGTAAGTCAGGGAGGCGGCAGGGGGGATCCAGGGAGGGCCACGGGGGCCCACACAGCGGGCCGAGCAATCGGCGAGACAAATAGGGGGGCCGCCGGATAGACGGGGGTCTCGTGGAGACAGGCGGGGAGACTCACGGAGACGGGGGACAGACCGGGGGGACTTGAGTGTACAGGGAGACTCGCGGAGACAGGCGAACTAAATGGAGATGCATAGGAGCGCCCACGCGGGCAGACATGAGCACTCGCTGGGGTCGTGAGACGCGTGAGGAGGAGGAGGTGAAGGAGGAGGAGCGCGCGGGTGAAGTTCGGGGATGACAGAAGGGAAACCGGACGACTCGGGGAGGTCCTAAGAAGAGAGGGGCGCTCGGGACGACGAGGGAGGAGGGGACTGGTGGAGAGACATCGGAGATCGACGGGAGCCAGGGGGGACTCTGGGGTGGGAGTAGAAATAGCCCAGTGGAGGGGCTCGGCGAGACGGGAGGAGCGGGGGCGGCACGGGGCTCCTCCCTCCGGGCCCGGGAGAAGGCCGCGTCAAGTCGGGGGCGGGGGGAGCGGGAGGGGCGGTGACGGAGACGACAGGGCCAGGAGGAGGAGGAGACACACTGGGGGAAGAGGAGGTGGGGCCAGGAGGAGGACACACTGGGGGAAGAGGGGGAGGAGGAGACACACTGGGGGAAGAGGAGGAGGAGACACACGGGGGGAAGAGGAGGTGGGGCCAGGAGGAGGACACACTGGGGGAAGAGGGGGAGGAGGAGACACACTGGGGGAAGAGGAGGTGGAGACACACTGGGGGAAGAGGAGGAGGAGACACACTGGGGGAAGAGGAGGAGGAGACACACTGGGGGAAGAGGAGGAGGAGACACACTGGGGGAAGAGGAGGTGGGGCCAGGAGGAGGAGACACACTGGGGGAAGAGGAGGTGGGGCCAGGAGGAGGACACACTGGGGGACGAGGGGGAGGAGGAGACACACTGGGGGAAGAGGAGGTGGGGCCAGGAGGAGGACACACTGGGGGAAGAGGGGGAGGAGGAGACACACTGGGGGAAGAGGAGGTGGAGACACACTGGGGGAAGAGGAGGAGGAGACACACTGGGGGAAGAGGAGGAGGAGACACACTGGGGGAAGAGGAGGTGGGGCCAGGAGGAGGAGACACACTGGGGGAAGAGGAGGTGGAGACACACTGGGGGAAGAGGAGGTGGCGCCAGGAGGAGGTGGAGACACTGGGGGAAGAGGAGGTGGAGACACACTGGGGGAAGAGGAGGTGGAGATACACTGGGGGAAGAGGAGGAGGAGACACACTGGGGGAAGAGGAGGTAGAGACACACTGGGGGAAGAGGAGGAGGGGCCAGGAGGAGGAGGTGGAGACACACTGGGGGAAGGAGGAGGTGGAGACACACTGGGGGAAGAGGAGGAGGAGACACACTGGGGGAAGAGGAGGTGGAGACACACTGGGGGAAGAGGAGGAGGAGACACACTGGGGGAAGAGGAGGAGGAGGGAGGAGGAGTAGGAAGAGACACTGGGGGAAGAGGAGGAGGTGGGGGCAGGAGGAGGAGACACACTGGGGGAAGAGGCGGAGGTTGGAAACAGGAGGAGGGGAGAGAGGAGGAAGGGGAGGAGATGGAGGAGGAGACAGGAGGTGACTGAGAAGGAGGTGGAGACAGACGAGGGGACAGGAGACCCTGTACGGAGAGGAGACGGAAGGAGGCGGAGGAGTAAACGCACGCCAAGGAGGCAGGGGAGAGAGAATGCGAGAGGTTAGATGTTACGTCGATCTCCCGGCACCGTAGTTAAAACAACATTCGACGTTCTTTAAATCCCACGTGCCTGTCCACCCAGCAGTAACGTGCTGTAACAACCACACGGATAATAACCCCACGGTTAATCGCAAAGTGGGGTGTAGGGGGGGATGAAGGAGACAAAAAAAGGAGGGAACCTGCTGGAAAATCGGTGGACTCGTGGAGACAGACCCGGGGGACTGTGTCCTCCCGTCTCTGTCTGTGATGGGGGTGGTAAAGTGTGGGACACTCATGCCTGCTGTTCCAGGGCGTCTGGCCCCTTGGAGGGATCGGCAACAAAAACAATCACCAGAGAGGGCCCTGCGGAGCTCCCGTTGCAGTTGGTATCACATCCATTAGCAGTGGATTGAGCAAGTCATTTCAGGGATGCATTTTTTTTAAATACCACATAGAATGAGAGAAGATGGTTACTTAAACGTGGGTTTATACGGCGTCTAAATGCGACCGCATCTCGCGCACAGACGGTGGGCATATTTAAGAGTCACTCATAGGCAAGGAAACCAAGGAACGCCACATTGGCACGGGTGCTGTATTTTTATTACTTGTGCGGCTACGTTATTCATTCATTACTCCATCGTTATGGTTGTCATGTGCTATGTATGCATCGGCTGGACACAACTGGAACACATAACAGGGTTACAGTGTATACTTACAAGGACACTTTTTGAAGGTGGACTGGGCCCTAAAAAATATTAAATAGTGGGACGAGAGAAGCTTGGAGTGCTTCTGCAAAGCTAAACTTGATACTGTAACGAAAGAATACCTAAACATGTTCCTACACAATTGTTTACAACACTGCCTTTAAAGCAAAAAAACCCATGATAGACGTTATGGGCAATTTATTGCATTCTTGCGTATGGCAAATGTCGAGGTCTGCACGTCACGAGATGGCTTCAGGAAAGAGTCCGTTTAGTGTTGCTGTTCCTCTAAAGGAGCGCAGATTCAGTGGTTTACTATCCGGTCCATAGTTTGGGTTACACTGTGGTCTATCATTAATGTATCTCTATTATAACGTCTCTATGTGTCTATGGATGTCCTATCAGAGCCATTGTTTGGGTTGCATGGCCACAATGGCACTATGGCTTTGTCTTGTATTTCTCATTCATGAAAGGGCAACATTAATCCTGTGAGGTTTTTTTTGGGTTACATCGCATAAATATAAATGTGTCGTTAAACCCGCCACCACCCGACGCAGCCAATTGGTAAGGTTTGTCACGTAAATAGAGCGTGCCAATTCGTTACTGGTACAGCACACCGGTGTGTTGGAGAGCAAATCCACAACATTTACAATTTGAGTACGACGTTTCGCCAAGTAATTACAACTAGCATCATCAGGTGACAGCCAGATTCAATCTGAACTGACTAATTAGCCAATTAGTAAGGTTTGTCAATTACAACCAGCCTCATCAGACGACAGCCAGAGTTGTCGCCTAATGAGGCTGGTTGTAATTACCGGCGAAACGTCGGACTCGAATTGTAAATGTGGGTTTACTCTCCAACACACCGGCCCGGCAGAACGAGTAACGAATTGGCACGTTTTGCATTACGTGACAAACCTTACTGGTGGGGCGGGTATAACGACACACGATTATTTACGCGATCTAACGCAAACCCGCCTCTATTACAGACAATATTGGTCGCGAAAGCCGACTGCGTGTTGAACGAAGTGAACGTAGAAACACAGATTGTACGCAGGGAGTGGGGTCACGATGGGGGAGGGTGGGGGGGGTCACAAGGGGCGTGGGCGGGGGCGGGATCTGTGAACGACTCCGCCCCCTATCAACCGGAAACGCCCCCTCCCCGCCCCCTCCCCTTTCACCGGAAATTCGCTGTGGGGGGAAGGGCGGAGGATGGGGGCGGGGCCGTCTCGTGGGACCTTGCCAGTATGAAAGTATGAAAAATAAGAATAGTTTTGTTTTACCCTTTCTGGCAAAATAAAACAGGCGGTGTTAATATCTCGAAGACCAAAGAGATACCCTTTGTAAGGACTCAAGAACTACATTAACCACACACAGTGCTTGTGATAAACGTGCTCAACTGATAATTATATGGGCATTGTCTTTGACACTGATTGGTCGAGCCCTCAGCCCCGCCTCTACTAAGCGCCCGAATTTGGACCAATCACGGGCATTGTTTATGCGAGTCACGTGGCTCCGATCGCGTCCATTCGGCAAGAGGGGAACAAACGAATCTGTGGAGGCGAGGGAGGTGTGATGGCAGGCAGCGTGTGTGTCGTCTGTGTGTCTGTGTCGTGTGTGTGTGTTGTGTGTCGTCTGTGTGTATGTGTCGTGTGTGTGTGTGTCGTGTGTGTGTCGTCTGTGTCGTGTGTGTGTTGTGTGTGTCGTGTGTGTATGTTGTGCGTGTGTTGTGTGTCGTGTGTGTGGTATGCGTGTGTTGTGTGTGTGGTATCGTGTGTGTATGTTGTGCATGTGTTGTGTGTGTTGTGCGTGTGTCGTGCGTGTGGGGGGAGCGGTAGTGTGGCGCTAAGTGCGTTGCGCTATGAACCTAGCGACCCGGGTTCGATTCCCAATACCAGTGACGATTATCTGAGCCAGTCCTGGGCCTTTCCTAGGTCGACTCAGCCTCAAATGAGTACTTGGTGCGGTGTGTAAGCAACGCAACTGGGGAGACAAAGGCGGCCGGGCGTGGTGTTGGCCACCCACCCCCTCGTGTGCCGTGCCGGCCTTCATAGGTGCTGCTCGCTAACAGCACTTGCCCCTCCAGTCTGTTAAGGCTAAACGGGGGGATCTTTGTCGTGTGGGTGCTGTGCACTCACCCCAGGTACACGGGGCGACGGCAAGAATACCCCGCCACGACCCGATCCCCACATGACCCCCACTTCACCTGAGATCCCAACCTACCTGAACCTGACCCCGCCTCACCTCCGCTTGACCGGACCTGACCCTAACTTGACCCAAACTGCCTGCCACTTTACTCCATCTGATCTCCACCTGACCCCACCGGACCCCAACTAGACGCCGCCTGATCTCCCACTTCATCTTGTCTGACTCTTGATCCCACCAGATCCCACGCGTTAAAACGGAACGACGTACCACCAACATTCAACATAAACACAGTGACTCATAGAACCAAGAATATGAATCCCTGCAGTCACGAAAGCTTTAAATCAAAATTTAACAGCGACTCCCGTTGCTGCGTGACCCCGTTGTAAGTGTTATGTTTCGGCACGACAGTCAATGGTCCACACATTTTAAACAACACACACTGAGAACGGGGGTACTGATGTCAAGCCGTCCATCATATTATGAGCAAACATCTTGCATGTACACATCTTATAAAGCCACATTCTAATTGTGTAAATGACCCGTTAAACATTAACTTAATCGGCATTCCTCTGCGGTGGCGTAATGGTTACACCGTAGTCAACAGGCAGGTCACCTTCGGTCGGGTAAACTGGGGGGTACTCCTACCTCTTCCAAAGACGTCTGCCTAGCGTGGAAGAGTAGGCCAACTTGCCTTTTAAGAGAATATCTAGAAGCTTCTGCTCGTGGAGGCTCTTGCTCATGTTGCAGGGCTGCCTCTTTATAATTGCTTCAATAATTTACTGATTAAATTTTCCCTTCTCCATGAAAAAAAATCAATATTTACTTTGATGATCAAAAACCCAACCTGCAAAAACCAGAATCTTTACTACCTCATAATAAAATCCAAATGCATGGAATAAATAGCAACTCAGCTTTATTGTAATTATCATTTAAGAGTAGCAGCAGCAGCATTGTATCGGTGGTAAAATATTACAAATCATTTGGCTCAAGTTTAAAAATGTAAGATGACTCCTAAACAAAACTTTTGAATTTCACCACAGCAGCAGCATCAGACCCCTCTTGACAAGTCACAGTACCAGTTCCTGGCTAGATAAGTGGTTCGTGAGAAGCGTCGAGTCAGAGGGGTAAGTGGCATTCCGAGGGGTCGACCTCATTACTGGCCTGTAAACGAAACTGAAAAGCGAACGAGAGTTGAAGAGGAACCCCCGAGCCTAGAAAAGTGCCAGAGGTGAATGCGTGGGGTAAGGTCGTTGAAATTAAGAGGAAGACTCGCTGCTTGTTGCTTCGGGGCGGGGTACCCATCTGTTGTCCTGGTACGGGTGCTCAATTTTAGCTGGAATAGGCCGGCAAAACTATTCCGGGAATTATTTTGACGTGCCGTCTCCATCTCGCCTTGTTTTGTCCTCATATATATTTTTTATAAACCTGTGTATAGAATTATAGTAATATAGGGTAAAATACCAAAGGATTATTAGGCATCGGTGTTGCAGTGCCTGTCAATAACCAACCCTGGATGGTTCTAATGTTTGGTTGGATAGTTGGTAGGGGTTAAGGGGAGGATTAGCATTTGATTGTCTCATGAGCTCTGCTCACCAATTTGCAATGCATTTCTTTTTCAACTTGTTGTTTCGTGTTTCAGTGTTGGTCTTCACAGCACCCTGCACACGGACCAGTCTACAGGCGAATGAAACGCTGGCCATCTGTCAAGTGCGTTTCGCCAGATGCAATGAGTATTGGTCTCCACCATCACCCAAAATGGCCCACGTTCCTGCGTGTAGCCCGAGCACGAGGAATTTGTTGGGGTTTTATGAGAAGTCTGACCTTGCTAAATTCCAATGCCACTTCCTCGTGTGAACGCCATGAAGGTGCAATGGGTGCAGTGGACATTTCGCAATGGGGAGTCCAGAGGAATGGGGAAGTGTTGGACAATCATTAATAATGTATGCATCATTTATACCTTAAGCCACAGGCGAAACAAATAATGTTCGCGTCCCCCCCTGCGAAAACACATCTGTCGTGTTACAGTGCTCCTGTTTACCATGTGAAGTTCCTTTTGCTGCGTGAGCCGGCAGTTTCTGTATTGGCTTTCTCTTTTGATTGTCACCGCGCCGTGTCCCACGTGTATGATTATTTGCATAGATACATTCCAGCAGCGGTCACAGTAGTGACGACAATCGGCGGCCGTGGGCCCGTCCCATCACACATCCGAGGTGGTGGTGGCACCGCGCTCCTCCACCTCCTGCCCGTGCTCGCCGCACACGCGTCCGCCGAGGCAGCCGCAAGCGCACGGCGACGCACGGGACGGTGATCCGACCACCGCGCTGACCTCGGGGCTTCGCACGGCCCCGGGCGGGCCCGGGAGGGCCGGAGGCCGGGCGGGTCCCGTAATGGGGTTCTCGTCCTCCACGGCACGTGCCTTGTCGTAGTCGAGCAGACGCCAGTGCTGGTTCACGGCGAGCCAGCGGCGCACCACGCGGCGTACCGAAGGGCCCTCGTGCACAATGAGGCCTGCCGTACGTGGGTGGAAAATACATACAGCAGACTCTTTGTGATCTCATCGTCCTTATAGAACCTTTCCCAATTTTTATTCCAACTGTGTTTGGCATCAGGGCATGAGCTAAAGAAATGTCCGTTTGAAAATGTGGCTCAGAGGATGACCACGACAGAGGTCGGCAACGAGATCGGTTCGTTTACACGAGCAAGGTGGATCCTGGCATCGTGAGACCACAACACGGGGAGGCCTTCACCCATTGCTGGATAATTAATTAATGGCTGATAATGATGCTTTTCAATGTTTTGGCAATGTTTGTAAAACAAATAAATACAGTTTATATATAAAAGACTGTCCCTTATATTGCATTGTTATATATTTAGAGTTTTTCAATTCTATTGAAATTGTGTATGCTGGTGATTCATATTTGAGTTTTGGTTTAGGCTACGTAATGATCTGACCAATTTTTATTGTGAGGAACCCTCGACCACCCAACACGGCCAAATAAATTAATGAGCATGCGTAAAAGCGTTTAACACGCCACTTATTTATTGTTTTAGCTTTGCAATAACTTTAAGAATGATCATTTATCAATGAGACAATATGGAAATGTACAATCCTCTTAACAAAATGTAGCAATTTGATACTATACATACATTGTATATAATTGCTACATTTGGTAGCGATGATTGTTGTCACATTTCACGTTTGTACTTGTACTCATGACATAATTTGGCTGTGTCGGGTGTTGGAGGATTCCTAATGGCAGGGATTTGGACAAATCCTTCCGTGGTCCAATCCAAATATATATGTCATGAATCATAACATTGGCTGTGAAAACCGATAGGCTATGTGTTTGCCGGTCTGACGGTGTCACTTTATAAAAAGTATGGATGCATAACTCTTGCAGAGAGGAATGCTGGCATTCGCTTATAGATTAACCTGTTTTTCTCATATTGCAACGAGCAAAACAGGTTTATCTAAAAGTCATGCATCTGTGAAAGTAGCCAGACTTGACTGACTCTCAGCTGCTGCCTCCAGGGCCCTGTGCGTCACGAGCGCTCGATGGTACTGATGGCGCTTATCACTGCCGCTGGTGCCTGTGTGTTCCATTATGAGCGGTGGCGCAACGGTTAGCACACTGCGCTACAAACCCGGCGACCCCAGTTCGATTCCCGCTCATGGCCACCAACGCCAGTGACGATTATCCGAACCGGTCCTGGGCCTCTCCTAGGTCGACTCAGCCTTAAATGAGTACCCAGTGTGGTGTGTAAACATCAGCACTGGGGAGACAATGGTGTTGGCCACCCATCCCATCGTGCGCCGTGCCGGCCTTCAAAGGTGCTCGCTCACAGCACTTGCCCCAAAAGTCTATTAAGGCTATATGTAGGGGAGATCTTTGTCTTTGCTGTTGCCTGGTGTCATCATCTACAACCTGAGTCTGTCACACAACGCGTCGACACCCGCCTGCCCAGCTATTACTTCATAACTTCATGAGTACAATGTGCTCGCATACACTCCGCAAATACCTAAGATATTGGTACCCCGGACCGTCACTTTGACCGCACCCGGGCGTCGTTTTGCGAAGAGCAATGAACCAAAGCTCCACACCGCCAGCCGGATTTAAACTACTGGGCTACCACCTCTGAGCTCTTGATCAAGCGAATCAAAATCAACCACTGTTATGTGATAACTCAAAAGCTTCCTCACTGGCACTGATATATTCAAAATTTATACAACTGAATCATTTGGCGGGACCCCGGGGTCCCGCAAAAATCAGGTCAATTATTATTATTTTTCAGTCCGCCCACTCGTGATCCCGACAGCAACGCGCCGCCCGCCCAGACTCGCGCCAACGAGCGCCAGCAGCAGGCGGCGATCAACACGATGGGCGCCACCCCACCGGCCAAACGCAAGCCCCGGGGGGCGTCCACCGCAGTCGCGCGCGGCGACGACGCCCTCCGGTCAGCCGTCGATCCTCGGCTTCTTTGCCAAGGCGAGCCCCGCCCCCCAGGCAGTGACTTTAACGTGTTTATGTAATTTTTCAGCTTTTTACGAAACTTAGTGCCCCGAATAGCTCTCAACGAGGCCAATCGATTGACGCTAGTTTTGTTGTCGGTAAGGCAAGACTCGTGTCGCTACGCGGTTTTTCCCACCCCGGGGCAGTGATGGGACCCCGGGGTCCCGCCAATTGCTTCAATTGTTACAGTGGGTTGATGAGTATTAAAGAGAGAGACACTTGTGGAGCTTCCACGGATATATAATTATCATCTCACAGCCACTTGTGGAGCTACAAACGGATATCGCAGAAATATCTCGGGAGGGGAGGGGGTAACAAATCTAACGTCGGTCTGGATTGTGAAACCTCATAAATCAGCATCGCTTTAGTCCATGTGGACTCAAGCATTGCGTACGTGTTTTGAAATTCGTGCGTACGGTTGGGTGAAAAACTGGGACTTTGTTAAGTGCCAATCAGCATCCAGTCCCTGGGGACAGGGCGTGCTCGGCTCACTTCCCTGAGTAATTTATCCGGGGCATAAAAGTGGCAGCCTGGGGGCCCTAACTCCACCCTAAAGAGATACTGCGAGCAGCGGTTCTCTCGCCACACAGGCGAACTAGTATTATTCGAGGGTATTATGAGTGCATTTTTTCCATTTAATATATCATGGACCACATATATCTTGTGGCCGTGATTAGTCTTACGTCACTGCAGGATCATCGTAGATTCCATTAAAGTGCCATTTCTGTTGCTTGCATCCGCTGTGCCATTTACGAATGCAAAAGGGCCATTGCCTGAAACGTCGCCGATTATATATTTTTTTATCTTAAGGCCCACACAGTGTTACTGATGAGTGTGTTAAGGTATTTTCTTGGGGGTATATGTTACTGGTATTGATCCCCTGAACACTCACAGAACAATGACTGTTTTCATCAAAATCGGTGCTCCTGTGGTCTAGGTGACCGAGTCACTGCCCTCCCGCGTTGCACTACTTCTTTCGTAAATTATCTGAAGACAAATTGATTTGTTGTGGCCACTTGGGTGTTCTGCGAGTTTGAGGAAACATCAAAGCCGCACCCGGATGCTGCTTGCTGAACCTAATTATTGGCGAGGGAATATTAATTTCGGGACTTTTTCCACATCGACATCTCTCAGCTGGGGAAGGGGGGGGGACATCGTTAATGGAATAATGACCATTCATAAGCTATTATTTGATGTTAATTATTGAGTAATACGTATTAATTCACACAAACGAATTCAGGTGATATGAGGCAAACACGTTACATAGCCCATCCCAATGAACACGTTCGTAACCCTAAACCCTGACCCAAACCTCACCCCTGATCTCTTAACGGGGCCATGGGAGACTCCCTGGTGTTGTTGCTTTCATGGGAGCGCCCCGTGCTGCCTGGTCACGGTATAGCACGTGGCGATATCTGTGGGCAGCAGGGCCCAGTGCAGTCACATACATTATGTATCCTCCTCCCATCTTCACAAAACCCGCACTGAGCAGCATCGTGAGATGCGGTCAAACAACCCACACGATGCATACTGTGGTGAGGAAGGCCCTCACCATCCAACCGTGGATGGGCACACATGCCCAACTCATTTGTAATGAGTTGGGCATGTGCTCCTACCTGCCTATGTGTGGTGAGGGGGTGGTCAAAGCCCCCTGTGACTAATTTCCAGCACCACTTAGAACCGGTCTCCGCTATGCTGGGCTTTTCCCTGTCACGTACAGATTGGGTTTTATGAGAACAGTTCGCTACCATCCCAGGAATGGCCCAGGAACAGTAGCACAGCAGTGGGCTCACATCACCGTGTCCCACGAACAATGCGGTTAGCGTAAAGCTACCATATTATCGGGAGGCTCCTGCGGTCAGCCCCGCCCGTTTTATAACCCCACCCACTTTGTAACCACGCCCACTCCATCGCTATCCCAACCCGCACGGAGGAAGCCGATTCGCTGTCTCTCATATTGGCCCCGACCACTTATTCAAGTAGCCCCGACCTTTGCAAGTCTCACAAGTTGATCATCTCATGTGGTGGTGGACGATGGTCGCATCTGTTTGTTGGTCCGTCAACTCCTCTAGGAGCCATGCACCGTGGAGGACCTCGTCAGGGCTACAGACCGGGCCACACCATTATCATGTTCGTCGTCGTCATCAAACAAGTGCTCGATACTGGATAAACATCTCACTGTCGTGTGAGGTAAGGCCCATCGAGATATATAGCTCTTTTTCAGAATCAACCTGGCCACAAATGATCGCTCAACGAAGTGGCTTATCGTGTGGAAATGTATAGCAGCCAAATACTCCAAAAGCATGTTTCTTAATTGTGGAGGGAAAAACCGGAGTGCCCGGGTAAAAAAATCCCACACAACCACGGAAAGAGACATGCAAACTCCAAATATGCAGGCGTCAGGTTTGGTATCGAAACCACAACCTGCATAACAGACGAGGTAGTAAACGTCTCGCCACCGTGGCGCATATGAGCATGAGGCCGAAACATTTTAAAGTTGGGACAAAATCAGGGTGGCTGTGGTGCGTAGTGTGCACTGTGGGACGGAGACGCGGCCCAGCGGTGACATGTTCGCTGCTTTTTTGCAGAGGTTCGCATGTTGAATCCAGTCAGGGCACCCTGGTTAACGCGGGGGTGTGTTAACGCTGGGGTGTTGAGATCCCCTGACGTCATACGAAGAGGGCGGGCCATTGTGTGCCTGCGCTACCGGCTAAATTTGCCAAATTAGAAAAGTGACACCGTCAATTGCTCATTTGGGATTTCACACAGCAGAAGTATTCATCGCCTCCTGCCAGCAGCCTAATGCCCGATAACAGGACAGGTGCTGAGCCATCATGTGCCCACACAGCCATCATGTGCCCACACATGATGGCTGTCCATTGGGGAGGGTGGGCCATTTGAATTGATAATTAATCAAGTTGTCACGCGAGCCAACGTGGCCAGTGTATCCCTGCTTCACCAGCACCACCGGTGCTGCGACTGGCGAGCAATCAACAACATTTAAACGGGTTAACGACATTCCGCCGATCGTCGTCACCGGCATCATCAGGCAGTTGCAACAGCGAGACAAGTCTCCAGCAACACCGGTACCGCTCAAAGCGGCCGTAAATCGGCCCGCTCGTTCTCGCGACTTCGATTTATCGGCCGTGTGCCGCGCCTACCGATGCACACGACGTCCATGCAGGCGTACATGGCGTAGCACACGCGGAACAGCGGGTCCACGCGCTGCCAGCGCGCGGCGGGGCTGAACGCCGACCACAGCAGCCACGCGAGGCTGGCGAAGAGGAACACAGCGCCCAGCACCACGGCCGACACCTGCACGCGCTCCACCACCGACAGAGACACGGCGCGCCACTGCGCACGCACGCACAAAAGACAAAGATTCCCCCGTGCAGCCTCGACAGACTGTTGGGGCAAGTGCTGTTAGCGAGTAGCGCCTATAAAGGTGGGTGGCCAGCACGACGCCCGACCGCCTTTGTCTCCCCAGTGGCGATGTTTATACACCGCACCAGGTACTCATTTGAGGCTGAGTCGACCTAGGGGAGGTCCCATGACCGGTTCAGATAATCGTCACTGGTGTTGGGCCGTGAGCGCGAATCGAACTTGGGTCGCCAGGTTCATCGTGCGGTGCGCTAACCACTGCACCACCACTCCGCGCACACGGATACACACACGTACACATGCAAACACGCACGCACCCCACTGCCTACGGAGCCGCTATCACAGACACATCCACAAGCATGGATGCCAACATTTGTGCGACCTTGTCCTTGCCATGACGAGAGAACCTTGCTGCTCAAACAGATGAATGAGACCGCCTCTCAAACCACTTGCGCGCTGTGTCGACACATTGACAACGCTGAACATATCGTTATTTTTTGTTCCCTGGACACATTAACGCTGACCGAGTGCGTGCACGACTTATATTCTCAAGTATCGGTGTCTTTTTTCGCTCAAACTGGAAACGAACAAATCACCAATCGTCAAAGGGAGACTCTGCACTCTGGTATTTAGAGTGATCCCATTGGGGCCTCGTGGGCTCTGGCGGTCGGGGTCAGGGTTAGTGGGCAGGGTTTAGTGGTTAGGGTTTAGTGGTTAGGGTTAGTGGTTAGGGTTAGTGGTTATGGTTTAGTGGTTAGGTTTAGTGGTTAGTGGTTAGTGATTATGGTTTAGTGGTTAGGGTTTAGTGGTTAGGGTGAGTGGTTATGGTTTAGTGGTTAGGGTTAGTGGTTAGGGTTTAGTGGTTAGGTTTAGTGGTTAGGGTTTAGTGGTTAGGGTTTAGCGGTTAGGGTTAGTGGTTAGGGTTTAGTGGTTAGGGTTAGTGGTTAGGGTTAGTGGTTAGGGTTTAGTGGTTAGGCTTAGTGGTTAGGGTTAGTGGTTAGGGTTTAATAGTTAGGGTTAGTGGTTAAGGTTTAGTGGTCAGGGTTTAGTGGTTAGGGTTAGTGGTTAGGGTTTAGTAGTTAGGGTTTACTGGTTAGGGTTTAGTGGTTAAGGTTTAGTGGTTAGGGTTTAGTAGTTAGGTTTAGTGGTCAGGGTTTAGTGGTTAGGGTTTAGTGGTTAGGGCTTAGTGGTCAGGGCTTAGTGGTTAGGGTTTAGTGGTTAGGGTTTAGTGGTTAGGGTGTAGTGGTCAGGGCTTAGTGGTTAGGGTTTAGTGGTTAGGGTTTAGTGGTCAGGGCTTAGTAGTTAGGGTTTAGTGGTTAGGGTTTAGTGGTTAGGGTGTAGTGGTCAGGGCTTAGTGGTTAGGGTTTAGTGGTTAGGGTTTAGTAGTTAGGGTGTAGTGGTCAGGGCTTAGTGGTTAGGGTGTAGTGGTCAGGGCTTAGTGGTTAGGGTGTAGTGGTCAGGGCTTAGTGGTTAGGGTTTAGTGGTTAAGGTTTAGTGGTTAGGGTGTAGTGGTGAGGGCTTAGTGGTTAGGGTTTAGTGATTAGGGTTTAGTGGTTAGGGTTTAGTAGTTAGAGTTTGTGTTGAAGGGGAGGGGGGGGAGGCTCTCGATCGCACCTGCAGGGGCCCCTTGAGGCGCGCGGGCAGCGCTCGGTAGCGACTGCCGCACAGCTCACAGCTCCACGAGCCACGCTCGCTCGTCCACTGCAGCAGGCAGCGCTGGTGCGAGAAGCGCACCGAGCCAGCGCAGCGACACGGGCTCAGCAGCAGCCCCTGCCGAGGTCAGGGTGGGGGGGGGGCACGGGGGGGGGGGGCACGGGGCAGCCAGGGCCACACGGCAAACGGGCACGGGCATTCCGTGAGTAAGGGGCTGTCCATAAATGACGTCACGCGATTTTGGACGATTTTTTACCTCCCCCCCCCCATCGTCACACGGCGTCACAAAAAGTCAGACCCCCCCTCAGATATGACGTCACAAAACTCTGCCCCCCCCCCCCGCAAAATAAAACATGCTTCAAATCGCTTTAAACTATTGTCATTGTAGTGCGTATTTAATGTGCCGCTGCACTCTGATTTTGTAGGAGAACACATTTATTTAAAAAAGTCTATTTAATTAAGTAGAACGTGTTGTCTATATTTATTTAAAGTTGCGCATTTTTATGTGACGTCACATTTCTCACCCCCCCCCCCCCTCGTCACACATCGTCACAAATGTCTGACCCCCCCCCCCAGGTGCGTGACGTCATTTATGGACGACCCCTAAGCGCTCTTCCTCTGTGAGTTTGTTTAGCACAGTTGCTGAGAACAGACCCGACGGAACAACAAGCGGCCAGCGACAAGCTGCACTATCCAGGCTGTAAATAGATAACGGCGTTGTAACGCGTTTATAAACGTGAACATGGTTATTGTTAGTAGCGGTACTGTAGTAGTAGTAGTATCAGAGATGGTGGTGGTGGTGGCCGTGGGATGGAATTTGAAAGTGGAGCAGTCGGAGGGAAGACGCAGGTGCAGTGATCTGCTGTGCGGTGGTGGTTGAATACGGTACGGGTGAGATGAAACGGTGAGTCTGGTAGGGTGGTGAGTGGGTCATTGAGTGGGAGGTTGAGTGGGTGAGTGGTACATCGGGCCAGTCATCTCAGGCAATCAACCCATGGCAACCGGGTCTGTCTCGTGACCTCCTGCCGGCGGGCGTTCGACGCTTCACGTTGGCCTTAAAGTGCACCTGGCCTGGCACAAGCCTCGTGGTGATATCCCCGCCACTTCGTGGCGAATGGCGGTTGTTGTTGGTGGTGTAACCTGCAGCGTCGTGGTTGAACACAGGGGTAGCGATGATCGATGGCACAACACAGTTAGTGTCTGCTTGAACAGTGCCCATGGAAGTAGTAGCGATAGCAGGGTGATAAGGAGGCGTGTGTACATGATGTGCGTGTACCGTATATAGATTCAAAATTTGTGTGTATTATGTACGTGAATCATGTACATCGTTATTTAGAAACGAATAATAATACAGTTACAATCAATTGCAGGCCTTTGTCAATCCACTGCTGGATAAAGGCCTCTCCACACGATATCGGTCATGGGAATTGTTCAACCATAACTTCGGCCACGCTGGTAAGTGCGGGTTTGTGAAGGGTGCATCCAGGATCAGTTCAGATATAATTCGCCACCGATGTTAACCGTGGCCCCGATTCGAACTCGGGTGGCCTGGTGCTCAACGCAGTTCGCTCTGGGCAGTGACGCGGCCCAGTGGTAGCGCGTTCGCCGCTCATTGCAAAAGTTCACAGTTCGAATCCAGCCGCCACCCCGATTAATACTGCCGGTGTAACAGCCATAATACTGCTACTTCTAAGCACCGTCTGCTTCAGTGGACGTTTAAGATCCCATGACATATTCCGCAAGAGTCGGCGATTGTGTGCCAGCTTTACGGTACAATTTTTGCCAAATTAGAAAAATGACACCGCGAGTTACTCAATTTGGATTGTACACACAGCAGCACCCTGACTGGTAGACACTCTTGCAGATGAGACTCAACATGGTCTCTTGGGGTTTAAACACGACAGCCATCATCGCCTCCTACTGGCAGACCGATGCCCCCAGGTCACTCTTGCAAATGAGCCTCTATCCTGGTCTCTCTTGAGAGTCTCACCTGGTCACACTAAAGTAACAATAACTATACCGCTCTATATCTGAGGACCCCCATCTCCAAGCTCTGAGGCCAAGGGGTCATCACGGCCAAGGCCGTTAATGATACGTCTCTATGTAACACGATTTTTGTTCCTGGGTAGTAAGTGTTATTTTCTAATTGCTCAAAAGTATAGAAAATGGCTATTATTATTCGACCACAAACTTTGAATTTGTGAAGGAATGACACAAATGCACACGTTTTCTAAAAAAAAAAAGGTTAATTTCAAAAGATCACTGTCCTGGTCACAAAAGCAAAGTTTGCGGGGAATAATAGCCATTTTCTACACTTTTGAGGCATAAGCAATTGGAAATAACACTTACTACCCAGGAATACATTTTAAAAAAATTGTTGTTACACTGTACCACGACTCCGCCAGCGCTCTCTGGCTCCTGGCCGTTACCCCGCGCAGTCGACGCCGTGGCAGTGAATATACAGGGAGCACATGATACGCATCCTTCAAGTGCAGTACCTGTAACTACATGTCAAATACACAAGTATTTAATGTTGTTACAGATCCCATCAGCCGCGTGCATAATTTCAGCAGCATCGGTTCAATACGTGGAAATCTTCTGAACGGGTTTCGGCATTCAGCGCCTCATCAGCAGTCAGCCGTGCTGGTAAACCGCCAACTGTTGTAGGCAACGGCCATCACTTTAACATCGGGGTCCTGGTTTGACGGGAAGTACAGATTTGCGAAAGAGATTGCGCAGTCTGCTTGCAGTATTTTGTTTAGCTATTATTAGAGCCGGGGGAGAGAGACTGCAGACCGAGAAGACTCCACCTGTTCGGGCCCCTGGAAGCAAATCCTGCAGATCGGGGGTGTCCGAGACCCCGTTCCCAATGACCCCGCATCCTGGCGGCTCCGGTCCCCCTCGTTGGGTTCCTCCACCCCGCGGCAGCTCATGTTTCGGGGTCCCCTCGCCTCGGCGGGGGGGGGGGGGGGGGTTCCAAGGGGATTTCTCAAGACTCCTCCAGTTGCGCCCTCAGGGTCCCCTCTGCGCCTTCAGGACCCCAGCGGACCCCGGCGTAAGCTCCCAGCGACATCCCCTCCCCCGGCTGATCGCGTCCATGGCAACGGCTTTTAAACTGCTCCGTCACGCGCATTGGTACCAGAGGGGATTCCTCGCGCGTGACGTCAGTGACCGGGGAATACCCCCCACCCCTCCCCACCCTCCCGTCCCCCCTACGCCGTTCTTCTTCTTCCAGCGGTTGCCTCGTTCACCACCACCACCACAAGTCGCGAACTTCCGCGGATTTCTTGTTGATGCAGCAGCCCGTCAGCGGTGCGCGCTATACAGCACACACACAAACATACACACACAAACACACACACGAACATACACACACAAACACACACACAAACATACACACAAACATACACACACAAACATACACACACAAACATACACACACGAACATACACACAAATATATACACACAAACATGCAAACAAACATACACACACAAACATACACACACAAACATACACACAAACATACACAAACATACACGCAAAAATACACACACACACATGAACACAAACACACAAAGATACACACAAACATAAACACACGCAAACATAAGGACACAAACATATACACAAACATACACGCAAACATACACACAAACATACACACAAACACACAAAGATACACACGCAAACATACACAAACACACACACAAACATACACACAAACATAAACACACGCAAACAAACACACATACACACAGACATAAACATACACACAAACATACACACAAACGAACATAAATACACACAAACAAACATAAACACACACACACAAGCACACACACAAACATACACACAAACATAAACACACGCAAACATAAACACACATACACACAGACATAAACACACACAAACACAAACAAACATAAACACACACACAAACACACACAAACAAGCATACACACAAACATACACACACGCAAACAAACACACACATACACACAGACATAAACACACACAAACATACACACACAAACATAAATACACAAAGGCTGTTGTAGTGGCTACAGGCCTCACCTGCACGGGTAAAAGTAGCCACATTATCCCGATACTCCGACCAGCCAAAATAACTCTCAAAACAATGCTGGTTCAACTTCAAGATCGCCCTGTTTTCAAAATCTTCCAAGTACTAATGCTTGACTCCCTCTCCCCTCTCATCTCACTCTACTCCCCTCCACACACTCTCCTACCTCTCCCCTCTCATCTCACTCTACTCCCCTCCACGCACTGTCCTACCTCTCCCCTCTCATCTCACCCTACTCCCCTCCACGCACTCTCCTACCTCTCCCCTCTCATCTCACCCTACTCCCCTCCACGCACTCTCCTACCTCTCCCCTCTCATCTCACTCTACTCTCTCCACACACTCTCCTACCTCTCTCATCTCATCTCACTCTACTCCCCTCCACGCACTCTCCTACCTCTCCCCTCTCATCTCACTCTACTCCCCTCCACGCACTCTCCTACCTCTCCCCTCTCATCTCACTCTACTCCCATCCACACACTCTCCTACCTCTCCCCTCTCATCTCACTCTACTCCCCTCCACGCACTCTCCTACCTCTCCCCTCTCATCTCACTCCACTCCCCTCCACGCACTCTCCTACCTCTCCCATCTCATCTCACTCTGCTCCACTCCTCGTTATCTCCGCTACAGAAGACGAGGGTTCCTGTCAAAGCCGCCAAGCATACGGTGCGCTATACACAGTGTGTGTGAGTGGGTTATACACAGTGTGAGTGAGTGGGTTATACACAGTGTGTGTGAGTGGGTTATACACAGTGTGTGTGAGTGGGTTATACACAGTGTGTGTGAGTGGGTTATACACAGTGTGTGTGAGTGGGTTATACACAGTGTGTGTGAGTGGGTTATACACAGTGTGTGTGAGTGGGTTATACACTGTGTGTGAGTGGGTTATACACAGTGTGTGTGAGTGCGCTATACACAGTGTGTGTGAGTGGGTTATACACAGTGTGTGTGAGTGGGTTATACACAGTGTGTGTGAGTGGGTTATACACAGTGTGTGTGAGTGGGTTATACACAGTGTGTGTGAGTGGGTTATACACAGTGTGAGTGGGTTATACACAGTGTGAGTGGGTTATACACAGTGTGTGTGAGTGGGTTATACACAGTGTGTGTGTGAGTGCGCTATACACTGTGTGTGTGAGTGGGTTATACACAGTGTGTGTGAGTGGGTTATACACAGTGTGTGTGAGTGGGTTATACACAGTGTGTGTGAGTGCGCTATACACAGTGTGTGTGAGTGGGTTGTACACAGTGTGTGTGAGTGGGTTATACACAGTGTGTGTGAGTGGGTTATACACAGTGTGTGTGAGTGGGTTATACACAGTGTGTGTGAGTGCGCTATACACAGTGTGTGTGAGTGGGTTGTACACAGTGTGTGTGAGTGGGTTATACACAGTGTGTGTGAGTGGGCTATGCACAGTGTGTGTGAGTGGGTTATAACCAGTGTGTGTGAGTGGGCTAAGGGGCCATCCATTGATTAGGTAAAAAAATCTGTCAAACTTGACCCCTCCCTGTACGCACGCGAACTTTTTACACCGACCCCCCCCCCCAGCTGCGTACGTACCCCTGACCCCCCCCCCCCCGAATCCTATAGAACGGCCGATATTTAAGATATTTAATCCACGCAGAAACGATCAAGCATTAATAACATGAACGTGTTTAAGCAAACAGATAGTCCACCGCCGGACTATCTAACTTATTTGAAGGCCAATGTAGACAAATTACTATCTTGGCTTCACCCCCCCCCCCCCCCCTGTTTCCTATGCGAACATTGCCAGTAGACCCCCCCCATAGTCACGCGTGCGCATTTGGGTTAACCCCCCTCCATGCGTACGTACTAAATGGATGGCCCCTATACACAGTGTGTGTGTGCACACAATATAGACTGTAACAGACTGTTGGGGCAAGCGCTGTTAGCGAGTAGCGAGCACCTATGAAGGCCGGCACTGTGGCACACGAGGGGGTGGGTGGCCAGCACCACGCCCGACCGCCTTTGTATCCCCAGTGGCGATGTTCACACACCGCGCCAGGTACTCGTTTGAGGCTGAGTCGACCTAGGGGAGACCCAGGAGCGATTCAGATAATCGTCATCGGTATTGGCCGTGAACGGGAATCGAACCCGGGTCGCACGGTTTTGCGAACCGCTCCGCTATATAGCTTCCCACGTACACACGTGAACACGCGTGAGCACACACACGTGAACACGCGTGAGCACACACGCGTTAATACACACGCGTGGGACGCGTGAGCACATACGCGTGAACACACACGTTAACACACGCGTGAACACACACACGCGTGAACACACACACGCGTGAACACACACACAGGTTAACACACACGTTAACACACACGTTAACACACACATTAACACACACACACGTTAACACACACACTTTAACACACATACGCGTGAACACACACACAGGTTAACACACACACGGTAACACACACACGTTAACACACACGTTAATACACACGTTAACACACACGTTAACACACACACGTTAACACACACACGTTAACACACACACACGTTAACACACACACGTTAACACACACACGTTAACACACACACACGTTAACACACACACGTTAACACACGTTAACACACACGTTAACACACACACGTTAACACACACACACGTTAACACACACCTGCACGGTTGCCAGCTGCGGATCTTTCGCCACGTGATGCGCGATGTGAGGCACCTCGAGTCCGTCCGGACCCCGAGTCCCCTTACAGCGGCACCGCAGATACTATAGCCCCTGTCCTTATAGCGGCACCGCAGATACTATAGCCCCTGTCCCCTTACACCGGCACCGCAGATACTATAGCCCCTGTCCCCTTATAGCGGCACCGCAGATACTATAGCCCCTGTCCTTACACCGGCACCGCAGATACTATAGCCCCTGTCCCCTTATAGCGGCACCGCAGATACTATAGCCCCTGTCCTTACACCGGCACCGCAGATACTATAGCCCCTGTCCCCTTATAGCGGCACCGCAGATACTATAGCCCCTGTCCTTACACCGGCACCGCAGATACTATAGCCCCTGTCCTTACACCGGCACCGCAGATACTATAGCCCCTGTCCTTACACCGGCACCGCAGATACTATAGCCCATGTCCTTACACCGGCACCCCGTCACCCCAAGTCTCCCAATCTCACCGGACCCCAGTTCCCCCTCTTATCGCATCGTCCGAACCCCGATTCCCAGACTCCTAACCCGGATCGCTTGAACCGCGAACCCCAAACCCCCCACGAACCCCTCGTCCCGGGACCCCTAGCAGCAAGCCGTCACGGCACCCTTCCCCTCGCATCCCGGATCCCGCAAACCCCCTCCGTCTCTCATCCACGTAACCCCAGAACCCCGCCGCATCCCACAGACCCCTGCTGCCGTCGCGACGGCTCCCAGGGGCCGCACTGGGAGCGGCCGGGATCCCGGGTCCCCTCGCCGAGGCCCCGCCCGGACCCCGTCACCCGCAGCGCGGCGCGGGGTTTAGCGGCACAGGCGGCGCGTTAACCCCTGCGCTGCTCGCCAGAGGCGGCAGTGGGACGCCTCGCTGGTGATCACTCAGAGCAATAGCCTCGCTGGTGATCACTCAGAGCAGTAGAGGCTACTGCTCTGAGTGATCACCAGCGAGGCGCTGGTGATCACTCAGAGCAATAGCCTTGCTGGTGATCACCCAGAACAATAGCCTCGCTGGTGATAACTCAGAGCAATAGCCTTGCTGGTGATCACCCAGAGCAATAGCCTCGCTGATGATCACTCAGAACAATAGCCTCGCTGGTGATCACTCAGAACAATAGCCTCGCTGGTGATCACTCAGAGCAGTAGCCTCGCTGGTGATAACTCAGAACAATAGCCTCGCTGGTGATCACTCAGAGCAATAGCCTCGCTGGTGATCACTCAGAGCAATAGCCTTGCTGGTGATCACCCAGAACAATAGCCTCGCTGGTGATAACTCAGAGCAATAGCCTTGCTGGTGATCACCCAGAACAATAGCCTCGCTGGTGATAACTCAGAGCAATAGCCTTGCTGGTGATCACCCAGAGCAATAGCCTCGCTGATGATCACTCAGAACAATAGCCTCGCTGGTGATCACTCAGAGCAATAGCCTCGCTGGTGATCACTCAGAGCAATAGCCTCGCTGGTGATCACTCAGAGCAGTAGCCAGATGGGTTAATGAATCGACTTGCTTGGGGTGCTGAGCAGTAGCCAGATGGGTTAATGAATCGACTTGCTTGGGGTGCTGAGCAGTAGCCAGATGGGTTAATAAATCGACTTGCTTGGGGTGCTGAGCAGTAGCCAGATGGGTTAATGAATCGACTTGCTTGGGGTGCTGAGCAGGAGCCAGATGGGTTAATGAATCGACTTGCTTGGGGTGCTGAGCAGTAGCCAGATGGGTTAATGAATCGACTTGCTTGGGGTGCTGAGCAGTAGCCAGTCGATTCTTTAATGAATCGACTAGCTTGGGTGCTGTCATCTCCTGGACCCCTCTCGGAGGGCAGCACGCTTGAGAGTTTAATTCTCGGCGTGATCCACCAACCCCTGCATTCACAGCGCTGGTCTGGTGAGTGCTGGGGTGGTGGTGACATCGTTCGTTGCAAAGGTTCGCGGTTCGAGACCCAGCGGCCACCCTGGTTAATACTGCGGGTGTGCGTATTAACCGTAAAATGTTTTACTTTGCGGCGTATGCTTCACAGTGGACGTTAAAGATCCCGTGACGTCGTTTGAAACGAATACGCCATTGTGTACCGGCTTCAGTCTACAAAATTGCGCATTGCGAGAATTCATGGCAATCATTGCACTGGCAGACCACTGGTGCTTGGACCAAGTGTTCGTAGCGCCGGCTCTGGCTGCCTCTGGGCCGCTCGTCTCTGGTTTCCTTGCGCCTCCATGTGCAGACGTGAGTGCGTTCCAAATTGCGAGATTTACTTCTCTATCAAGGAGAGCCTCGTCAGGATGGCGCTGCAACGTTTAAGATGTTTTCATCCATTTAATGACGAGCTGTTTATTACACAAGTGGGAGGAAACCCACACGCGTCAAGGGGGCAGCACTCGATCCCCGTGCAGATGGCAACAGGGCATGGCACCTCGACGCCCACGTGAAGGGAGTTTCACAACATCTGTCCGTGATCCACAAACCCTCGGTGCATGCCTCCACAGTGCTGATGACGACAGGCAGCCACGTGCAGCAGCGAGGCGGCACCTCCCGGCTCAGTAAACACGTTGCGTTTGAGCACACTTCGTACACCACATTACTCCGTCACACACACGGCGAGCTAGCTAACACGAGCAGATCACCCAACTATCAACATAAGCCTCACACCCTACCAGGCAACCAGACATCGTCATCGTCGCTGTCTCGACATGATCCATTCATCATCGCATTATCTACACATCGTTATATGTACATCATCGCATTATCTATGCTATCACAATTAATCCATTCATCATCACATTATCTTTCCATTATAATACATATCCATGCACTCATCATCATCAGTGACATCATCATTAACATCCATACCCCCCCCCACGCCCTGCCAATAAATCCCCGACCAACAAAACAACTCAACCCCACACTCAAATCTGTCTCCCACACGCCTTTGCCGGACCCCTCGTATCCCCCAGACCCCTCTCGATCCCCATGCACATTTCAACCCTCCCCAGACCGCGTGGTCCTTCTCCCACCCTCTGCGTGACCCCTCTCCCACCACTCCGCCACACACCCCCCTTCCCCTACCTCCCCCCCGTCTTGCGGGGTGGTGTTGTTGGAGGAGCGATGGTCGCATCTCGGATGGAACATGTGAAAGCTTCCTGTTGTAATCAATGCCGAGGGCTCCAATTGCCGGATCATTGTCACGAAGCAGCCACGGGGCATCTCAACGCCCCGGCGGTAGCAGCCATCGTCATCATCGTCGTCATCGTTTGTACCGCATCATCCACCACGTACTTTTGTCCGCACATCTTCAGGTGTACATCGTCAGTCGATCACTGTCATCATCATTATGTTTGTATCCATACGCCTTGAAGCAGATGATGATGGCGGTGGTAATCGTGATCTTTTATATACCACTGATCATCATCATCATCAATCTCTGTTATAATTTTCACATCACCATCTTCGCCGTCCATATATCTCTATCCATGCATCATGATGACCACTCATTCATCATCATTTGTACATTCACAAAATATCACTTCAACGTTATCACCACCATCACATTACCTATACATTGCATCATCAAATCACCGGAATCTACACTTTCACATAATCATGCACACATCATCTTCCGTATGTCATCACCGGTAGAACATCAATTATCCAAGCAGCATTATGTTAATATGCACATCGTATTAATGTTTAAATCATCACCCGTGGTGTCCATTACTCATACATCACACGCACATCACCAATAAAATATCCTCCTCGTCGCCATCGTCTCCACTCTCACCTGATCTCCCAAAGAGCCGAGAGCACGGGGCCTCTGACTCACAAGCCTCTTCGCTCATTCATTCACTCGCTCACTTCATTCATTAGCGCATTGATTAATCGGCTCATTCATTCGCTCTCCGAGCCGCCCTGGGACGGGTCACGAGTGCCAGTAATGGATGTTCCCGTAACCCGAAAGGAAACGCGGAGCAGGGAGAGCGGCCAGAATCAATAGCCGATAACGCATCTCTTTCTGCACGCCACGATCATCGCACGCCGAGAGAAGGGACGCTGTTGCCGCTCGGTGCGCGCGTGTGTGTGCGTGCCCGGCAGAAACACTCACAATTGCAACCTGCTGAGTCAGTGGTGGAAATGACACATTGCCATGACTCGGGCAGCCTCTCCGCGATTCTCTCCATTGGACATCCACCGTTGACTCCCCCACAAAGTGGTACTCATTTTATCGGCCCCACGTGGGATGATGGGTTTATGCAACCAGGATTTTGAACTGCCAACCTTCTGATTTCGAGCCGTTGAGCCACCTGCTCGGATGCTCACTTAGACTAAAAGTTAAAGGTTCACCCCTGCAATTTCTTGCTCACGCCACTGCTGAAAGAAGGGCCTTGACAAGAGGTTGCTCTAGAGAGCTCCTAGAGTGGATATTTGGCCTACTCTTCCATGCTGGTCAAAGTCGTCTTTCAAGGGGTGATGATGATGCTGAGTGAGGGTGATGAGTCAATGTAACGGGAGGTGAGGATGAGTGGAGCTAACAGATGGATTTATGCACACATGTAATACGTGCCATAGGCAAGAGCTGGAAACTGGCTACACTGGATCAAGCAAGGGGGATCCGAAGATCTTAGTGGAGATGACAAGCAGGATGGAGATGATACGTTCATAGATTATAGCACGCAGTGACTTGGCTAGTGCTATTGTTGCATGTTTAACCATAGACACTTGAATCTGGGTTTTCTCATTCATGCGGAGTCAAAATATAATTTACAGCCAGCCCACTACTGCATGAAGGGTTGCCGATGCTGGGAGTCTTTTGAGTATACGTCACCAGGCTGGTCAGTGCAGGTTGAAGGGGATGATGCACAGCCCAGGACCAGTTCTGATATCACTTGCTGCTGATGTTAGCTGTGGCCAGGAAGGAAATCAAAGTAACCGCAGAAAAGCCACAGATAAGAGCGATTCACACTCAAATTCCACACAGATGGATCAAATGCTGTGCTACCATCTCCTAGCCACCTGGAATTCCAAGCCAGTTTCCTATCAAAGCACCAACCAGGCTCATCATCGTCCACGATCAATCTACCGCTGGATGAAGGCATCCTCAAACCATCTCTCAAAGCCTTCATCGTCTCTCCACCCGAACGAATCCTGAATGATCACGCAGTCACGCCAGGTTGTGACGAGCATGCGCCCAGGCGGTTTATTGTGTCTTCCACTCTCACCGAACCCTCGGGGCGTGAGCTGCACACGAGAAGAGAACCCCGATCCGCGTGGGCACGCGGTCGCCGCTCGTGGACAGCAGCCGGCGTCACTTTACTGTTGAAGCAACTCGGAGATCGGAATCGACCTGCACATCTGACCACGCTGCGATTCGTAAATCCGCAATTTGCATTCAGCACTCAGATCAGCACGAGCGATGTCGCCAACAGGAAGATTATGGACACGCATTCACATCAACCTAGAATCATACACAAAACACCACGTAAGAACCACGAAAGGAACGCAATATCTGAGACAAACGCTTAACATGAGCCAGAGACTTGCAAGGTCAACAGCTTTTTTTTGGCCAAGATCGTAATTGACTACGTGTGGAGCAAGGAAGCGATTGCCACGGGTGCCTTGCACTGAATTACCTCGGGTTCGTGAGGGCCAATCGTCCATGCCTCCTCGCTGCCAGGGTCATGGGTACAGTGAACACCACCACTGAAAAGTGACCCAACCATGGAAAAGGGGCTTTGACAAAGAGCCATAGGTAGCACGGTTAAGGTCAGTGGGAGTAATATTAGTGGCTTGTAGCTACTTGTTTAGGTTTGAGGGTAGTGATTGGTTGGCTAGTGTTATGGTTTAGCGAGAGGTAGGGCTAGTACTAGCGGCTGGTTGCTTAGTTGGTTCGGGGAAGTGTTTAGTCGGTATGGTGAGGGTTTAGAGGGAGGGTGAATACTATTGGTTGCTTGAATATTTGGCTCGTATTAGGATCAATAAATAACTAGCACGAGTGGCTGGTTGTTTAGTGGTAGTGGTTGGTTGGCGAGTAGTCGTTATGGTTTAGTTAGAGGGAGGGGATGGTAAGACTGGCTGGTTAAATAGTTGGTTAGTGGTGTTAGGATCAGTGGAAGGGCTTGTCGTACAAGTGGTTTCTTGGTAGAGGTAGTGTTTGGTTGGCGAGTGTGGTTAGGGTTTAGTCAGAGGGAGCGCTAGTACTAGTGGCTGGTTAGTTAAGGGTAGGGCTATCATTTGGTTGGTGAGTGTTCTGTATCCCAAACTGCATGCCCCTCCTCTCTATTGCAGTGTATGGCCTTTCCAGTTTTTGGCTGCTTTTCATTTCTCTGGTAAGATGCATAAAACACAATTTACGTTTTTTCACCCGCTTAACTTACACCCGAATTCAATGACAAACGAAGCGAATTTCACCCAAGGTAGTTTATGCCATCCTGCCACTAGCGTTTGCAGCACACCCACGGTTATCGGAGCATCAGAGCCCCCTTGTGCGTTGCGGCCGTTGGGCACTCTCTGTATGAGCAGCGGCCGTACGTGACGCTTCAAGCAGGCAGCTCATATTTCACATTCGTGGGATGTGGCGATTACTGCTCAATGAATTATCCGCCGGGCCTCACCCATTCCCAGCAACATCCATCTACAGAACTGTGTTTCATAGCAGGCGCAGAGGAAATCTTGAAACAATGCGGACACTTTTGCTAAATCTTGACACACACAGACGACACAGATATTAGAACCAGGAACCACAGATACAATTGCGTGGGAGAATAAGGATCGTGGTGTAGGTTCGCGGCAGCTGCGCTTGAGATGCTAATGGATGGGATCTTGAGCTGTGAACCGAAGTGTTGGTCACATTTTAACCTGCGGGGGTCACACGCAAACGTATTTTTTTCATCGCAATCCCAATGACGGTGTGTGCTGATGTCGCCGGTAGTGGTGATTCTGTGGGGAGGAGGGCGGGGGGTGGGCATGTCTTCCTAATAGCATTGCCTCCCATATGCCCCCTGAAATGGAGTGGCAGCGAGTGGATGGGAATTGAGTGATCGGGTGGCACTGAAGTCGAGGTTGAAGAGGTGGTCATCACGTCCAGTGCTGTTGATGTCACCGCACCTCGCCCATCACCTTCTGCCAGATTCCACAGCAGTCGCACAGTCCACACCCGAGACCCTCAAGGTCTGCTCTTAAAGTCTCATCCCACTCGTAGGGTTTTACGCACCCCCGGACTATGAAGTGGCTCCCAACTTGAGGCTCCCCGTTTTACCGTGTCCTAGAATTGCCGGTGGCCACGAGTCGGCAGGGATCGCCGCACCCACAGCCTGTTCATTTAAGCAATGTATTCTCTCAGAAAAATAATAGCAAATCTCATCTCTATTCAAATATGATAATAATCTTAAATCTCTGATGATCGTGGGTCACACGCAGCGAGTGCGCACCCCGCCGCTCCGTCTGTCCGGCCGTGCTGACGGTGCCACCGGCGCCCATGCAGCCACGGCCGTCACTCGAGCACCTCGGGCACTTCCACCCCGTTGAGGATGAGGCTGTGCACGATGCCCTCGCGCCGACGCCCGCTGCTCACCGCCTTGATGCAGCACTCGTGCCGGTCCAGCAGCGTGAAGTGCGTCTCGGTGCCCTCCTCCACAAACTCGCCCTGCCACCGTTCGTTCAGCAGCAGAGAAAGGGGCACGTGGGTGGGTAAAACGCTGGTGGTGGCGGTGCAGCGGTTAGCGCGATGCGCTATGCACCCGGCGACCCGAGTTCCATTCCCGTTCACGGCCATCAACATAAGTGATGATTAATGATCTGAATCGGTCCTGGGCCTTCCCTAAGTCGACTTAGCCTTAAATGAGTGCTTGGTGCGATGCGAAAACATCAGCACTGGGGTGACAAAGGCGGCCGGACCTGGCGTTGGCCATACTACCCCCTCGTGTGGCGTGCCGGCCTTCAGAGGTGCTCGCCAACAGCACTTGCTCAAACAGTTTGGTAAATCTATACAGGGGATCTTTGTCTTTGGTGGTGGCACATGCCTGTGATATCCAGTGCTTTGAACGTGAGGGGTTGGTAGTTCGCAAAAAAACATCTAAAACCCACTGCGCTGTGAGGTGACCAGGAGGTGGTGGTACAGCAAATGTGTTGTGACCCTGTGTGTGTGGACCTTTGAGTGTTATCCCCACCATATAAGCGAGTTTCCCCTGGGTACTCTGGTTTCCTGCCGCACGATAAACACACACTCATGGTCCCCTAGCAGCCACACCGGGTGTTGTCATTGTGTGGGGCCACGTCGTGGGCAGCAGAGGGTAGTGGTGGGCAGCAGAGGGCAGTGCAGTATATCTGTTGCACACTACTTTTCTGCTTCCACGCCTTTGCCTCCCCACATTCACCACTGACCAGTGGCTGTAAAGTATGGTTAAATAACCCCCCATGGTCTACATGGGTTGGGGAGGCCCTCATTCAGCAGCGGATTGACAAAGGTTCCATCGTACATGTGTGTCGTGTGGTGTTACAAGTACGGCATGGGTGTCGTGTAAAAGGCTGACTGCAAAATGCAAATGACAAAACATTCCAATGCAAGCAGCTTTCCGCAACGAGAGTTGAGGCTCGTTAAGGATTTCATGGTTGAATTACATTACAAGGACACATTTAAATTCACATAATTAAAGCTAGCACGGAGAAGCTAGGTTTCAGGTCACAGCGTGGGCAGAACAGGAAGACTTGTGGATCCATCCCAACTGATCGAAGGTGAACAGATCATTAAATTAAGCGGCACATTAAACCGTAATTATGAACTGATCTTTGTCAATCCACTCCTGGATGAAGGCCACCCCACTCCGTGTTGGCCATAGCGCTTATTTTACCATACTTCACCACGCTGGTCAGTGTGGGTTGAAGGGAGCTCAGGGTTGGTTCAGATAACCGAGTGGCGGTGGTGCACGCCTGTAATCAAGTACTGGGGAGGCAGCGAGGATTGGTAGATAATATAAATGTTGTGAAACTTCCTTACCCGTGGGCATCCAGGAGGTAGGGCAATAATGTGGACTCCACCTGTTCCTTCCGTATGGGATAGAGTGTTTCCCCCTCCTATGCGTGGGTTTTCTCAGATTTCCTCTCACATGTAAACTCATTAACTGACTGAACACATCTTATTTCATAGGGGATCACAGAGCTTGGACAATTATTGGCACCGGCTCACCGCCTGGCGGCCGCCTTCCCATTTGTCAGCGGCTCCTGCGGGGCACCTCTACGTCGGCCACTGTCTTCGAGAGCGAGCGAATACCGTGCAGCACTTTACAAGTTGAAAACAATCATATATCGCTCTCCACAGATGTTGACCATTGCTGGGAATCATGCGTAAGCCCCTGGGTTCACATCACCATGCAATGGAACACACTGTGCCACTTGAAGAGAAAAATGAAAATAAGGTCATTCATATAGCAAGGACAGGCTCATTGAGTCTAAAGGCTCTCTCTTTCAAGGTTTCCCTTGTAAATAAATAAACTAATCACATCATCCATCTATACAGTGTAGGTTATAAATAAAAATAATCAATGTCCTTGTGCTTTCCGGCGAATAGTGCTGGCTCTCAGCATTTCAATCGGCAACCTTACAACGTGCTCATTTGCACATTTATGATTGTCAAGGAAACGCACCACAATATTCTTTCCGCACGTAACCAACTCCAGTTGTTTGTTTTGTACAACCCCATTGAAGGCCGTCTTTTGTACAACACCATTGAAAGCTGTGTTTTCACATCCAAAAAGATACCCTTTTATCAGCCCCAATAGAAGAGCCGTGGCGATGAATACGGGAACGTTGCATACTGCCGACACTGGAGAGCACAGCTGAACAGCACGTACCGCTCCTCGGAGCAAGCAGCGGGAACACTCACCGCAGTCTCCATCTTGTCTCCATTGCACCAAATGTCCATGGTGTCCTTCTCTGTAGAATGGGGTACACAACGACAAAGATAAGCCATATAGCCTCAACCAAATGTGGGGGGAAGTGCTGTTAGCGAGCAGCACCTATGATGGTCGGCATGGCACACGAGGGGGTGGGTGGCCAGCACCACGCCGGGCCGCCTTTGTCTACCCAGTAGTGATGTTTATACACTGCACCAGGTACTTATTTGAGGCTGAGTCGACTTAGGGGATCCTCAGGACCGGTTCAGGTAATTGTCACTGATGTTGATGGCCGTGAGCGGGAATTCAACTTTGGTCTCTGGGGTTTGTAGAGCAGCATGCTAACTGCTCCACTACCGCTCCTCCAAAAACAAGCACGCAGTAACACACGCAAACATGAACATACAAAGTCTGTAGTAGTGGCTACAGTCATCACCTGCACCGATAAAGATAGTTACATTATCCTGATACTCTGACCAGCCAAAATGACTCTCAATACAATTCTGGATCAACTTCAAGATTGCCCTGTTTTAAAGATCCTCCAATGACTAATGCTTGCCTACCTCTCCCCTCTCATCTCACTCTGCTCTCCTCCTCGTTATCTCCGCTCCAGAAGACAAGGGTTCCTGTCAAAGCCGCCAGTCAACCATCACTCAGTAGGGGGTCGCTCATTCTCCTCTGCTGTCCCCATCCATCTATCCTGCCAAGTTTTCGACTCCCTGCCCACATTCAAGTCCATCCGTGGGGCCTCACCGAGCACCACGCGGATGTCCACCCCATCCAGCTGCAGCACCCACGTCTTGCTGGTCTTGGACCGGTTCTCGATGAACTTCTTGAGGCTCTTGCCGTTGATCTCAAGCGTGTACTCGTACGCAAACCTGCGACCCAGCCGGACACATGGGCATGCACGGGCCACGTCAGGCGCTCAAGGTGCTCCTCATCACAACTCCACACGCCGAGTTGAAAACCCCACGAAGGACCAGAGTGCACAGGGACAGTCACTGCTCAAGTGGCAGCACAGATGGATTTAGGTATCATTTCCCTTGGGACACGAAAGAAGAAAAGACCGAACACTTCTCGCCCCCCCTCTCCTCCACCCCTCCCCAACAACAACAGCCGCCATACGCCACGAAGTGAAGGTGACGTCACCGTATCGATTGTGCCACGGCTAGCTGCACATTGATGCCGTCACGTGAAGTGTCGATGGCTTTCTGCCAGGTGTCATGGGAAAGGCCCTTTTTCCTCAACTCTCCAACCCTCATGCCAGGATGCGGCGGGTGGGGAGCGGGTGGGGGCTGGGGTCATGGGAAGGCAGCAGCAGCATCATCGATCACTCACCCACTCACGGCGTCAATGTTGATGGTGGCTTTGGTCTCGGTGGCGCCAACTGTGAAGGTCTCCTTGCCAACCAGCTTGAACATCCAGTCCCGGCGGATGAGCTCCTAAGTAAATGGCCAGCGTAAAGGGGCATGGGAGCGGTGGTACAGTGGTTAGCATGCTGCGTGATGAACCCGAAGCCCCGAGTTCAAATCCCGGTCATGGTGAGTAACATCAAGTGGCAAGTAATATCAGAACCGGTCGTGCCCTCGAGCCCCTTCACCAATCTGCACTGACCAGTTTGGTGAAGTATGGTAAAAAAACAAACAAACAAACAACATGACCGACATGGTGTAGAGACCCCTTCGTCTATCAGAGATCCCCTGATGTCATTTGAAACGAGCAGGCCATTGTGTGCCGGTGTCATGGCCCAAATTTTCCAAATATTATTCATGAATTACTCACTTGGAATAACGCATAGAGTAGCAATCATCAAACCCTTCTGGCAGACTAATTAACATCCGATTGCCGGCCAGGTGCTAAGTCACCTCATGTCCACAGGGACAGCTGCGACTGGGGGTGTTCATTTAAAATATTTGACATGCGATGTGAATTGCTTATTGCATGCAAAGGGCGCTACATTAAAAACAAATCATTATTGTTGGATTGACAATGAATAGAATGTTAATTTTACTTTACTAAATGGGCATGAGATAGGTGTGGGTGGGTGTGTGCATTGGGGTGTGCAGGGACACATGTAGATGTTTGGGCATGTGAGCAGGTGTGCATGCGTGTGGGAGCGGTGGCGTAGTGGTTAGCACATCAGCGGAAATAACCCAGCGAGCCGGGTTCGCTTCCCGGCCACGGCTAACATCAGCGATAAGCGATATCCGTACCTGTTTTTGGCATCCCCTAAGTAAACTAGGCCTTAAATGGATACCTGGTGTGGTATGTAAACATCAGCACTGGGGAGACAAAAGTTCAGCAAGGTGTGGCACTGTCTATCTATGTGTGCTGCGCCGGCCTTCGTAGGTACTCAATTACAGTACTTGCCCCAGCAGTCTGTTAAGGCTACAGGGGGGATCTTTGTCTGCGTGGGTAGGGCGTGCGGACCGCACCTTGCCGTCGACGTACACGACGCGCTTGCCCGACGTGGTGCCGTGCTCAAACTCGATTTTGTGCACTCCGTCGCTCAGCGCGACCTCCCACATCGCGACCAGGTCTGCCATGCGGTCCGCGTGAGCGTAGCGCGCCCTGCCCAGTGGCCACAACCACACAGATTAGCGGCTGACGGTCGCGGTTCAATACAGGACTAAGCAAAGTATTTGGTGATGCTGCTGCTGTGTTGGCAGTGGTGCACAAGCACAATGAAGAAAAAAGTCTACACGTTCATCAATAGCGAGACTTTAAGCCATGAATTTAATCGTTATTGTTTATTTTAAATTATTGATCTTTTTTTGCTGTTACTCCAATTATGTTTTGCTGCATGTCAAGAGACTTAGTGCAATTTGAAGTTGTGACTATATATTGGAATTTATTCCTTAAAAAAATAAATTTTGCCGATTTGATGGTAATAATATGATGATAATTTAATAAAGTGATGATATTTGTATTTTGATTATGTTAATGACAAGAGGATGTAATTGCTGTTTATATTATGTTGATGATGTATTTCACGTTTCCTTTGACCTGTCTATGTTCTCTGCGAATGTCCTCAAGTTAAATATGTCATTTTGGCTGTTAAGAAAAGTGAGAATCTAGATTTGAAGCTTTCGTGACTGCAGGAATGCATACTCTCTGGTTCTTTCGGTAAAGTCACGTAGGTATAAAATAAAATAAATCACGACGTTTCGGTTGCAACACAAGCAATCATCATCATCATCAATGATCATCATCAATGATGATGATTGCTTGTGTTGCAATAGAAACGTCGTGATTTATTTTATTTTATACCTACTTGACTTTACCGAAAGAACCGGAGAGTAAGAGAAGTGAGATCGAGCAAGCCATGTTGCTGGAAGGGACAATGACATATTTGAGAATAATTTCTGAGCGGTAGCCAAGGAGAGGGAGTACGCCTGAGAGGACGTCTGATGTAGAGACGGAGCAATGAGATGACCACGTATGCAGGTGCCTGATGGATCGTTACATCGCAGGACTGTGGGAGAAGGCGACAGCTCGGGAAGGCCTTCAAGTTAGAGACGTCACTTTGTCACGAGAAGTTAAGCAGGTTTGGGCAGGGCACTGCTGGACAGGATGATGGCCAACGGTCGAGACTAACGATGATGGAGTGGCAGCCAACGGGGGATGCACGCGCGAAGTGGACGTCAAACTACGGAGGTGGAGCAATCAAGAGGAATTGTTCAATTGCGAGATGGTAAGTGATGGCGATGCCTTCAGCCAAAGTAGATTGATCATAGCTGATGATGATGCTGACATAGTGATGTTGATGATGGCGTTGATCATTGTATGCTGATGACGATGTCTGCTCACGCACCGCATATCCTCCTGGGTGATGGTGATTTCATCGCGCGACGCCATTGCCCCTCGTAGCTCCAACCTGGACAGAGAGAAGCAGATTCAGGGTTACCCTGAACCCATCAACAAGCACCCATCGTCCATCTCCCGGGCATATTTCAGCGCGGTCAAAGACATGGAAGATATTTATGCACCCTGCATACCACATCCTCCAGGGTTGTGCGATACGGCCAGCAAAGTTTTGAGGTCTTCGGCCTGTGGATCTGAAACCAGTTGCCGGCATGTTTGGGATCTATCCTTGAGTCTGAGCCAGTTTTGCAACAGTGGTGGCCCAAAGATCAGTGTGGTGAATGGGTGGTGGACTAGACTCAAAACAGTGTGCGGTAACAAATGTTCAGACTTACTTACCGTGGCTACGATCAAGTCTTTAACATTTTCTTTGACCTGTCTATGTTCTCTGCATATGTCCTGAAGTTAAAGACGTAATTTTTACTGTTAAGAGAAGTGGGATTGAGCAAGCCATGTCGCCGGAAGGGACAATGAACATATTGGAGAATAATGTTGGAGCAGCAGCCAAGGAGATGGAACAGACCTGAGAGTACGTCCGATGTAGAGATGGAGCGGAGGGATGAGCTGGTGTGTGGATGCCTGATGGCACGTCTACCAGCGACTTGGAAAATATTCAGTGAGATTTTCAGCTTTGCCCATTACCCTACACCTCCATCTGCTCCACCCATGCTCTATCCACTCTATGCCTCACTTATCACCCAACCAGTTACCCATTCACTGCACCCATACTCCATTAATTCTCTGCTATTTCTAATGTGGATTTTCCGAGAACATTCCTCCACAAGTGAGCCGCCATGTTTCCAAGCACAAAGCACTCACAAAATTAAACACCAGTGGAGACTAGGCTCTAAGAAAAGCTGTCTCGGGTGTGGAACAATCAAATTCAAGGACAGTGCATATTATTATCAGAGTTGTCTCTTTGTTTGCATTTTGACTGCTTGTGTTGTGGTTATTGCAAACATGATGTCTTGAATAAAGGTGTCAGTTTTTGTGCCAGTTAAAAGGGTAAAACCTATTACTATATTAAAATAGTAATTTACAGTCCTTTTGTAAATCCACTGCTGGATAAAGGCTGGGCATGGGGTTGTAGGACCATACTTCCACCACGTTGATCATTGCAGGCTGGTAGAACGTTGGCATTATTATTGGTAGGTATTTTTTTACCATGACTAAAATCGTATAATAATCAACCGAGCATATAAATAGGTTTGCTAACATTGGCCCAAAAAAAAAGTAGTCAAGCAAGGGTGCCGGTACAGATGAGACAGCAGACAATGGTATGAGAAAGCACCAAAAATCAAGACAATACAAAATGTGACAGCACAACCGAGACAGACAGTACAGGCAACGTAGTCAGGAGTCAACAATAATAATTCACTCTTGAATTGAATCGTGACCCAATATCATGACAATTTATGGAATCACAGGTGAGGTGAATAATGAGATCCCGAGCATACTACCGGAGAGGCCTGTAACACACGAGTCGTAACCCGGGGCGGCCACTTCGCCCAAATTAAACATCGCAGTGGTGAGGATGCCTGCTGACGGTTGCGTAAGCTCGCATTACTGGCTACGTTGCGTTTTATTGCAAGTGTTTATCCAATGCGTTTATGACGAGGGCAACCAACAACAGAAAATGGCAAAGCGTAGCAGGCGAAAATCGCATACATTATTATGCCGCTGTGCAAAAGTCATGAAATACGTGACACATGAGGATGCCTTTAATTCGCCAACTCATGCAAATAACTATTTTTTTTTACGAGCATTAATTTAAATGAAACAAGTTTCCTTTGGATAAAAATAAAATGCGTGACTCTTAAGTTTGGTTGAATATTTTTTCGGAGAGTATTCAATGTGCATAACAGATAATCCAATTGTATGAAGCTTCTCTCATCTGTGGTCCTATTACCCAAGACGTCCATTAGCCTCGACTCCAATTAATGTGACAAAATCCTATTATCACAGAGAGATTTTTTCCTTCGATACGAATTTGTGGATCGGAAGCGGTAACCCAGCACTGGTGAAAAATAATTAACACTCTGACAGTATTTGCCTTTACCCTAAATCACATGCAAGTGGTGGTGGCAAATTATTCACGGATAAGTCACCCAGCATTCGCCTGCACTGATTATTGTGGTGAGTTTTGGTCAAGTATCCTCAATGGTGGCACTGCATATGGAGGCCTTTAGTAGCAGTGGATTGACAAAGGGCAGTACATTCTTGTTAACTGTAATTACGAAATCACTCAGGCGTGGCCTCTGGGGGAGGCATTAAATTTGTCCTATTATCCACAACTTTACGTGGATAAGAGGAGTCGCTTGGGAGTGGTGGTAACCTCGTCCTATAATTATCCGTGTGTGTGTTGAGTTTTTTTCGCACCGTACGTGGCCAACCGTGCTAATCGGATGTCTGTGCAGCTATGAGTTTTCATGAGAGCGAACACGATTCACAAATAGTGCCCCCCCCCGCCCAATTCAATGTGTAAATGTTTCTCGGTACGGCATTTAATTGTAAACATAGGTAGTGGCGTTCTTTGATCCATCTGTCATGGCTTCTCATGTCAAACAGACAGGGGTCCTTGCCAATAACATCCGGAAATTCACTAGCATTTGTTGAAGCAAGCCTTAGTCTTCATAATAACGGGTTTTGGGTTAGATCGTGTACGTATAAATGAGTCTTAACCCTCCACTACCCGGCACAGACAAATGTTTGTCACGTAAACAACGCGACAATGAGTTACTACTTCAGCCCACCGGTGTGTTGGAGAGTAAATCCACAACATTTACACACCGGTGGGCTGAAGTAGTAAACTAATTGGCGCGTTGTTTACGTGACAAACCTTACTGGCTGTGTCGGGGGTGGTGGAGGGTTAGGACACATTTATACTTAGGCAATCTCACCCAAAAAAAACATTTGATTACGAATAATATTAGTCGCGAAAGCCTACGTGTTAAGCCGTACTCTGCTGATGAAACACTGCAAGTAAAAACCAGCCCAGAGTTTGCTTGCGTTGAACAAAAATCACTCCAAGAAGGCCGCGTGGCCAATGGCATGTGAAAAACAATGTTTAGATTTAATGTGGAGGGCCAGATATGGGAAGTAAGCGGATTTGTCCTGCTCATTTATTTTGTCATTATATAGGAAGGCATTTGCCCGGATTAACAACCACAGAGTGAGGACGGAAGGCTCGCTTGTATATCACTGACACCGGGGAAACACTGCGCAGATCAAGGGTTATGATCCTGTGGCACACGGGGGCTAGACGTGGTTGTACAGGCTGCCCACTACTGCCCACTGGTGCATTTTTAGAGTGGAGCAACACTCAAGGACACTGTGTGTGTATATGCACAAGGAACCTTGGAAGCTAACACACACAACTGTGTGCATAAAGCGTTGCTCATGTGCTTCTATTAACCTAATTGTCGGTACTGCATCAGGCTTATATAACTGCATACCAGATATTTAGGGCACAGCGCTAACCCTATTTACGTACGATGTGGGTCCAGTGTGAAAACTATGAAAACTGACTGGACGTCTGTGAAAAAGAGCTTCATAGGACATCGGATTCCTCCAAGTAAAAATATTATCGCTTGACCCTGCTCACTGACTCGAGCAAACAGCGTGTGCTCTCAGGGACAGGGGTACTGTATATGGGTTGTGATTAGGGGGTCCCTGGCTTAGGGTTATGGGGGTCTCAAGGATATGGTTAGGGGGTTCTCTAGGTGAGGGGGCCTCTGGTTTGGGATTTCTGGATTAGGGAAAGGAGGTCCCTGAAGTAAGGTTGGGTTAACCTGCATTTAGGGGGTCTTCGAGTGAGGGATTTAAGGGTACCTGGGTGTGGGTAAAGGGATGTCTGTTAAATGATGTTTGGGTTAATGAGTTAGGAAGACGATACGAATCTCTACTCCTCGGGGGGGGGGGGGGGGTCTCTAGGTTCGGGGTTAGAGTCACCGGGATCAGGGGTTGCGGGGGTCCCGGAGGGGGGTGGGGGGGGGGGGTCCCTGCGAGTGCTATGATGAGGGTTAGGGGGTTCCCTGGCTCTCCAGATCGCCGGATGAGTGGCGGAGTCTCTGGGCGTGCGTGCACACCTGGGATGCGCGCCGGGACGGAAGAACCTTCGGGGTCTCAGTCCCTGGGTCCGGTCCCCCGTCTGGATTTCAGCTCCTGGTTCTGTTCCAAGGACGAGTTACGAGTCGTGACCTCTCCCCGCTCCCGCGTCCTGCTCTTGTCCAGATGACCCGTCTTGCCCCTCGCTCGGCTCCGGCTCTCGGTCCCAGGCTACGGTCTCAAACCTCGGCTCCGGCTCTCGGGTCCTGCGCTAGGTTCTGGTCAGGGTAAAGGTCCCCGAACCCTTGTCCAGCGGTCCCCGGACCCCAGGTCCTGCTCTGAAACGTCAGGTCGGGGCGTAGGCTGTAAGCTCTTGCTTTCACGTAATTCTAAACGTGTACTTATGCCGGATATTAAAACACAAGTTGATGAGCACAGGCCCCTCACCACCCCCCCCACCCGCAAAAAAAAACCACGGCAAGCAGTCAGCAACACGCAGCACTTAATATAAAGGCTTACGATACGGGGGATTTAACCCAATATATATTTGCTCGCTTCGTGAATTGAGCAAAGGCTAAGGGGGCGGCTGCCTCTGGCTGTGTGCTTCTGTATCAGGATCGAGGGATCCGCGGAGTGGGGGGGGCTCGCCCGCTGCTCGTCTCCCGCGCGTTGCCATGGTTGCAGAAACCTCGCGCCGCGTCCCCGTTGGTCGCGCGTGCCCCACGTGGGATCCCGCCGGGCACGAAAGCGCCCGGCGATAGCCCGCCCGCGATTGGTCGGCTCGCCTCGCCCGCTAACGCGATATGCAAATGAGCGCGCGTCGTGTACCGGAAACAGTTTCGCGCGCGCTCGCGCCGCCGTCGCGACAGCCCGTTGCCCTTCGTTGCTGGGCAACGGTTGTTGCTAGGCGATGTCGTTTTCTTAATGGACCGTCGTTTTTGCCCCGTATGTTGCTAAGGTTCCTTTGATGCCGCAGATTGTTGATCGCGCGACTGTCGTTTGTTCTCCGACGGTGTTACACGTTTGCGTTAACGCCTCGGGACATTGTGAAAGGCGCCTAATAAATGTTTTTTGTTTTGTTTTATTGTTACACGGGGATGGTTGTTGATGGAACTTCGTTGCTAGGCACCGCTGTTGCTGTACGTGTTGTTACTTATTGAGGGCCGGCCGTTGTGAAAAATGCTGAGTTAGGTAACTTCTACGCTTGCCCGAAGCAGTTACTATGGTTACCCGTTGCTAGGTTACGACGGTGCGTTGCTGCGGTGATGCGTCGCTAAGGCATGTGCGCTGCTCGAGGGGTGGGCATGGCGAGACGCGACTCCCATTGGTCGGCGCGCAGGGCGCGAGGCATTTGAACGCGACGCTTCCGCTTCCGGTGTGAGCGACTGCGAGATACCGACTCCCCGTAACTACACCAACAACAACTAACAACAGCAAGGTCTGTAACGATAATAATAACAACAATAACAGCTACAACTACAATCGTTACTAAAGCTACTACTATTACAACTACTAATAACAGCCAAAAAACGCAATACCAGCAAACGGCGTCGAGCTGCGACTGTCGCATTCTTCACTCGGACAGCGCGAACCAACGACAGCTGTGACCACCACCACAACAACAGCAGCAGGAGCAGCAGCAGGAGCTCCAGCGACGGGCAGGAGGCGCGCCGCGTTGTCATGAACGCCTCCCCGCTGGCGGTGGCGGAGCGTGGCCGGCAGAGACTCCGAGCCGGTACCGATCCCTCACCCGTTTACTCGGTCGCCTTGGACGGTGATACGTTTCCCGTTGCCATTGACCCATACTCTTTGGTTCTTTCGGTAAAGTCGCGTAGGTAGAAAATAAAATAAATCACGACGTTTCGGGCGCAACGCAAGCGTCCGTCATCAGGTGGGAAAGCGTGGTCTGCTGATGGACGCTTGTGTTGCGCCCGAAACGTGATTTATTTTATTTTATACCTACGTGACTTTACCGAAAGAATCAAAGAGTATGGATTCCTGCAGTCACGAAAGCTTCAAATCAAGATTGCTATTAACCCGTTACCATCAACCCGTTACGCTTAACCCGTTACGATTAACCCGTTACGCTTAACCCGTTACGATTAACCCGTTATACCTCATCCACCCGTTACCTGTTTCCCGTTTCTCTACCCTTGATCCAACTCTGACCATAACCCCTTACCAGACCCCGAATCCTTCATCCACCCAGAACTTCACCCGTTACCCGACCCCTAACCAGAACCAAAAACCTGACCTTTACCCGACCTCTAGAACTGCCCTTTCACGTGGCACCGGATGACTGATGGGACCTTGCCGCTGTGAGCCCTGGGCCGCACTGAACTCCACTGAGCTCCTTTTCATTGTTTTGCAGATGCCTGCACTGGAGGAGAGGAGGTACAGCGACTGACACATCGATGCATCCGTGACACCGCAGACACGGCAGTGATGCTCGGGGTTTAATTTTAAAACAACACACAGATATGTGCAAAGAGCACACAGCCTCTGTGCATCACGCAACATCCTTTAGCAGTTTCTGAATACGTGTAATGAAGTCCTTATGTCTGAGGTCACCATCAAAATAAATGTCAGCAAACGTAAATGATGACAAAAATGCATCATAACTCATTGTCTATCCACTGCGCATTTGCTTTCCTTGGGCCATTCCACAACACGAATGGTTGCCCTGCCACTGTGCGAGAGATCCGGATTATTTCAAAATCGATTCTTAATTTCACGGCATGACGCTGATAGCACAGTAGTGATAACATTGGGGGAAAGTGGATTTTACCTCTCGGAGGGTTGATGAACTTGTGGTGATTAACGCAGTGCTCTGACGAGTGAGCGATGTTTAGCCAGTGTGTGCTTAGAGGCTGTGTACTGTGGGTACTGTGTGTGGGAGCCCTAACCCTGGCCAGGGCATCTCTGTAAGATAGTGGTGGCCAATACACCAATCACTTATCCATTTTTAGTGGATCTCAACCAGAAAGCTCTGACCAACAATTACCCGGATTAAACCCAGTAATATACGGTACTACAGGCTCTAGATTTAAAGCTTTCGTGACTGCAAGGATCCATACCTACGTGACTTTACCGAATAGAACCAAAGGTACTACAGGCGTTAAGTATTGGCAGGTGTTATTTGTTTCAATGTTACGTGTGGTTTTGTAGTCTGGGATTTGTATTTGCTCTTAGCGAGAATGAAAACATTTTTGTGCACTTATGTTCGTGTTTTGATATTTCCTGAGATCCACGAGAACATATTTAGCGATCCACCCGTGGATCTCGATCCTCGTATTGGCCACCAATGCTGTGAGAGGTCCTGCTCACGCTGCTCCCTCTCCAGGTGGAGGAGGAGTGGGAGGAGGTGAACCGGTTACTGCGAGGACAGGGACTGGGTACCGTGCGTGTGCGGGGCTCCCGGCGACACGGCAACGGTGCTGGGGGTGAGACGGCATGCGTGGAGCGGTGGTGTTGGTGGTCAATGCCGAGTGATGTGGGTGGTGTGTGTACATTGTGGTGTTTGCACGACTTATGCCTTGTATTACGTGTGTGTTACATGTGCCGTGTAGGGTGTGCCGTATATGTTGTACGCTGCATGTACTCTGTGTAGTGTGATATGTGTTATATCTTCAGTGTGTGCTGTGTGTGCATTATGTACTTCGTTGTGGTATGTTATGTGTGAGTATTTTATGTTGCGTGCCGTGCACACTGCGTTCCATGTGTGCTGTGGATACGTTTGTGTGTGCACACGTACAACTGAGTACTGGTCTTGTGCCGTGCCAGCTAACTTACAGCACTTGCCCCAACAGTCTTTTAAGGCTACGTGGGGATTTTTTTGTTTTTTTCTTCGTATCAGATGACGTTGTGCTGGATGCGTGTGAGCTGCGGCGCACGCTGCAGACGCTGCTTCGTGATGCCGAGCGCCGGCAACACCTGATCCAGGACTTGGTCCTCACCAACAACCGCCTCACGTGAGCGCACGGCACCAGAAGCACCCACGTCTCGCACGCGGCTCAGGGACCGAGGCATTGACGAGATCACCTTCAACACCGTCTCTATACTCCACGGGCTCTCCCGCTCACCTCTCTCCTGTCCTGCGAAGACTCTTAATCTTGCCTTTTCTAAATTCTCAACCTTACTAATATTACTGTGTCCTCTACAGCCTCCCCAATTCTTCACCTCCACACTACGCACGACCTGGAACGCTGCCAGGCTTCTCAATACCCCGACGCCTCTATTGGATCTGAATCTAGCACCAAATACAAGATCTCCGTAACTGTCTTCAAGGTCCTCCATGGAATTCCTACCCTTACCACCCCTTCTAATTTTTTATTCAGGTCTTTTTTGTGTTCTCACTGTTCCAGCAACCGAGGCCTTTCAAACCCCCCAGTCAACGTTTGCTCTATGGAAGGTCACTACTTTCTGATTGTGCCCCTGCTGTCTGGAATATCCTTCAAACGAGACAGACATTTACAATATTAATTGATTCTTGAATCGAATCGCCACCTTAAATTTTGTCAACTTATCCAATCGCTGGGAAGGGGTGGGGGGGGGAAATGAATTGCTACAAGCTTTGTGTTTGTGCTCTAGAATGGGTGCCAATTTGCGCGTGTGTGTGGTGTGTGTGTCTACGCGCTGCGTGGTGTGTGTACGCGCTGTGTGGTGTCTGTGTTGTGCATGGCGTACACGTTGTGCACGTACCGCCGATTCCGCCAGTGCAGACCTGCGTGCACAGCAGGCGCGGGTGCAGAGTGCGGAGGAGCGGCTGCGGAAGCTCGAGCGAGCACAGGAGAGAGGTGGAAGCGGTAAACTGGGCAGCTCACAGGGGCCGCCGATGAAGGAGCACACACAAAACCGGCGCCCGCGGGTCCTGGAGGGGGGGAGCAACCCTCGGGGGGGCAGCGCCTCCCCGCACGAGAGGAAGGGCACCGCCGTGACTCCCGGCGCCGCACGGAGACGGAATGAGGGAGAAGGGGAGCATCCAGCAGGGAACGGCTGGGAAGACGACGCCCTGATAGGAGCGCAGGTGCGTTCCGCTGGTGGCGACGCCACCCCCGGGTAGCGTCGCACTGGGAGATGATGCACCGGGAGGCGTCACAACAGAGGTGCTCTTATAGATTCTGCTTTGTGGTTTTGTATTAGCTAGTGATTGCATTGCTATGAATATGGTTGTGGTTAAAGTTGTGAAGATGGTAATTATTGTGGTGTGATTGTAACTGTGGTAGTGATTGCATTGTTGTAGGTGTGGTCATGATTGTGTTGGTGTTGTGGTAGAGATTGTGCTGCGGTTGTATTGTGGTTGTAGATGTGGCTATGTATATATTGTGGTTTTCTAAAACTCACAAAAACGTGCGCTGTGTGTAAGGAGAGCTTTTAGCATTAAACAGGAAATCACCAGTTCGGTAGAACTGCTTTGTGGTCACTTTGTCTTCGATCACCATAAATTAACATTGCAGTTCTTCTAAACGGGTCGTTTCACGTTCTAATTTTTCTATTATCATGGCTTTGCTTGCATTTACAGTATTTTAGTTGTGGTATTTGTCGTACTGATTGTATGCGGCGGTTGTAGTTGTGGCTGTTGCAGCGTTTGCTCTGTGGCTGCGTTTGTGGGCAAAGCAGGGCCCTGCGTGGGGAGCGTCGCGTGCGGTGCTGGCGGGGCTGGTGAGCGCCGTGCAGCGGCTCTTTGAAGTTCGCTCCCTGGGTGGGGTGTACCCGCACCTGCACACCATGTACATGCGCCTTGGCGAGATGAACAACGCCGTGCGCACGCTCAAGCAGCTGCTGTCCCTCGGTACGCAAGCGGCACGGAAGGGGCCGCCATGGCCAGGAGACAGAGATAGAAAGAGAGAGATTCTGACAGCACAGAGTTAAACTCAAGACAATTTGTCAATGTGGATTGATGTAGTGTCTCAATGGTGGCCAATGCACCAAGCACTGTGATTCATTACGGTGGATCTAAACGGGCTCCGTAATCCACCAGAAAGCTATGATCAACAATTACCTGTATTTACCCCTGTAATATACTACACTATAGACACAAACTACCAGCGCCATCTATTGGTAAAATATTTTTTGTAAGCTATTCTTAGTTGGGGATTTTTTTTGCCATCAGCCATTGGAAGAATTGTTCAGTGCTTATGTGAGTGTTTCTTCTTTTCGTACTGAGATCCACAAGACATTGGTCACGTGGAGAACTGGTAGACCTCGCCGAGGCCCCAGAGGGTTGAACCACATCCGCATGTGCCCCCGCCTGCACGTTACGGTCGATGTCGCGAGTGCTGTGATGCGTGTTTGTGACGTGTAGACGAGGCGGCGCCTGTAGCAGCGGTGGTGGATGCTGTCGGCCGGCTGTGCGTCATGCCGGGCAAGCTGACGTGCAGCCAGCGGTCTTCTCAGACCTCACCGGGGAGTGACTGGTGCGTTAACCTCTCGCCTCGTTACACAGCACACATCGGCGGTCAGTCGCCCTCTTAAACCTTCTGTCGCTACTACCATGGTTATTGGCCAAATTAACTTTACTGATGGGTGATTTGTTCACCCATGTTGAGAACTCAGTCTACTAGAATCAGCCATGCTGTGTACACAACCACACTTTTCTTTTGCTTTGGAATTCCCTCCTGTTGTCTCTTTTCGCAAGTCTTATAACTTTGGCCATTTCAAGAAACATCTTGTACTCTTATCTATTCAACTTTCAGATACCTCTTGCAGTACTACATCAACACATTCACGTCTGTAAGAGGCCCCTGCAGTGGCAGGAGTGACTGAGAGCACTAAACAGTGTACTTACCAGGTCGAAGATATTCCCCTTTAATACCCGATTAGTGCTACTAAGACGCTTGTAAGGGTGAAAACGTATTCTATGGGTGACATTTTTAAGTGGTAGGCCTAATGGCTGTGGGCCGTATGAAACGAAGCCCACGGGCTGTAGGTTCCCACAGCTCCCTCGGAGAAAGACTCCTTTGACCAAGTCACCCGAAATGCGCACGATCTCTTCAGATCTCGGAATCTAAGTGAGTGTTGAGCCGGAACATTGCTTTGGTCGGCGATCGCCGTGCAGAACACAGCCCGCTGTGTGCTGCTGCAGGGCTGCATGGTGGGCAGCAGAGGGTGGCGCAGCACATTCCATTGTTTTATTGTACTATACTGCCACATCTGTGCTCCCTGCCTTCGTCAGTCCGCATTGACTCGCACGGTGAAGTGTGGCCAAATAACTCCCTCACGACTCGGACTCGCATAGGTGTGGCACGGCCCTTACCGACCAGTGGATTAACAAGATGGCTGTTATATATACAGCACTTCCATGATTGTAAAAATCGATACATCGTCATATGGCCATAGGGCCTCGGTGTGCGATCACTGGAGTGGAAGTTATTGTGGGGGTGTGTGTTTGTGCATTTGCAGTACAAGATCCTGGCTTGAACTGTACGAGGAATTCTTCCCAGCTTTCCAGCAGTTGGTGGAACAGCTCAAAGATACTCTGGGTAAGGCTGCCAGCGTCTCCCTGTCTCTCGCATCTCTAGCACCAGTTTGGAAAGACCGGCACTACCGGCCGGCTTGGAGAACAGTTGGCTGAAAGTTTGTATTTTATCTCTCATGTCTTTAAAATAACGTGACGGTGTGACGAAGTGGCATATTAAGTCGTGATGGTGTAAATGGGATGGTATAACACGATGGTGTAACGTTATGTGAGATTGTAATCGTGATGGTACAATGGGATTGTGTAATGAGATGGCAGCATCCAGCCGGGAGGAACAGTTTCCTTGTGCCGCTGGGTGGTTACAACCAAATCACTGCCGCCTCTACAGGGATCGACAGCCTGGATGCCATTTTGCCGACCGTTCAACGGTTAAAGGCGGAGTCGAGGGGCCGGCCTTCACGGTGACCACCACAGCCAGCGGCACAGCGCGGTGACCCAACAGCGTGATCTGATGACCCAACATCCCGACGTGGTGACCCAGTCGTCGCATGACCCAATAGCTCAGAAACCTCACACCCGGTGACTAAGGAGCATGATCGAGTGACTCAGCAGTATTATCCAACGGCCTGGCAACCTCACCCGGCGACCCAGCAGCATGGCTTGGCGACCCAGGATAAATGACCGAATGACCCAGAAACCTGGCCTAGTGACCCAGAAACCGGTTACTATCAAGCAGGATGAAGCACCACTTCATGAGCCATTGCTGGCTCCTCATATCCCTGTAAGTCCCTGAGCACCGATAAGCGAGCAGGCGGTGCGTGCGTTATCAGGTTGTAGCGCATGCCAGGGCAGTTTAAAATAGAATTGTGTAAAGGCTAATAGAAAAAAATAAGTTAGCCTCACTGCTTGTAAATGTGATATTTGTCTGTAATTGTTTAAAGCAGGAAAATTAGTTTGGACTAGTTTCTGCCTTATGTATCAGGCCTGTTAAACATATGCTGCTGTATTCCAGATGGTACTGGTAAAAAACATACACTTAAGCTATTGGGCCTGTTTGGTGCAAAACTGCAACATTGAAAAAATCATAATGCGTTGTTGCAAACATTAAATTGGGCATTTGGTTAAATATTGCTGGAAAACATGATGCCTGAAGGCTGACAGTGTGATAAACTCAAACATATTTCTATGTAGGGAGATGGACATTGGTCCATTAATTTTTTTATTTTAAATCCTTCAAACTACATTATGAACTAAATTTTGATTTAAAGCTTTCGTGACTGCAGTAATTCATATTCTTAGTTTTTTCGGTAAAGTCACGTTGAAGAGAAACAACAAAATAACAAAATATATATAAAACAATAAAAATTCTCACGACGTTTCGACCATAACTCAAACGGTCATCATCAGGTGTGTCGGTTTGCATAAATTTATTTTGAAAATGGCATATTTATTTATTTATATAAAAAATAACGTTTGCGTCACGCGCAACGATTGGCTGTTTGCCAGGACTAGTCCATCTATTTTTTGAAAAGAGGAGGGGGGAGACGAAATTTGTTTTTATGTATGCTGTCTGAAAGCCACTGTAAGCGTGAACAATCAATCAAGAACTGAAATGATTTATCAAATCTTTCCAATGATTGCTAAGATAGAATCCATCTTCTCGGTTGAAATTGTCTCTGTGTTTGTATATGTGGATAGCCTCATGAACGAATCTCTCATGGAAGCCAGATGGCTTACAAAGAACCTCCGTCTTGGAAAAGTCAATGGTCTAATGGTTACTCCGACTATACAATCCGCAAAGCTATCACTCAAACCATGAAGAAGAACCCTCTTGAGGAGCCTTTCAAAACCATCACTTTACCCTACATTGCTGGGATCACAAAAAAGATCTCCAAAATCTTGAATAAACACAAGATCCAGGTCCGTTTCAACACATTACATAAAATCCGTGATCTGGTTCCGTCTGTAAAAGATGTGATTCCGGACATACAATACCCTGGTGTCTACAAACTAAGTTGCCTCTGTGGTAGTAGTTACATTGGAGAAACCAAACGCCATATCTCGGACCGCATTCGTGAACATAAAGCAGACCTTAAACACGGTAGGACCAACACCTCGGCCGTAGCAGATCATTGTTCTAATTCAGTAGGCTCACATGCCATTGACTTTTCCAAGACGGAGGTTCTTTGTAAGCCATCTGGCTTCCATGAGAGATTCGTTCATGAGGCTATCCACATATACAAACACAGAGACAATTTCAACCGAGAAGATGGATTCTATCTTAGCAATCATTGGAAAGATTTGATAAATCATTTCAGTTCTTGATTGATTGTTCACGCTTACAGTGGCTTTCAGACAGCATACATAAAAACAAATTTCGTCTCCCCCCTCCTCTTTTCAAAAAATAGATGGACTAGTCCTGGCAAACAGCCAATCGTTGCGCGTGACGCAAACGTTATTTTTTATATAAATAAATAAATATGCCGTTTTCAAAATAAATTTATGCAAACCGACACACCTGATGATGACCGTTTGAGTTATGGTCGAAACGTCGTGAGAATTTTTATTGTTTTATATATATTTTGTTATTTTGTTGTTTCTCTTCAACGTGACTTTACCGAAAAAACTAAGAATATACATTATGAACTGTTTATTTTAGAGCTGGGCTATCTATTTATAACATTTATTTATGGCCGATTATCAGATGAATTAGTCGACTCATTGGATAACACAAAAATAGTTGGGGGAAAAAAAATCTCACCTTTGTTACCACGTGTGCCACTGGATGGGAGGTGATGGGTAGGGCTTGGTAATGTAATCATCGGCTGCACATAGCTTGGATGAGATTCTTGCCTTCCGGATTTTTGGGCAGTCGTTATTTGTAAAAGAGCCTTCGTCGTCAACCACGACAAAACTAGTCGCTTCTAAATTTTAGTTGATTAGTGAACTTAATTGATTCACCGTCCTAGCTACGGTTTAGTTTTAAAGGCTGCAACTGTAGAGATTGGTCGTGAGGGAGTTTAGGTGATGGGTTGTCTTGACACGGGCCATTCTCATGTTGGCGACGAGTGTGTTAAGGGAATTAGACTGGTGTGATGAGCAGCATACCGCTGAGACACCCTGGGAGGAGCCTGGCAGGATACATTTTAATACACTGGGGTGAAAGGATATAATAAAGTCTTCTGTGACATACGGCAATAATGCAACACCCTGGCGAGGCATATCAACATATCTCCGCGGACAACTTTGACTGTGTTGTGTTTGTTGCTCTGACAATAGGAAGCTTGAAATATTTGTTCGTACATCTTGCGTGTCATTTTTATTGTTAGATTGTAAATAAGCAACGTATGGGAATATCATTTGAGACATGAGATGTAAATGTTTTGCTTGTGTATGAAGGTGTCATTTCATTTATTTATCCAGGAAAAGTCTTATCGATTGTCAAGATACTCTTTCAAGAGGATTTGCTTTGGAATGTTTGGAAAATTTCACTTTAAGGGATGGTTTGCACGTGGGAGGAAACCATCAGTTTGTCAACACAGAAAGGCAATTTACAGTTGAATGTATACACAAGTAAAGTCATGAACTTACTTGCTCTACTGCCATGGTTTGGAGAGTATGAGAGTTTCACATATACAGTTAACTCTCAATTTCTATGAGCAGGTGATCCGAGTTGCTGATTTACCATGCTTGCGAATGAAAACAAAATAACAACAACAACAACAACGTATTTTCACACATGTATTATTAGCTGGTCCTCACTTATTGGGGGCCAGTGACTCGGTAACCGCCAACACGTCGGCAAGTAAACTGATTACGCAGAAATAAAATCAGGTGACACATTGTAAGTAAATAAATGCAATGCAATAGCCTAATTAACATGTTTTCATGACCTGAGTTTTTGTTTTATTCGAGCCTTCCCTCCTTACTAATTACCACTAATGTAGAGTTTATCTGTAAATGTGATCAATCAACCTTTGTGTTCCAAAGCGATATATTAGATGCATATGGGACCGTGCCTGGTGCAGCAGTGCCTCTTACTGAAAATGAATGCACTGACAGGCCCTTTGAGGCTGTTGCAAACTGAATCCAAGCAAGCCGTAAGTACTGAACAGGGAGATTTGAAAAGGTCAGCGGGTCTGAGATGGGAATCCCCGTCCAGACAAGTACACGCTCATGGGTTGATGCAATGAGAAAATACAAGCTTGTTATTTCCTTAATACACCATGCCTAAGACGGACAATCAACAGCGTGCCTTGATTGTTGTGGTTGGGACCAATAACTTTTGCCTTTTGAATCCTGGAGAGTATATTTGAGCTATATATGTGAAACGTCTTTCGCACCATACGTAGCCAACCGTGCTAATGTTTGAGTAATGTATTACTCTTCTGATTAGCAAGTCCGTAACTTGGCTCATTAGCTCGGTAATAGTATTGCCTTTGTGTCGACTGGTGCCGCTGGACGGGAGGTAATCGGCAGGACTTGGTGATGTCACTGGAAATGTTTGCTGTCACGCTTGGCATGACCTGCGTGGAGGCGGCCACTATTTTTGAGTAATCTGTTACACAATAAGTAGTTGATATTCATAGTTTATTTTTGGATTAATCGAAATTGCCCCAGCTCCATTGGAGAGTCCAACATTCACAGAGGTGGCTGGGAGAAGGCTAATATTTAAAGTACATTAATATGCAATATCCATTGCGGGAATTCTGTATTTACGGTACATTGTTTTATACCTGTGTTGAAAATGTTCGGGTGTGTTCTAGCTCAGTGGGCTTGCGCATTGAAATAAACGAGTTTCTCACTTGAATTGTTGCACAATGCATGTGTTTACACACTCGTCATCACCACGAATATTGATATGCACAGCAAACTCGGTCTAGATGCGAGGGTTTTGGAAACAACACATTCAGGTTTTAAATTACAGTCCACGAATGCTCAGAAAATGGTTGCTGCAGAATTGTCAACATATAAGCTTCACTTGCATGCAACCAAGTTTCGCAACTGATAACTCGATGTGGACAAATCTCTGTAGTGTTTTTCTTGAAACGAGTCTACTATAAGAAACCAATTACGTAACTGCTCTCAACTGGTTGCAGCCAGGTTGCATTCAACTAAGTTGAAAACAAGTTGCACGCAGTTTAACACGTAGGCGTTCACGACCAATATCCATAATAGAGGGTTTTGGGTTAGATTGCATAAATATAAATGTGTCGTGAAACCCGCCACACCCGACGGCAAATGAGCAAGGTTTGTCACGTAAACAAAACGTTACTAGTACAGCACACCGGTGTGTTGGAGAGTAAATCCACAACATTTGCAATTTGAGTACGACGTTTCGCCAGTAAGGGGCCGTCCATAAATTACGTCACGCACCTCGGGGGGGGGGGGGGGGTCAGACATTTGTGACGATTTTTTACCCCCCCCCCCCATCGTCACACGGCGTCACAAAAAGTCAGACCCCCTTCAAATATGACGTCACAAAGCTCTGCACCCCCCCCAAAATAAAACATGCTTCAAATCGCTTTAAACTATTGTCATTGTAGTGCGTATTTAATGTGGCGCTGCACTCTGATGTTGTAGGAGAAAACATTTATTAAAAAGTTTATTTAATTAAGTAGAACGTGTTGTCTATATTTATTTAAAGTTGCGCATTTTTATGTGACGTCACATTTCTCAAACCCCCCCCCCTCGTCACACATCGTCACAAATGTCGGACCCCCCCCCCCCTAGGTGCGTGACGTCATTTATGAACGGCCCCACAGGTGCAAACAGGTTGCACGCAACAGGTCACTCCGGTGTGGTGAGCCACCTGA